TTGGGGATGGGAGGCTTCACAGTGGGGGTGACACGAGTTTGAAGGGAAGAAAGAGATTTCTTCAGGCATGGAACAGGAAAGGCATTCAAAGCAGATGGAACAGTGTAGGGAAAACCCTGGAGCTGTGAACAATCCGTGTGTGGTCGGACAATGGTGGGAAGTGGGGTGCCTGTAGGGTGGACTCTGAAAGGGGAAAAGGAGAGTGGGAAAGGGAAAATCCAGAACTGAGGCCTCAGGCTGGGAAGATCAAGGTCCCGGTTTAAAGGTCTTCAAAAGGCATAAAGAAGATCTAGAACTTTATCCAGTGGACGAAAGGAACAAATGGTTAGTTTTCATTTGGGCAGTGCCCTGTGGGATTTGAGGTTTGGAAGAAGCACTCCTGCCAAGTGCAACAAGGGCAGTATCCCCAGGACAGAGGCAAGAAGACCAGAAAGAAGCCATTGTGGTCATCCAGGTAAGTGATGGATGGTGGCCTGGATCCCTGCAGAAGCCATAGAGTTGCAGAGAAGGGGTGGAACCCATGGGAAGAAGGGTCAGGCTGGATGTTGGGGTGACAGTCAAGGAAGACTTTAGGAGTTTCAGTGTCTAGATGCCATTCACCAGGACAAAAAGGCAGGTTTTTAAGAGGAAATGTGGAGAAGTTCAGTGGGAAGTGTGTTTGGTTTGGGGTACAAAAGGGTAGATAGGGACCTGAGAGACAGGACTGCTCAAAGTCATGCAGAGTCAAGGTCATTTCAGGTTCTAGAATGCAGGACTCCCCAATACGCCATTCCCAGACCCATCCTAGCTCTTCCTACTGAACCCCTTTGTCTGCATGTTTGCGTGTGCGTGTGCATGCATGTGTGTGTCTCTGCGTCTGAGTCTATATGTATCTCTATGTCTGTGTGTGGATCCACATATGCAAGTGCTAGGGATTGAACATACCAGGCAAGTATTTTACGACTGAGCCATACCCACAGCCCCCCTTCCTGCCACTCTGATACCTCTATTCCAGGCTGTACACCTTCACTCTCACTGTTGCGCCCCCATCACCCACCAGCACACCCTTCCCTCCTTGCTACAAATCTCCCCTATCCCTCAAGTTCCAGCTGGAGTCCCACCCCTACCGCAAACCTAGGGTCAAGATCCAAGCGGTGTGGCATTGGCAGATCACTTTCCCTCTGTAGACCTCAGTTTTCTAACCTTTCAGAGGCAAATACAGAAAGATCCTTGACCTTGGGGGACTTTCAGCCTAACAAGAGCCATAAAATCAATCATAACCAGGACACGAAAGGTATATCAAAGGTCTTGAGTATGCAAATAAGAAAAATGTCTTTAAAGAAAGCGTCAAACTTTCCCTGAGCCTGGAAAGAAGAGATAAAGCTCCAACCAGTCAACACAGAGCAAGGACAAGTGCTACAGGGAGTGTTCTACCTCTGGGTAGAGGGACTGGCTAGGGAGTTCCGGGTGTGTTCAGGGCAGGATGAGTGTCCAGATTCTCATTTCTGAGTCAACAGCTTAGGTGCTTTTTGTAAGCAGGCTGTCCGAGCCGGGCAACCTCCAGTAAACACCTGTTTGCACAATCGAGGTCATACACAGGGGCACGTTTGCGTAACAACCTGTTTGCACAATCTCAGCTGACTGCTCTATTCCAAAGCAGGCTCTAGCAGACAAACACAGCCTCCACTTCCAGACACATACTGGGCAGCCCACCCTGCCCTTCCAGACCAGGCTGCTCCTTCACCTCCACATGTCTACAGCCACAACAGAAACCGAAACCATCCGGCCCTCTAGCTGCCCTGCTATGAAGAGTGTTCCCTTGCCAGGGCTCACTGGCAGGGGTTTCCAACCCACACGGGTCAGGTCTGATGGAGAAAGGGGCGAGAAAGAGCGGATGACTCCACATCTGTCTCATACTTTCTATTCCACCATAGTAAACACTTCTTAAGCACTTACTATGTGCCTGGCTCTGTCCCACAAGCCTTACATTTCACTGATTTCTCTCAAGAATCTTGTGAAACAGGTACTATGATCCCCATTTTAAAGATGGCAAAACCAAAACTCAGAGAGATTAAACAACTTATCCAGGGTCACGCAGGTAGCAAAACCACACAATTTGACTCCTCAGCCCATGTTTTTAATCTATCTACACTCCAATACCTCTCCCCTAGGGAAAGTTCCTCCTTTAATCTGACTTTCATTTCCTTAAATCTAATTTTTGTTTCAGCTGCTGCAGCTCCATTTCCTGGTACAGGTTCTCAAAGGAGAATGGAGCACCACTGAGCTCAGAAAAATCTTGTTCCAAAATATTGAAGTGTGCAGCGTGGAATAAGGAAAGCGATTTCAACTGAATGCCTACCATGTGCTGATTACTGTGCCAGACAGTACTTCTGATAGCTCATTTAATCTTCACAAGACCCCTGGGGAAGAGTTATCTTTCCTGTGACTGGTAAAGAAACTGAGGCTTGGGGAGGGCAAGCCACTTCTCCAAGATTCTGCACTGCTGTGGAGGTGACCTGAGTATCTTCTGTGTACCTTGCATCGTGCTGAGATTGAGGAGGCAGAGACAAGGACGTGGCCTCTGCCCTCGAAGAGTTCACAGTCTAACAGGAGGCACAGTCAGCAGCCTACTGCCATGTCATAGGATTAATGAGGAGGGAGCACCCAGCGCAGACAGGCTAAGATGCGGAAGCCAGAGGAATGCTTCATGCAGGCTGGATTCCCCAGCTGTCTAAGGAATAAGATGCGGCCACACAGAAGAGCTGGACAGAGCCTGTCGCTGGCAAGGGAATGGTGGATTCAGCATGACTGGAGCATGAGGTGGTGCATATAGGGAGGTGGGCATATCTTGCCTGTCCCATTCAGAAGTCAGGGTGAGTCGGGCATAGTGGCACAGTAATCCCAGCTATCAGGAGGCTAAAGTAAGAAGACGAGGAGTTCCAGCCAGCCAGCGCAACCTAGTGGACCCTGTCTCCCAAACCAAAAAATAAAAAAGGGCTGGAGGTGTAGCACATAGTACCACACAGAAAAAGAAGTTAGGATGAGATGCAGACCTCTGCTGATAGGGAAGGAGAGGAGATGGCCTGCAGAGTGACTGGGCCCACACCTACTCAAGAAGCAGATCTTTCAAGTGATGGCTTCTCCTCCTGGAAGAATTGATCAGGCATGGGCACAGGAAGGACATAATGGAAGGAGTGATGTCAGGGTCTGTGCAGTGGCTGACCTGCGGGTGGGGGTGCCTAATTCACCAACATGACAAACATAGGGACTGGGGACAGACCTGAGGAAGTGGGAGGAAGATTCATCCATTCATTTTTTTCATTCAACAAGCATGTCCTGAGGGTTCACTCTGTGATGGGCAGAGCTGTAGACACTGGAGCTATAAACAGAACAACAGCCAGAACGGTTGCCCCTATGGAACATCCACTCGTGTAGGGGTGAGGACAGCAAATATTAGATGGTGAAAAGGAATACAGAGGAAGAGATATAGGGAGAAAAGGAGAGGCTCAGAGAAGACATCAATGAGAATGTGACATGGGAACAAAAACCTGAAGAAGGGAAGGGAATAATCCCAGGCAGCTGCTTGGGGGCAGGGGGTGCCCAGGCCAAAGAAACAGCAAATGCAAAGGCCTTGAGGCAGCCTAAGAAGCTCAAGAAACAGCATGGAAAAGAGTCACCAGAGCAAATGAGTAAAAGGGAGAGTAAAGGAGAGGGGTTTGGCAAGTAATGGGGGTGCCTGGCATGAAAGGGCTTGGAGGTTGACTCCAAGCAAGAAGGGAGAAATGGAGGCTGTGGGGCAGAAGGTGACGTGATCTGACCTCTGTTTAATCAATAATACACTGGCTTCTAAAGGGTCAGTAGACAGAGAGACAGGTATGTACAGACACAGGAGGCCAGGGAGGGGGTGACTATCGCAACACTTTGCAAGAGAGAAGCATGGTTTGGACTGAACCAGTTTTGACATAAGTGGTATTTGTATTCCCTACATGATATCATAAAAATATTCATAGAGTCAAGTTGAATTTTCCTGTGAATACTTATATGCCCACGATTCCGGTTCTATTCTGAAAAGAGTCAATGGGATGGGATTTGCTGAGTGTGCAGGACCAGAGGACATGTCCAGGAGATGGTAGGAGACACCTGAGCTCTTGGATCTGGAACCAGAGCTGCAGCGCAGGCCCATTCTGTCGCTCTGGATACAGAAGCTTCCTTTCCCTAAAAAAATCACAGGTTACAAACATGCTGCCTTGCTTGCTGGTGCCTTGACTGGGTCATGAATCTGGTCAAATCCAGCAGCCTAGGCCTTCCTCAGAAAAGTATTTGTAAACAATTGCAAGGGGAAAAATTGCAGGGGAATCATCGATACAAATAACATACTACAAAAAATATATATTTCCCTCATTTAAAAATATTCAGTGTAGAGCTGAGCATGGTGGAGCAGGCCTGTAATCCCAGCACTCAGAAGGATCTGTGGCAGGAGGATCATTATGAGTCTGAGGCCAGCCTGGGCTACAAAGTGAGTTTAAGTTCAGCCTGAACTGCATAGCAAGACCCTGTCTCAAAAAAAAAAAAAAAAAAGAAAAGAAAAGAAAATATTCAGTGTAACAGATCCCCTGTGAGTAAATGTTAGCAATTTTCAGTGAAAGTATGAAGCCCCCAGGCCTCACCAAGGCACACCTTATTTTGGCCCCCCAAACCCCTTTTCTCTATCAGCTTGGCCTGTGTGCAGTTATAAACAGGATGGCATGGATAGGGGGCATCATGTGATAAATCATCCTGCAAAACTCCAGGATCAAGGCACATATGGAAAAGGGGCTAGGGGCTGAGTGAGTCCTGGAGCGCCCCTAGGGTAGGGGCCACAGCATGGCACCCAGCCAGCTTGGAGCCTCAAAACTCCAGGCTCAGGAAATCCAGAGGCAGGGGAAAGGGGACACTGTTGCCACATTCCCCAGCCTTTTAAGACCCCTGAGGCAGGAAGGCTGCTGGGCCTCACCAGTTTCCCTCGAGGGCTCCTTCCTGGGAGGAAGGGGCTGCCCGTATGTGCAGGAACACTCGGAAGGTGTCGCAATCCTCAGTCCCCCAGCTGTCATTAACGAAAGAGCTGGGGAGAGAAGCCAGACTGCAGCAGGTTTCAGGAACCTGACTCGAAGAGCTGAGAGAACGAGGAGGCCAGCACGTCTGCCCAGGCTCCAGCGTGAGTAAGGGCTGCCTGGGGAAGCCAAGCCCAGCTAGGTGGAGACCGGGAGTCCCAGGACCGCTCACCCAGCTCTTCTACAAGCCACTGTCCCGGCCTCAGCCTGGGTGAGGCTCTTACCTTGGGGATTGGAGCCTGGGAACCGGAGCCTTGTACAATGCCTTTCCGAGGGCTGCATCGGGGGAGCCACAAACAGCCACCTCTCTCTTTGGGGACACAGAGCTGGCTCAAGGAGGCCACTGTCCTCCTCCTCTCCTGTCTCTGTCTCTCAGAACCTGTACATCTGCATGTGCCAGTCTTCACCTCTTCACTTCTCCCTGTCTCCACCTCTGCCCCTCAGCCTCTCTCCCCCTGGTGACTTTCTGACTGTCTCAAGGGCCCTCCGCGCCTCTGTCCATCTCTGAGTTTTCCTTTGTTGCTCACCCTTACCGCTTGTACCAGACTGCTTCCCGGGCTCCTCACCTTAGCCTTTCCAGCCCAGCATACGTGTTGTGTTCCATGGGCTCTTTTTCTCTGTCTCTCCCACCTCAATCTCTGTGGGTCTCCTTTTTTTTGTTTTGTTTTTTTTTTTTTTTTTTTTTGTTTTTGAGGCAGGGTCTTGCTCCATAACCATTCAGGTTGGCCTTGAACTCACTATGTAGCCCAGGCTGGTCTGGAACTCAAAGCAATTCTCCTGCCTCAGGCTCTGTGGATCTCTTGAATATTGGACTGCTTATATACCTCAGTCTGTCTGTCTCTGTCTCCCAGTCTGTCTCTGTCTCTGTCTGTCTGTCTGTCTCTCTCTCCCTCCTTCCCACAACTGGGATGTCCCTCTCCCTTGATTTATTCCCAGCCCCTCCGCCCTCCTCCCTCCCCACCTCCTCCCATAGAAGGAATTCCAAATGAATGAGGGAAGTAGCCAGGTGATATGTCTCATGCCTGAAATTCCAACACTCTGACAGGCTGAGGCAGGAAGATGGAAAGTTCAAGCACATCCTGGGTAACTTAACTTAGTACCTTTCTTAAAACATAAAAGGCCCTGGGTTCAATCCCTAGTACCACAAAGAAAGGAAGGGGGATAGGAAAGGAAGGAAAGAAGGGGGATGTTGAGTGTAATGGGAAGAAAGGAGAGAAGGGCTGGTAGCAACTATAGGCCGCATTACATGTGCTGGGCACAAAGGTTAGGGCAGCCTCAGGGATGAGGGGGTTAGAAATGGAACCCAGAAAAGGGACTTTGGGATTGTGCAGTGTGACCCAGACAGAGATAAGTGGCAGTCATAGCAGGCTGTGCCTACGCAGCCTTGCTGGGCCACCAAGCTGTGCTGGAGTCTGTGAGGAGTCCCCTGCTTTGTGGCTCATGAAAGGCACCTTCAGGAGCTGGGAGCACACTCAGTGTCCAGCAGAGCACTGAGGGCATCCATTCAAATGATCCTATTTCATTATCCAACAGCCACAAGAAGCAGGTTGTATTGTTACCTCTTTTTTGCAGATGGGGAAACTGAGGCTCGGAAAGGTGAAGTAATTTGTACAAGGCCACAAAGCTGGTAAGTGGTGGCGTCACAAGCCAGGTCAGGCAGTGTGACTCAGAAGCAGGGTCCCAACCCGTTTGCATACTACGCACCCCCCACACCCAAGTAAAACTGCTCCTGCGGGCTCCAGTTCCGACACAGCAGGATGCAGAAGACCCCAAGGGCTAATGCCAAACACACCAGCACCCTGCAACGAGGGAAGGATGCTCGGGCCTCTTGAGGTTTTGCTGCCCACTCTGGGCAGAAGCCAGTGGAACAGGAGAAGGGAGTAGCTGGCTGGCTGTGAGCTGGGCCTGAAACTGCCCCTCGCTAGGGCAGCAGAGGGGTATGGTCAAATGTATGGTCAAAAATGTATGGAGATGGGAACCAGTGACATTCCCCACTCAGAGCCTAGAAAGCCAGATCTTCCCCAGACACTAAAGGGAAGCAAGGTAGAGTGATAATCAAACTGGTATACTATAGTAAGAAAGTTACTAGCCACCGATTTGGTAGAAAGGAATTCTCTGAACAGACGTGCAGGTTTCTCACTGCATAAATCTGCCTCATAGAGGCTGAAATCCAGCCTATTCTCCAACTACCAGGTCCTAATATGGGGCAGCACCAGAGGTGCTTACCAGGGGTGTTATTTTTGTTTTGGTTTTGGTGGGGTTTTTGTTTTTTGGGGGATTTTTTGTTGTTTTTTGTTCTTTGTTTTTGCTGATTTGCACAATGGAGATTTATAGGCACCAAGTATCCTGATATTGCAATATATATTGATAAACTGGGGGTGGGGGACAGGCCCCAGCAAGCAGGGATGGCTTTGGACATCTGGACCATTCATTCATACCTCTGTCAGGGCAGGACAGAAAATGATCCTCTCAGCATTCTCCCTGCTGAGCACAGGGTCTGTAGGCCACCACATGCTCACATGTACCCAGGCACTCCAGCCAGCAGGTCTCACAGGCCTGGCACCAAGAGCACGAGCTAGTGCTGGAGGATCAGGTATCTGACTTAGAACCCCAGTGGGAGCAGGGCTCCACTGTACTCCACCCCAGTGGGAGAATCACTCACATACTTTAAGACAGGAGTCAGGGCTCCTTCCATTTGGGGACTGTGGCCATGACCACATCACACTGGCCCCCAAAAGGCTTCCAGAGATCTGTGCCCAGAGATGGAGTCTACTGGTCTCCCTGTGTCCTCACTGACCTCCTCCCAGTCCCCCTTTCCTCTAGGCTTTGTCAAGGCAGCCAGCTTCCTGAAGGTGACACCTAACGGCCCCCTGCTGGCTGCCCTGTGGCTCTCCTGGCGCAGTGTCACTGAGGCCACTGGTGTGGCTCACCCAGGAGGACCTGCTGGTACTCAAGGATGTCCTGCCTAAACTTACCAGAGAGTTAGCACCCCAAAGGGCACCCTTGACCAATGGGGGCCGGACCAAAGGGTGGATAAGTATTCCTGTGCTCCCTCCCATCCAAGGATAAGCTGCCCCTTTGGTGGACAGTGCAGGAGTGTCTTGATGTGACCCTGTGTTGGCTTTCCTTCTCTACCTGTTTCATTCTCCCCTCTTCTCCTCACCTGCTTCTGGGATCTTCCCAGAACACACTGCCTGCATGAAAGTTTTGTCTTAGGTGTGGCTTTCTGGAGACAGCCAAGCTTAGACAGGAGGGAAGGGGCCAGCACGCTGTTCTTCCTGCTCCCTCCCCTGCATGTTCCTGGAATGTGGTGGCCACAGAGTCATTTCCTATGTGCCAGCCACAATGCAAAGCCTTTGGCTTGCATAATTTTGTCTTCTTTCCAAAGTCCTATGCAGTGCAGTCTGCTGTTACATTCATTTTTGAAAGGAAACAGGATGAGAGAGGCCAAGTAACCTAGCCAAGGCTGCACTGTGACAGAGCAAGGATGAAGCTCAGCTGAGTCCAAGCCATGACCTTACCCACTCTGTCTCCAGGTGAGCACCAGCGGGCACTATGGCAAGGCTGGGAGCCTGCGGCTTGACCAGAGCAGCCTTGATCATCCTGTTCCTCCCCAGAAGTAAGTGTGATGGAGGTGGGTGGGAAGAGGGGCCCTGCATTGCCATATGGCTCCTGGGAATCCCAGAAAATCCCAAGAAGCTCAATACTGACACAGATGTGGGGCAGCTGGGCTCCCACCCACAGACCTTACAAACCAAGAGGGCTGGTGAGAGGAGGGGGCTAAACAGCTGGGCAAAGGCAGGGGCATCCAAGAGCTACTGCAAACCTCTGCCAGGCTATCAGAAGGACCCTCTGGGTCCTCTGCAGCCTTGGTGGGTAGCAAAAGGATTCTGGCAGGAGCCACAACGAGACAGGTTTTACCCTGAAGTAAGGAAGCTCGGACACAGCTCTCCAACCCCAGAAACTCTGTTTTGAGAGGTGGGAAGTAGCCCATCTCCAAGAGTGAGCAAGCCGAGGCCAGGGTCGACAGAAGGCAACAATTGGGCTTTTCAGGCCACATGCAGTCTCTGTCATTCTTATCCAGCTTTTATTTGCTTTCAGCCCTTGAAAAATATATAAAGCATTCTAAGCTAGCAGGCCATATAAAAACAAGCTGCCCAAGCCTTCCAGAGAAGTCACAGCATCAAATAGTTCTGAAGTGAGCGGCACTTCCTTCCAGCCTGAGTCCTGAGTCTGTGAAGCCGTAAGAGCCCAATGTTGAGAGCCATGAATTTGCTATGTCACTCTGGACCAACTTGCAGGGCCTCTGCGTCCTCATCCATAAAATCAGTCTAAGAGCACCTGAGTGAACAGTGAAGGCATTATAGGCCAAGAGCATGCTGACTCACATCTCAAGAAATAGTCCCCCAGAGCCCTCTGTGTGCCAGGCACAGGGAGCACCACCACAAGGAGCAAAACAGCCACAGTGTCTGGCCTCACAGAACCTAGAACTGGAGCATGTTGTAATCCCAGAACTCAGGAGGCTGAGGCAGGAGGACCACTACAAATTCAAGGCCAGCCTGGGCTACCTAGTAAGACCCTGTCTCAAAAAAAAAAAAAAAAAAAAAGACACCAGAACCTGGGAGACAGAGAGGTGAACAATCATGACTATAATTATAAAGGAAAATAAGAGCTTTGGGAATGTACAGGTTTGACCTGTTCTGGTTGGTCAGGGTATCTGGCCCCTCAACATGTGCAAACGTTAACCAGAGAGGCAAAGGAGCAGCTCAGAGGGGAGCAGCAGGAGCAGAAGCCCAGAGACTAGAGCGATCACAAAGATTCCCAGGAACAGCACACACGGGCCCACAGGGCTGCAGCTGAGAGAGGTCATAGCCAGAACAGAGACGGGGAGAAGGGGCCAGATCACAGGGCAGTGTGGAGAATCCGAGCCTTCATCCCCCAAGCCAGCTGCTGTTCCTCATGCTTTACCTGTACTGTCACATCTGATTCTTCCCACAAGGCTAAGGTAGTTACAGATGAGAAAAGCAAAATGATGAGATGAGCAGATGAGACAAAAGAATGTCAGTACCATAGCCCTCGGTCACATAACGAGTAAGGCACAGATGCAGGACCTCAGCAGACAGCTCCAGGGCCCGGGCTCCTGCCCACCATACCACTCTGCCCTCCAGAACAATGACGGGCCTTGTAAGTGCTCTGATCAAGAAGCGGTCCCACGATCTGATTTGAGTTTCAAAAAGATTGCTGTGGCTGCGGGGTTGTTATCACTCTGATCATTGTTTCACCATTCTCAGGGAGGGTGCTGGGGCGGGGACCAGCCTTTCTGTGGTGGGGAGCTGGAGCCAGCTTGCAGGAACTGAGTGCCTGTGCCTTCCCAACTCTGCATTCAGTAAGGTCACATTGGCAGCCGGAACTCAGGCGTGATGAGGGTGTTCCTAGCACAGGAAGTGGCACCCACTGCAAATCAGGACCTGTTTTTCTCCATAGAGCTGGTCAATAACCATCTACCTGTACACTGCTATCTCTGTCCCACCACTAGAGCCTCTTCCCGTGCTCATATCCACCCTTCCCAGCAGAGTCCCATGTCTGGAAGGATGAGGCAGGCAGGTGAGGGCCCCCAGTTTAGGGGTACAAGGCCTAGACTTCACCAAGTGGTGAAGACTCCTCCAAGTGGAGGAGTCCCTCATGGCTTGTTCTTTCCCACCCCAGGCTTGGAGAACTGCGGACACATCAGCATCTCTGCCCCCATCGTGCGCCTGGGGGACCCTGTCACGGCCTCCTGTACTGTCAGCCAGAGCTGCAGCTACCTGGAGCCAGAGCCACGGATCCTTTGGAAGCTGGGAGCAGAACTGCTGCAGCACAAGGGGAGGCAGCAGACCCAGCCTGATGGGTCCCAGGAATCAATCATCACCCTGCCGAGCCTCAACAGCACGCACACCTTTCTCCTGTGCTACCTGAACTGGAGCAACAGCCTGCAACTCCTGGACCAAGTTGAGCTGTGGGCAGGCCGTAAGTCTCTCTAGCCATCCACCCATTCTGCCAACATCAGAAGAGCTGCGACTTACCAAGCTCCTGCTCAATGACCACCTCAGAGGCACAATAGCAGGGACTTGTCCCTACCTATAGTGGATACTGCTATTAGTCCCATTTTCCAGATAAAGAAACTGACAGTCAGGGAGGCTCCATGACTCACTGAAGATCAAATGCTAATAAAGATGGAGCCAAGATTTCTATCAGGCACCAAGGCTCTGAAAGTAGTCAGACTCTTCCACGTGACTACTGAGCAAGCCAAGCTCCTCAGCTGTTGGACAGGGACCCAGAGGGGACATCTACACCCAGCTAGGCTTGCTCCCAGGTTCACCCCACACCATCCCAGCCTTCTCTTCAAATACAGCAGGAGGGAACTGGTGCCAAGCTGAAGCAAAAGAAAAAACAAAGACCAGGCCCTATTATGTAAGAAGCATAACAGGACCAGGCATGGTAGCACATGCTTATAATCCCAGCACTGGGGAGGCTGAGGCAGGAGGTTGACCAGTTAGAGCCTAGCCTGGGCAACTTGGCAACATAGTGAGACCCTATCTTAAAATTTTAAAATGTTTTAAAAAGGGCTGGGAATATAGCTCAGTTGTAGGCCCTAGGTTTGATTCCCAATTCCACTCACCAAAAAAAGAATGAATAATAGCAATAGCTAACATGTGGATAGCACTTGCTACGTGCAGGCCCTGTTCTACCCACTTTATATATGATAAATCATTTATCCCTTACAACTACTGGAAGAGGCATGTGTATTACCATTACCCCCACTTTACAGATGAGGAAACTGAGACATGGAGCAGTTAAGTAATTTCAAGATCACACTATTAGAGCGGGGGATATGGATCAGCAGCACAGGTGCCTGCCTGGCAAGCACAAGGTCCTGAGTTCAATTCGTGGTAAAGATTACACTATTAATGATGAAAACCCAGATACTACACCATTACTGACAAAGGAAACCAGAGTTGGAGATGGGACCACAGGGTTTGGGGCCTGTACATCCTTGTAACTTGGCTTCCCCCAGGGCTATGCCTCCAGGTCACACTGCATTGGGACTGAGGGGTGGACAAGGTGACCCCATAGAGATCAGAGCTAGGAAATAAGACCAGTGGTCCAGAGAGAGCTTTCTATGGTCTCCCTCACATCCCTCCTACTCCTCACAGACCCTCCAGCCATGCCCTATAACCTGTCCTGCCTCATGAACCTCATGAGCAACAGCCTCATCTGCCAGTGGGAACCAGGACCTGACACCCACCTGCCCACCAACTTCACCCTGAAGAGCTTCAAGTGAGTAGGGCCCCCCAGCCCCCTTCCTTGGAGTCCTGGGAGGGGCATGAGCAGGACTGTGGGGACGGAAGGAGAAGGGAGCCCCGCTTTCCTTCTCTGCTTGGCACCAAGCCTGGCCTGTTGACAGGAGCCGGGGTGACTGTCAGACCAAGGAGGACCCCATCAAGGACTGCGTGCCTGCAGACGGGCAGAGCTACTGCTCCATCCCTCGCAAACACCTGATCTTGTACCAGAATATGGTCATCTGGGTGCAGGCAGAGAACGCACTGGGGACCAGCCAGTCCCCACAGCTGTGCCTTGATCCCATGGACGTTGGTGGGTGACACTGGGTGGGCAGAGGAGAGGTTCTCAGAGCAGGCAGACCCAGAGAGGCACAGAGAGAAAAACAGACACAGTGACAGACTAGAAGACCCCAGTGGAACTAGACAGAGTGGCAGAGAAGAGAGACAGGGACAAAGAGGGTGCAATTGGAGAAACAGGCATGGGGACACAGAGGCCAGGAGCATGTTCATTCTTTCCTTCAAACAATTTCTTGAGGTATCCACTGTGTGCTAGGTACTGTTCAAGGTCTTAGGGATACAGCAATAAACAAAATATCTAAAATCTCATCTTGGGAATATTATATTCTGGTAGGCTAGATAAATAGAATGTCAGATGACAATGAAGGTGACCACTAATTACACCCTCAGAGGAACTGAGGGAGCAAACCACTGGCTATCTGGCAGGAAACTGTACCAAGCAGATGTGGCAATCAGTGCAAAGGCCCTGGGGCAGGAGTGTGAAATAGAAACCTAGAGGAGAACAGAACATATACACACAGACAGAACCACAAAAACATGGCAACATGCACAGAGATGAAAACATACACACACACACACACACACACACACACACACACACAGATACAGAGATGAGAGATGGCATGGATGGACCCAAGAAGTAAAATGACCCACAAATGAGGAGACAAGAGGGAATTTAGGGTTGGGCAGGGAGATGCCTGATAACCCCACTCCTTGTAGTAAAACTGGAGCCCCCCACACTGTTGGCCGTGGACCCCCACCCTGAGGTGGCCCTACCCCAGCCAGACTGCCTGTGGTTGCGCTGGGAGCCATGGAAGCCCAGCCTTTACATGGACCAGAAATGTGAACTGCGCTACCGGCCACAGCTGCAAGGAGCCAGCTGGGCACAGGTGAGGCCAGAAGCAACCGCAGGTGGGGGCCAAGGGCAGGACTCAGAGACCAGGCTCAGAGTCATGCCCCTTCCCCCAGGTGGGTCCCCTGCCCTCCAGAACTGTCCGTTATGAGCTCTGTGAGCTCCGTCCAGCCACAGCCTACGCCCTGCAGATGCGCTGCATCCGCGCACTCCTGCCCGGACAATGGAGCAGCTGGAGCCCCAGCCTGGAGCTGCAAACTACGCAAGGGGGTAAGGAGGTGATGAGGGGCTGGCAGCGGCCATCAGAAGCCAGTCCAGTCCCAGGGCCTCCCCAGCAAGCACCCTCTCTTCTTCCATGTGTAGTCCCCATCGTCAGACTGGACACATGGTGGCGGCAGAGGCAGCTGGACCCCAAAACCATGGGTGTGCAGCTGTTCTGGAAGGTAACCCCTCAGAAAGCCACCCCTCTCCCCCTGAGACCTCCTCTACCTCACATGGACCCTTGCAGCTGAAGCCCAGGACTCCAACAGGTCTGAGGGGCCTTTTGCATGTATATGTGACTTGGGCGCATGTGGTGTGTGCCAAGGAAGCTGAGTAGTGATCTTTTAGACAGGCGGCAACACAGGACTCACCTAAGCCCCAAAGGGTCACTTCAGTGAGTGGCTTCCTCCCCTTCCTCCTAGAACCTGGTGCACGGGGGCAGAATAAAGGAGGGAGGGGAAAAGCCCAGCTCCTAGCGGGGAGGCTCCCCTATTCACATTGAGCTGTCCACCCCCTCACCATGTCCCTCCTCTGCCTGCCCAGCCCACACCCCTGGAGGAGGACAGTGGACAGATCCAAGGGTACCTGCTCTCCTGGAGCCCCACAGGCCACACCAAGCCGGCCCTGCCCCTCTGCAACACCACAGAGCTGAGCTGCACCTTCCACCTGCCTTCAGAGGCTGGGGAGGCGACCCTTGTGGCCTACAACAGAGCTGGGACCTCTCATCCCACCCCAGTGGCCTTCCAGGAGAGCAAAGGTAAAGCGGGCTGCAGCAGAAGAGCAGCGTGGTATGGGGTGGGGGGTGGGTGAGCATGTAAATTCGGAGGCCAAGCTGCCTGGCTTCAAACCTGGTGGCATCACTTGCTAACAGCATGACCTGGACAAGATTCTTGCCTCCTCATCCCATTGACTCAATGTCTAGCAAATGAGGATGATAACAGTACCTCCTGAGGGCTGCCCTGGGGATGACAGGGACTAACACAAAGTAACTGCACGTCAGTCATTATCATCATCAGCCAGAACCTGGTTAAAGTGGTGGTGCTGTCTACACATGCATGCGTATGTGCATGCGTTCACGTGCACACATGCAGTCCCTTCTGCCCAGAAATTCCTAACATGGTCCATGAGTGAACTGCTCCCTCCAGGGCAGTGATAGTAAACATTTTAGAGCTTTCAGTGATAACAAATAGCCTGCTGCGGCATGACACGCATGCCATAGGTTCGCCACCACTGCTCTAGGGAAACACTCACCACCACCCTTAGTGTCCCTAAACATGGGTCCTCACAAGGTGGGATTTATAATCACAACAACAACAGTAATAGCTAAGAGTCCCATTGTGTGACCTTTGGCAAATTACTCAACCTCTGTCTCTCATTTTCTTCATGGATAAAATGGGAACCACAGTAGTATCTCCCAGAGGTGACCGTTTGAGGACTCAGTGAATTAACATATATCAAGGCCTGTGTGCAGCACAGACCAGGAGCTATTGAGTGCCCACTGCTCTTATCAAGTACTACTCAGTCCTAGGCACTATGCTGGTTTTGTTCTGTGCATCATTTAATTTCATCGACACTAAGACCCTACAAGACAGGATACCGTATCATCACTTTTGCCTTACAGATGAGGAAACTAAGGCTCAGGTGTTGACCTACCCAAGGTCACCCAGCTTATAAGCAGCAAGTCAGGGTTTGAACCCAGGGTCCTGCTCTGAGGCCTGCATTCTTTTCACCTTCATTCCACTGTCTCCCACTGTCTCCAGGCCCACCCCTGGCCAGACTCCACGGTATGGCCCGAGACCCTCGGAGCCTCTGGGTGGGCTGGGAGCTACCCAGCCCTGTCCCTCAGGGCTATGTGATTGAGTGGGGCCTGAGTCCCCCCAACTCCAACAGCAGCGATATGACCTGGAGGTTGGAACCCAATGGGAGCATCACGGAAATTCTGCTGCAGGGTGAGGAGCCAGGGGAAGCTGGGATGTGCCAGCGGGAGGGAGATGAGGGAAGACCAGCCATGGGACAGCCTGAACTGCCCTAGAGAAGCACAGACCCCAGCTTTCCCTGAGTCTTCACTGTCCTAATCTCACAGCCTCACAAGCAGGAAGTTCTGTAGCCTGGCATGGTGGCGCATGCCTATAATCCCAGCACTGGGGAGGCTGAGGCAGGAGGATCATTGTGAGTTCAAGACCAGCCTGGGCTACAAAGTGAGCTCAAGGCCAGCCTGAACTGCACAGCAAGACCCTGTCTCAAAAAGATTAAAAAAAAAAAAAAAGCAAGAAGTTCTTCCAAGAGTCTAGCCTGGTCCTCTCTTTCTATACCCCTGAGCCGCCACCCTTCTAGTTCTTCTCTACTTCTCCTCCCTTCTTTTCCTTCTTCACCCCCAAGAAATGATCCAGTGAAGAGACCGCAGAGGTAAACCCTGCACCATGAAGCCAGGCTAGCCCTGACTAGAATTCTGAGGTTGGCTCCGGACCATCCCCCAAGGTCAGTCCCCAACCAGTGCCCACCCCATTCTGTCTCTGCAGAGAACATCAGGCCCTTTCAGCTGTACGAGATCACTGTGACTCCCCTGTACCAGGGCATCATGGGACACCCCAAGAACATCCATGTCTACTCCCAAGAAATGGGTTCGTCAGCCATCAGCCCCTTTCCAGAATCCTCTCCTGTCTTCCCCAAGGCCAGCCTGAGCTCCAGAGATCAAGAATATGAGGGACCCTGAAGAGGGTCACCCCCAACCCTAAGATTACTTCTGGCTCACCATAGACTCTTGCACCTGGATCAAAATCAGGGGATGGGGTGATACAAACTGGCAATGAGTTTGCCAGAATTCAGGGAGCAACTCCCACAGAATCAGTTGATGCCCCGCCACACCCCCAGAAGTCGGGTGTGACATCTGATAAAGACGAACAGAGCACCCAGCATAAACTCAGAGTGGCAGGAATCAGATAGTGAGCCAGACAAAATCTGGCCTAGCAGAAATCAAGGACTGAAGACTGATAGTCAAATGCCTGGATTCAGATCTATCCTCTGCCATTTATAAGCAGAATGTGAAATTCAGGTAAAATTCCCGGGAAGACTGGGCATGGTGGTGCACACCTATAATCCCCGTAACTCAGGAGACTGAGGCAGGAGGCTCATGAGTTCAAGGTCAGCCTGGCCAACACAACGAGACCCCGGTTCAAAAAAAAAAAAAACCCAAACAAGCCAATAACAACAAAAAATCCCAGGGAAAGCTGGGTGTGGCAGAACACGCCAGTAATCCCAGCACTCCAGAGTCTGAGACAGGAAGGTCGCTGCGAGTTCCGGGCCAGCCTAAACTACATAGGGAGACCCTGTCTAAAAAAAAATAATAATAATAATCAAATAGCCAAAAAATTCCTGGGAAGACAAGGTTTGGACAGGAGTCCCTAGTACCCTCTTTTCTCACCAACCCATAATGTGTCCCACTTCCTGGTCCAGGCTCTCTGCCCAGCTCACTTCCTCAGCCCCTGTTCCTCTCTTCCCACAGGCCCTCCCCGCGCCCCAGTGCTGCATCTAAAGCACATTGGTAAGACCTGGGCTCAGCTGGAGTGGGTCCCTGAGCCCGCTGAGCTGGGGAAGAGCGCCCTCACCTACTATACCATCTTCTGGACCAACTCTCAGGACCAGTCCTTCTGTGAGTCTATCCTCAGTTCCCCACAGCCCAGAAGGCCCAGAAGGGGATGCTCAACAGCCACCGAGGCAGCTTCAGCATCCCAGCCTAGGCTGACCACACACCCTGCCCACAGCTGCTGTCCTGAATGCCTCCTCCCATGGCTTTGTCCTGCATGGCCTGAAGCCCTCTAGTCTATACCATGTCCATCTCATGGCCACCAGCCAGGCCGGGGCCGTCAACAGTACAAGCCTCACCCTGATGACCTTGGCCCTAGGTAAGGGGACAGCAGTGGCCGTGGGGAGGGTGCCCCACACAAAGGATCCCAATTTTGAGAGTAGACAGGCGCTTGCCTCTAGATCCCCTGGTCTGAGGGAGGAGACCCAACTCCACCCTTGGATCCCAGCCTCAGAGAAGAGACCCAGCCTTCTCAGTCGTATGGTCATATTCTAACCTCTTCCGGCTTCCCTCATGGCAGGAGAGTCCGAGCTACACATCTTCCTGGGCGTGTTTGGCATCCTGGTTTTGCTCATCTTCCTCTGTGGGGTTGCCTGGCTCTGCTGCAGCCCCCGGTGAGTCCATTTGAGAAGACTGACACCCAGCTGCTGTTCCCATGGGGCCCTGCAGGGGCGGGCAGGCTAAGTCCCTTCCAGCCACCCCAGACCTGGGGCTCCTGTCCAGGAGTCCTGGCCCTCTACTTCCTCCACTCTGCTTTAAGGAGAGCAGCTACAGGGAAGTGAGGCCAGGGATGGACAGCTGGGAGGACATGCCTGAGCTCAGCTTCACCTGCCCCCTTCTGCAGCAGGAAGAATTCACTGTGGCCGAATGTGCCAGACCCGGCCCACAGCAGCCTGGGCTCCTGGGTGTCCACCATCATGGCAGAGGTGAGAGCCTGCAAGGAGAGAGTGTTGGGGCTGGGATTCTGGCCCAGGCTCAAAGCGAAGGACACACCCCTAAGGACGAGCACATGGGCCTTCCCACCTGGCAAGATCCCCTCCCTTTGGATTAATGCAGTCCTGAGCCTCAGTCACCTCCTTGTGAAACAGGAAGATGTGGATGCTGAGTCTAAGCAGCACATCCCCGCACATGTCACAGAGCAGCAAGAATATCCCCACAACTGTGCTGACTCAGGAAGGGACAGCTGTTAGGGCACACATCTCAAAAAACCATGCCTTCCCTCCATATTCCTGTATCCAGGAGACCTTCCAGCTACCTAGCCTTCAGGACCCTAGCCTGACATCCATCACCAAAATCACCGTGCTGGAGGAAGAGGAAAAGAAGAAGCCGGGGTCCTGGGAGACCAGTGACAGCTCAGAGACCTGTGGCCTCCCCACCCTAGTCCAAGCCTATGTGCTCCAGGGAGACCCAAGAGCAGCTCCCACCCAGTCACAGTCACAGCCTGGCACCAGTGACCAGGTCCTTTATGGGCAGGTGCTGGGCAGCCCCACCACTCCAAGGCCAGGGCACTACATTCGCTGTGACTCTACTCAGCCCCTCTTGGGAGCTCCCACCCCAAGTCCTAAGTCCTATGAGAATCTTTGGTTCCAAACCAGCCCCCTGAGGCCACCTGTGTCTCCATCCCCAAACCAGGAGGATGACTGTGTCTTTGGGCCACTGCTCGACTTCCCCCTCCTGCAAGGGCTCCGTGTCCATGGAGTGGAGGGATTAGGGGCCTTCTAGGGTTTGCTGAGTCTCCCTACCTAGGCCTACCTCTTGACAGGCTAGGACTACCCAGAGGAGAGGAGGGTCGGTAAGCCCATCACTAAAACTTACCCAGGCCCAGGAAAGACAGGAAGGCTCCCAGTCTCTCCCTATCCCTGGTTTCCACCACTGTTCTCCCTCTCAGTCTCCATGGGCTAGGCCTGCCAGGCTACCTGCATAACTTACAAGGCAGGAAATGCTCTGTCCAGCCCCACCTACTAGCTTTTTGTGCTTGTTTCCTATAGTAATTTCAGTCTCATAAACTGATTTTTTAGCATTGGGTTTTTCATTGTTGTTTTTAGAAACCCATGCCTGAGTCTGTTTCTTTTCAAGGGTCTAGCAGTCAGGGGATTACTTCTCAGAATCATTCATGCAACTAGCTCCCAGCTAGCCTCTCTAGTGATGGCAAAACTTTTAGAGCTTTCAGTGATAACAAACACCCCACTGCAGCACAAATGCCATAGGTTTGCCACCACTGATGAAGACCTGCGCCAGTAGCAGAGATCCAAGAAAGACAGCTCAGTCCACCCTCAGAGAACTCATTTTTTTGGGGAGTGGGTACCAGGAATCGAACTCAAGACCTTGCACTTGCTAGGCAGGCACTTATGCCACTGAGCTATATCCTCAGCCCCAAGAACTCACATGTCTGTGGTACAGACCTAAAACTGGTTATTGGGACACAGAAGCAAGGATTACAGGGAAAGGCAGAGTGCAGGGGAACATGGTGAGGAGTCTAGGATAAGACTAATCCCTATTGGGGAAATATAATTGAACATAAACTCTCTTGAGAACCCAGAAACCCTCTCCACAAGGATAAACGAGCAAAAAACAGTTTTGTGATTTTGTTTGTTTGTTTGTTTGTTTGCTTTTTGGTTTTGAGACAGGGTCTCACCATGCAGTTCAAGCTGGCCTTGAGCTCACTTTGTAGCCCAGGCTGGTCTCAAACTTGCAGTGATCCTCCTGCCCCAACCTACCAAGTGCTGGGATTATAGGCATGCACCACCATGCCCAGCCTCAGTTTTGTGATTGACTAAGCTTTAAACTTTAAATGTGATGTTCATGACAGGCAATCCGCTAAACAATTCACAAAGACAGAAAGAAATCTTGCCATTTTATATAGCCAAGTGGATACAACTCGTTGCACACCCTCTCTCAAGATAAATGGTAACTAGTGCTCAACTAGGAGGGATTAACAGTACCAGTTATTACATATAACTCGTCCTAAATTCACTTGGTAAATGGGGTACCCGTCTGTGTTTCCTAATTGCCTTTATTCAACTGCAGAATGCACACACCAAAGCTGAGCTTTTTCTGCATCCTATACTTGGTGTTTATGCTTCAAGGTGTCCTAAAGCTGGCCATCCTTTCTCACCTTCCTTATTTGATTCATGCTGTCAGCCAGCAGCTGTCTTTTGAGTTCCTATTCTTTTTTTTTTTTTTTTTTTTTTGGTATCCAGAATAGAACTCAGGACCTTGTGCTTGCCTGTCAGGTATTGTGCCAGTGAGCTAAACCCCTGGCCCACTGAGTTCCTATTCTAGGGTGGGACATTGACTAGACTGTGGAGGGTTTAAAGTGATTCAAATTCAATCCTGTCCACAGGAGACCCCTTCCTCAAAGGAAACCTGATAACTGTAGAATCAGGCAAGTGTGTGAGAGGTACAGATACAGTACATAAGAAGGAAAGACCATCTACTTCCAGCATAAAATAGCAAAGCAGGTGCCTGAAGGGTTTGCCAAGGAGAAGCTGAACCTAGAGATATCCGGTGCCCTGGCTGAGACCCTAGATATCTCTCACAGAGTTGGGGAGTGGGCAAGAAGAGCCAAGTCTAGGAGAATGAGCAGTGAGAAAGTAAAAGTACATTCTTCACATCTTTATCACAGGAAGATTTGCAACTCTGAGCTCACCCTCAGCTGAAGTTGGGGTCCTAAGCTCCCAAAGCAATCTGGAGGAAAAGACAGCATTAACGTCCTCCAGGATTACAAGTCAAAGAGATGGCTCAGAGGTCCCTGAGGAAAACATTCCTGGGTTGTAAAAGTGGAAAGAAGTTTATTTCGCTTGCAAGAAGATTTCCATACATCTCAAAAGAGTAGAAAAAGACTTCACAATTACAAGTTTTCTAAAGTAAATGCTCTAAAAAAAATTGAGGGGAGGAGAATCTTTTTGCACCAGGGAGAATAAAACTTTATTTCTTTTTTTATTTATATTTGTCCTTGGCCCCATTTCACAAAATTATCACAGCTAAGCATTGTTTAACCAGGTACGTGTTTTGCACACAACTGCCTCAGTTAATTCTCTGTACAACCTCACATACATGCTGTTAGTACCATCCCGCTATTTGAGGGATGAGTACACTGTGGGCCAGAAAATTTAAATGACTTGCCCAGGAGGTCACCTAACCAGTAACTGACTGAGTTAGGGTCCTTGCACAGCGACCTCAGTCACCAAGCTACAAGGTTGCCAAAAAGGAGACTGAAACTCGGTTTTTCTTCTGGGGCTGTATCCCCCACAATGCGCGAGGGAGGAGCGACAATAAGAAGGGATGGAAGGTGACCCCAAATCCCAAAGTAACAGGGGCCCAAGACCACGAATGTAGGGAAGAATTAAGGGCAGGATGCACTCCAAGAAATAGTGACATTTTAGAGCACGCACTCCACTCGCCTCAGCGCCACCTCCTCAATCCGACCAATTGCTAAGCAAACCTCTCAACTCTACCCAAAGTTCCGAGCTTTCTGCGAGTCCTGCCCGCCGATCCATTCTCTCGGTTGTCGTTTACTCTTGTGCAATTGCCTCGATTAGTCTGGCCTGAGCCATCATGGCGGCGCCCATGTAACTAGGCCGCCGCGTAGGGAACAGTGGCCGGGGCGCGGGCCCCGCGGGGGTCGGAAGTCATCATGCTGAGGGCCGCGTGCAGGGCACTGAGTTCATTTGGATTCCGGGCAGCGACCCAGACCCCAGTCTTTGGTCTGCCGGGCAGAGGGAGTGCCAGGCTTTCCTCAGACCCGTGGGGCCTGCAACCTCAAAGTGAGGAGCCGAGAAATGGGACGGCGGGAGGAGGGAAGTGGGGTTCGGCGGGGATGAAGGACAGCCGGGGGCCGGGACAGAGAGGAGCGTCGGCGGGAAGCGGGAGGAAGGATGGTGGTTGGAGAGGTGGGAGAGACAAGGCAGAGAGGTTGCGGGGAAATGGGACGACAGGCGCAGGGACAGACTGTGGAGGAAGGGCAATGCAAAGTGCATAGAGAGGAACGGAGGCTGGACTCCGAGGAAAAGGGTCTTGCTCTCTCTGCTCTGCCTAGGTCTCCTGCAGGCTGCTCGTGGATATGCCACCCAGAAACCAGGTAGGAGGTCTTGGGGTGAGACTCGGGGCAGAAGAGAAACTGCCTGAAAGGCTTGGGGTGGCCAAAGGGACTGAGGTGGTGAGTGAAAGCCCCTTGATGGAGTGGGCAAAGGGATGGGCCAGACGCCCTGAGCAGAAAACCCTGACATCCACGTTATGCAGAGCCCTAAGCCGGAAGGAGGAGTAAAAGCTTTCACTGGACATGAGTGAATACAGCTCGCCAGAGTGAGTGGTGGCTGGCACCACTTAGACCTCCCCGGAGTACAGCACTGTGTCTCCCCCTCTGAGACATCCCTCTTACCAGTTACTTTGGACCAAGTCTTTCTTCTCGGAGCCTCATTTCTAGAATATTAGTCTCCATTGGAGACCATTGCTGTCAGAACCCCATGATAACACGTGAAAGCATCCTTAGCACTGTTTCGGTGAAAGAGTTTCGGTATGTGAGAGGTACAGATACAGTACCTAGGAAGATGGATGATAGATTTATTAGTGTTATCTGTATAACAGCAGAATAGAGTCTGACTGGAGATATCAAATTTGTCTACCCTGTGCCTCTCCCTCACCTCTGAGGGACTGAAGAATGCACACACCGTAGCTGAGCTTTTTCTGCGTCCTGTACTTGGTGCTTATGTTTCAAGGTCCGAAAGCTAACCTTCCTTCGTCACCTTCAGTATTTCATTTATGCTGTCAGCCAGCAGTTGCTTTTTGAGTTCTTGTTCTAGGATGGGACATGGGCTAGACTGTGGAGGGTTTAAAGTGAGTCAAATTCAATTCCACAGGAGAACTCTTCCTCAAAGGGAACCTGATAGCTGTAGAATCAGGCAGGTATGTGAGAGGTACAGATACAGTACCTAGGAAAGGAAAGGCCATCTACTTCCAGCATGAAATAGCAAAGCAGGTGCCCACAGGGTTTGCTGAGGAGAAGCTGAAACTAGAGATTTCCGGTGCCCTGGCTGAAACCCTAGATGTCTCTCACAGAGTTGGGGAGTGGGCAAGAAGAGCCAAGTCTAGGAGAATGAGCAGTGAGAGTTGACTCTGAGTATTTTCCATCCTTATGTATGACAGTCCAGCCCAGCCACGACAATGACCCACCCCTTTCCACGCTCCTCAGAGACTACCAGAACATCCCTGGAATCGAGAAGTAAGCAGGGAGAAACCTACTTGAGGAGACATGGGGCCCTGGAGCATTGGTGGGGAAGTGGGGAAAGAGTGACTTTGAGACTTGGCCTATTGCATCAGAAGCTTGCTTATAGAATGAGGCAGAGTATGCGGAGGGTGAGTGGGGCGGCAGGGGTAAATGACACTCGTGGAGTCCAGCTACTTGCTTTGGGCGGGAGCATTCTAGGTGAAGACCTTATGCCACTAGATACCAAGGAGATAACATACCTGACAGGTCTTGGTAGAAACCTCTCATCTCTAGATGTTCACAAAAGCCTACTGAAGGAAGAAAGAATGTCCCCATTTTATAGATTTTGAAGCTGCCCTATGACATACATCTCCTATGGGGCAGAGTTGAATCCAAAGCTGACTATAGCCAAAGCCAAGATCCTCCCTGTCCCTGTCCTGCCCCTGCCCATCCCATCCTGAATGGTGGGAGCAAGGCTGTCTTCTCAATCTCACCCATAATGTAGTTTAATTTGGAATGTCTCAAGACAGATTTGTTTTGTTTTTTGAGACAGAGTCATGCTATATACTTCAGACTTGCTTTGAACTGACTGTGTAGCTGAGGCTGGACCTGAACGCTTGACCGTCCTCCTGCCTCAGCTTCTCGAGTGCTGGGACTGCTGGCATACATCACCACACCCAGCTTCAAAACAGATTGGATTGTGCTTCAGATGAAGTGAAAATCTTTTCCTCCCTGTGACAAGACTAAAACATTTGAGCTGACAGCCATTTTCTACAGTTAACACATCAGTCCATTCTCTGCCCAGCAAGCCAGAACTATGCTGACCACCCCTGCCAACCCTCACCCCTGCCTGCACCCCTGCAGTGCTGAGGATGGAACCCAGAGCTTCACACAGGCATTCTACTACTGAGCCCCCACACATTCCCCAGGCTGATTTTAATCCCTGGGAAATGGCTCTCCACCTCCAGAAAGCCTTTATTGTAGAGGGAACTATCAAGCATCCTTGCTTTTTTTTTTTATTCCAGTCCTGAAAATTGCAAGTGTTAGGCAAGTTACCACTGAGCTACATCTCCAGCCCTCTGTTAAGTTTTATTTTGAGACAGGGTCTCCCTGAGTTGCTCAAGCTGGCCTCAAACTTGCAGCCCTCCTGCTTCAGCTTCCCAAATAGCAGGGGTTATAGATGTGTACCACCACACCCAGCTATACTTGCTTTTTTTTTAACTTTTTTTTAATCCTTGCTTTTGAAACTAAAATGAAAACAGCATTTCTTTTCCTTCCCTCTCTCCTCCTGTACTTACCTCTTCTTGCTCTGGTTTTTCCATAGGGTTGATGATGTTGTGAAAAGAATATTATCTTTGGAAATGGCCAACCGGGTAAGTCCCTGTGCCAAATCTCGGCCATCGCCTCCCTCAGTCCTCTCCCCTGGGGCTCCCCACTTCTGGTTAGCACCCCTATCCATCCTACTCCAGCCACAGCACTTATCCTACTGTTATTCTGTGCCTGCGTGTCAGTACCCCCAGACTGACCACCTCAAAGGCAGGGACAGTTTTGTTCCTCTGTTGTACCTCTGACACCTGACAACCGCAGGTGCTCCATAAAAATGTATGCATGAATGAATTCGCAAATTTTGAGGACATTCATCCAACAAGTGATTTCTCTTCTTGGTGCCTTTGGCCTTGGGCTCACCTAGATCTGAATACCCGTGTGGTTAACCAGTGCCATGATTAACACGGTACATTAGCGTTATGGACCTAGTCGTTATAATTGCAGCCATGGGCTTGGGGACCAAAGGGCTGGATCTTCAGAGGTAGCAGACTGCAGAGATTTTCTCAACCTCTGTCTTCAACAGAAAGAAATGCTAAAAGTCAAGCAAGAACAGTTGATGAACAAGGTCATGGCAAACCCTGAGGACACCAGATCTCTGGAGACTCGAAGTGGGTGAAGGGGCCCTTGGGGAGTGGGGTATCTCCTACCTAGGACTCTTGTCTACCAGCCCACTTAGATATGGCTTAGGAATGGGAGAGACACGGAGGACCTAGGACAATGACAGTTGGACTGAGTCCTAAGCTTTGTGACGCTGGTGTCAACACCCAGATCCTGCCTTGTACCTCCAAGCTTGGACAAGTCACCAGTCTTCTCTGGAGCCTCTATTTCCTGGTCTAAAATTAGGGAAAGTTGGAGCAGGCAGAGGTACCGCCACCTACCTTATGGCAAGATTGTAAGAAGCTAGGGGAGGGGGTGTAAACACACCTTGGAAACTAAAGCTCATATTCTGTGATTGTAATAGTAAGATTAACATCTACAGAACCCTCATGTGCCAGACAGACAGATGAGGCATTCCTGCTTTGGTTTTGAGCTGAAGTGGCTTTAAATCTCATTAGATGTGAGTAAAAAGCCCACTACCACCACCCCTTGCTTTGGGTGGAGTTTATCTTCATTGATAAAAAAGGGCTGTGGATGGAGCTCACTGTGAGTTCAATCCCCCATCCTGTAAAAAAAAGAAAAATGCTATTTACTGTGATTTGGGATGATACCTTTATAAGAGTAAAGAATTTCCCTTCCTTAGACATTGCTTTCTGGTGCAAAAATAATCCAAAGTCTTTTGAGATCTTCAAATTCCAAGTGCTTGGCATTTGGGACTCACAGAGAGCTGTAGAAGAGCACTGGTGATTGTTATTCTTTCAGTTCTTAAAACATCACACAAGCCTGGGCCCTTCCTTCCTCTGTGCCCAGCTCTCATCCTTTGTGGTTTGTGGTTTCAGTTGTTGCCTTGACTGTGAAGATCCGCAATTATGAAGAACATATGCAGAAACATCGAAAGGTAAACCCTAGGCATCACAGTTAAATAGCAGCAAGCTGGGGAGAGGGGTCTGTGAGGTGGGGGGATCTGGGTCCCAAGAAGCCAGTGAGTTTGACACCAGAGTGCCCATTCCTCAGCTGCAGTGGGAAAAACTCTTCCCTCCTTACTCCAGAGGAGAAATGGGGGCCTCTCTAGGCTGTGTTGAGTGTCATCAGAAAGCTTTAGAGCATGGTCATTGTGCTGAATAAATATTTGTTGAATGCATGAATGGCGTCATATTGCCCTGTTCAAACCCCAGCTCTGCCACTTCCAGTAAACTAGCCATGTGACTTTGAGGAAGTTAGAGGTATGAGTTTCATATCTCTTACCTATAAGACGGTTGTAGCCAGAAAATGGTGGCACATACCTCTAATCCCAGCACTCAAACCAGGGATGGTAGTGCATGCCTATAATCCTAGCACTCAGGAGGCTGAGGCAGGAGGATTGCTAGAAGTTCCAGGCCACCCCGAGCTACATAATGAGTTGAAGCCCAGCCTAAACTGCATAGTGAGACCCTGTCTCCAAAAAGAGAGGAAGGAAAGGAAGATGAGAGCACTTGCTCACAGTATTCCAAGGATTACATGAAATAGTAATAATAGCAGCCAGCATGATGCATTTAAAGTCTTTAGGCCCCATGCTGAATGCTTTACATGTACTGTCGGATTTAACCCTTACAACTCTCTTTGCCATTTCACGGAGGAACAGTCTAGTTGTGGAGTGATTAAGTTACTCCTCAAGGCTCACCACTAGGAGGTGAAGGCTGGGACTTGAAACCAGGCAGTGTTGCTACAGGGCTATCATTCTGTTCATGTGGGGTGTGGAACACTGGCACCACTGCAGAGGTCCCTCCCAGGCAGCACCGGGCGAGGCCAGGGGTCTCCAGGAAGAGCGTAGGCTTTCCTCGCTCAGGAGTGGAGAGAAGCTTGGATGGTGTAGGGGCAAGAACATGAGATCTGGAGTCAGATCAGCAGACCTGGATTGAAGACTTGACCTCAGCACCCACAGTTCTAAGAACCGTTTGTGAACTTCTGTTTTCCCGTCTGTAAAACATAAATAACAATGACAATACTTCCTCAGAATTACACTAACATTTCCATAAAATTGTTGGGAAATTTCAGTGAAATGCTAAATGACCATCCTTTATTACTGTAGATAACAGTAACATTTATGGGATACTAAAAATAACATAGACTTTAAAATAGGACAAAGCCCACAAACGCTATCTACTGATGAGCATTGACCAGAGGAAGAAGATGCTCAAAAATCTCCGGCAGACCAACTACAATGCATTTGAGAAGATATGCAGAGAGCTGGGGATCGAGTACACCTTCCCCCCTCTGTACTACCGAAAAGCCCACCGCCGCCTCTTGGCCAAGAAGGCTCTGTGCATGCTGGTATGAGTCAGAACTGCTGCTTTGGACAGCCTCGCTCTGGGATGGGTGGAAGGAATGGAGGAGAGGGGTTGGGTTGTCTGTTTCTGGCAGAGTCCAAAACTGGCCCCAGGGAGGTCACTGGTTACCAAGCCTATGAAGAGAGGCTGAGGTTACCATTTTGGGGAGTCTGAGGTTTTATGTGCAATTACAAAGTCTTTTCACACCCTCTTCCATCCCCCAGGTTTTCCAGGAGGTACAAAAGCTGAAGAAGCAAAAAAGAGCCTTAAAAGCTGCAGCAGCAGCAGCAAAAGCAGCCAAGAAACAAGATGGCCATTGGAACCCAGAGGCCCTTTCCAAAGCCTATGCAGAGGCACTTGAAGAAAACTAATAAAGTGTGTAAAAATTCTTTCTTTCTGCCTTGAAGAATTATAGGAAAGAAGACAGCATCTTATTTTGGCTCAAGGAAGAGGAGGAATTTGTTCTTTCATCTAGCTGTAGGATCTCAGAGTTGTCTAAGGAAAGTCTGTTCCTCCCACAGGACAGTCAGATAAAGTAGGAAGGCCAGCTGTTGGAACTGCCTTGTGGACTGGGCCCTAAAGGATGAGTAGATGTTCACTGGGCAGAGGGAGGAATAGCATCCATGCAGAAAGAGGTGCAATTACAAAAACACAGAAGTCTGGAGGTGCATATTTAGGGAACAGTGAGACTGAACTTTAGCTGGGCTTCAGAGGCTTTTTGTGCTAGGCTGAGAAATTTGCACACTGTGCCCTAAGGAGTAGAGAAACAATTAGTTTTAAAAACAAAGGAGTGATGCTAACAGCAGTGCTGTTTTAGGTAGTTAAGCAGCAGCTATATGGAGGGTGAAAGAGGGGAGATCAGAGCAGTTTATTATTTGGGGTTAAGGTTACTGATGTTCATAATGATAAATGGAATAAAAAACTATAAGTCTGTTAGTAATAAATATGAATAGAGAATGGTCCAGTCCTGAGTCAGGCACCTCAGTGCTCCCTGGAGCTAGTTGAGCATATTCCCTGGAGATCAATAATGAAGGACGGTCAGTTTAGCATTTCATTGACATCTCCCAAGCTTTGCTTATCAGTTCTAGGTAGGAGGGTTACACACAGCCTCCCAAAATCCCACCCATTTATACCAAGTTAAGTACCAAGGCGTCAAAGCCTAGGCATACTTGGTGTGTTGAAAGTGTCTAAGGAAGACAATATGTCTAAAACTGAGTAAGCAAGCCGGTTGTGGTGGCACACGCCTGTAATCCCAGCACTCTGAAGGCTGAGGCAGGAGGATCATTGTGAGTTTGAGGCCAGCCTGGGCTACAAAGTGAGCTCAAGGCCAGCCTGAACTGCATAGTGAGACCCTGTCTGAAAAAAGAAAAAAAATAAAAAATAAAACATAAAACTGAGTAAGCAAAGAGAAAGGAAGAAATGAAGAGTAGGGAGACATCAGATGTAGAGCTTTCTGGATATGATAATCTTCTCAGGTTACTACAGTAAAGTGCCATAGATTTGGTACATTAAACAGGGAAACCTATTTTCTCAAAGTTCTGGAGGTTGTGAAGTCTGTGGTCAAGGTGCTGATTCCCTTTCTGGTGAGGGCTCTTTTAGCTTGGAGGGGCCTTCTCAGTGTTTCTTCATATGGCCTTGCCTTGGTATGTGCACTGGGAGGGGAAGAAAGAGATCTGTATGTGTCTGTGCCTCTTAAGGTCACCGGTCCAATCAAGAAGGCCCCACTGCTGGGGTGACACACACCTATAATCCCAGCACTCAGGAGACTGAGACAGGATTGCCACAGGTTCAAGGCCAACCTAGATAACATAGTGAGACCTCATCTCAAAAAAAAAACAAAACGAAAAAGCCCACATTCAAGACCTAATCCAACCTTACCTCCCAATATACCCAACCACTGGAGTGAGGGCTTCAGCATGTGCAGGGGTTGGACAGAAACATTCAGGCCATAATTGAAGAAGAGACTTTAGACCTCTGATAAGACAGGCCAGTGAAGAAAGCCTAAAAGGGAGACAGGTGTGTGCAAGTGCTGTCCGGAAAGCAATTGGAAATGTACATCCGGATCTCAGTAGGGAGGTCTAGACCAGAGCAGTTTTGGAGGTGCTTAAGCTGATTAAAGTCCAGCAACTGAGTTAAAGAAAAAAGCCATGTAGAGCTGGGAAGGATACCTGAGGGCACAGCCTGAGTCAGAACAAGCAGCTGAGGGTGAGGGGAGAATAGAGAGCCTGGTGAGCTGTTCAGGTACCACCTCAGGAATCAGAGAGAAAGCCTTTATAAGGCAGGACTTATGAGCGAACGTAGCTACTCCAAGGTCCAGTGCTAGAGGCCCAGGTGTTGATATTTCAGGGGACTGGCCAAGGGGAAGGGGAAAAAAGGAACACATTGGTAGGACCTACAGGAAAGGCATTGTTTGAAGTGCTACCTTAGGCACATTATCTTACCTAAAGGCACCTTCACTCCACACATTAACTAATTACCTTCTTTTTATCCTGAGAGAACTGAGACTTAGGCTAGGTAACTGTCCAGACTCACACAGCTGGCTGGAAACAGGCCTAGGGTTCATACTCAGCTCTTTGACTACAAAGCATGTGTTCTATCCACTATACCACACTGCCTAGGGACCTCCCCCAAAAAATCTGAGACGCTCAGGGAAAAATCACCATAGCAAACCTCTTTAGGAGCCAGGCAGATAACAAATACATGAAAGCCCAGCCTAAGGTAATAATCCTGTTTATTACATTCTTATCCTAGTTATATCCCCTAAAAAGATGATGCATAGATACAGCAAAATAACCAAATCAAAGACTTACACTGGCAGCTTTCAACAAATGTAGAGTCCTGATACTGAGATGTCAGCTAAGGGAAGAACGACAAAGTATTCGGGGTGAAGCATTGGGGGGTAGACATTAATTGCAGGTGGAGTGCAGTATGGAATTAGGATACTGAGGAAGTTCAGACTGTGAGTTCAGACTATTTCAAAAAAGCATGGCTGCTATGAGAAAAAAAGGCAAATGGGCTGGAGAGTATGGGATGGAGGGAAGATGTTAACATGGGAGGGACCCGACCTTGGCTCATGTTAAGACTTCCCAGTGGTGTGGTTATGAGGAAAACAAGCTGGGCACATTGCCCACAGAAAGGACAACTTGAGTTCATCTGGACCAGCGGTCTGGGAAAGTCTGGTGTAGAAGTGGGCTCTGGAAAGGTGGTTGGAGCCAGAGTGGAGAGCCTAGAAAGCTATGCCAAGTCATCTAGACTGTGGTCTGCCAAACAGCAGGAAGCTACTAAAGAAATGTACATATTGAAAGTGGTGTTTTCTAAAATGTAGCCTAATAAGAGTTGCTTTAAGGAAAGCAATAGCACTTTAAGAAAAAAAAAAGAAAGAAATTTAGCCTAGATTCAATGCAGCAGGATGCAGAAAGAAAAGAGCCGTGATAGACAAAGAGCAGTAATGCAGAAAGAAAAGGAAATTAAGGTATAAATGTAAGAAAGATTTTGGAAGAAAAAGCAAACTTTGATGAGTTATCACTATCACAAGTCTCAGACAGATTTGGAAGTCAAGTTTCAAGTCTGCTTGGTAGCTGGAGGAAAGAGGATTAGGAGGATTTTTTTTTTTTTTTTTTTTTTTTGGCTTTTTGAGACAGGGTCTTGCTTTGCGGTTCAGGCTGGCCTCGAGCTCACTTTGTTTTCGTTTTGTTTGTTTGTTTTTGTTTTGGTTTGATTTGGTTTGGTTTTGGTTTTTTTTCCAGTACCGGGAATCGAACTCACGACCTTGTGCTTGCCAGGCAGGAACTGTGCCGCTGAGCTAAATCCCCAGCCCTCGAGCTCACTTTGTAACCCAGCTGGTCTCAAACTCGAAACGATCCTCCTGCCTCAGCCTCCAGAGTGCTGGGATTACAGGCATCCGCCACCATGCCCGGCATTAGGAGGTTTTAGAAGTATTGAAATTTACAGGAATGATCGTTCATCAAAGTAAAACTGGACAGCAAACAGTCAAGGTGATCTTTGAGCTTAAGATGGAGGTGAGAAAGAGCTGAGCGAGGTGACACAGGCAATCCCAGAGCTCAGGAGGTGAGTTCAAGGCCAGCCCGGGCTACATGGGTGTTCAAAGCCAGCTTGAACTACATGGCGAGACCCTGTCTCAGAAAATAAAGCTCCAAAAAAGATGCAGGTGAAGAAAAGGGCCACTGCCTTCAAAGCAGAGAAACAGTTGGCAGGTCTGGTCAGCACCGGCTAGCAGAGCACAGGCCACTTCGGAGTTCAGGGAGTCAGAAATCGGCCCGGCTTGCCTCGCTGAGCTGAAATGGGAGCGGGGCGATGCCAAGCATACTTTAGGGAGGAAATGCAAATGAACTGACAGGCTTCCTTCCTCACGTGAAAGAGACGTCAGTTGCCATTTTTGTGACTGTTTTCCCGGTTTCCTACGATCTTACAGATTCCCTTCAGCAGCCCTGTGAGGTAAACACGACCTCCGCTTTACAAACGAGGAAACCTAGTCTCAAAATCCTGCCCAAAGGCACGCAGCGGGAGAAGGCAAGCCGCGATTGCAACCCAGGTGCCTCTGACCCGGGTCTGCGCCCGAAACGTTTTGCTGGGGCTTTGTTCGTTCACCGGTCCGCAGACCCGCCAGGTCCTCGCCCCGAGCATACTAGGGAAACTCAAACACACCGCCGCTACCGGGAGGCCCAGTACTTCCCGCCTACGTCCCGGCTCCGACCAATCCCCTGGGGCGGTCCCTACCACCTAGCCCAATGAGCGTCTGCTCTTGGAGCACCTACCACCAAACCACCTTCTGATTGGCTCGCTTTCTCCGTCTCCGGCGTTGCCCTAGCAACAGACTCCGGACGCGCCTCGGCCTCCAGGCTACTGGCTTCCGAGCCCTGGAGCTCTCTCTCTACCTGCCTTGCGGGTTTCCAGCACCATGTCGGTACGGACGCTACCGCTGCTCTTCTTGAACTTGGGTGGGGAGATGCTTTACATCCTTGACCAGCGGCTGCGGGCCCAGAACATCCCAGGAGACAAGGCCCGCAAAGGTGAGAGGGGTTCGGCCCGCACAGCCAGACCCGCAACCCGCACCCCGCAGCCCCAACACCCACAGCCACACAAACATCCCTACAAAACCACTCTTATAGCTGGGTATCTTTGTTACAAACCACAGCGCTCACCTAGTTGAAGCCCCTCAGGGGTCAAATTCTCCAAAAGATCTTTTCTCAGCAGAGGAAATTAACACCCCATTGGATATAATTAGGGTGCCTGATGCTGCCTAATCTCCCCAACTGTTCAAACCGGAGACATAGTTTCTCAACATTTATTGAAAACCGGCCCCTTCCAGAAGTAGGAGTCCCAGCCAGCTGCTCACCACCTGGCAACACATTCTTTGCTAGTTCAAGCACTTTTATCCAGGTTCTATTCCCGTTCCTCTGTATAGTATCCTCCCCACCTAACCTGGAGATTAGCCTTGCTCTTTTAAGAGGCCATTTCTAGAAATGTAAGGTTTTTAAATAATACAGATAAGTAAGAAAATACAGAGAACTCATAAATCTTTTCTTCACAACAGTTGGAGAAAATGCAATTGCGAAAACATTATGTGAGAGCGTCTAAACGCAAAATCTGGCTCTCCTACCCCCCACGTGCCATGCCCAGAGAAACAGCCACACAAAACACGGTGCCACTCTTTCCATTCCCTCCTCCCCTCCCTTCTGAGCGAATAACTCCTTTCATCAAGTTTTCTGGTATTAAGTATGAAGAAAATATATCTCAAGGTGGAGGAAAAGTTGATATAAAGGTAATTGACATGGCTGCTGATTAAAATGATTATTCTCTGCTGCGCATTGTGGCCCACATATGTAATCTCAGCTACTCAGAGGCAGGGACACGGTGAGCTTGAGGTCACCCTGGGCAATTTGACCAAACCCTGATTCAAAATAAAATTTTATAAGGATTTGGAGATGTAGCTCAGTACTAAGAGTGCTCCTGGGTTCAATTCCCAGTACTGGGGGAAAAAAGGTTATTCTCTCCAATAGTGCCTGTATGCTCACTTAATGTTACCCATTTGTACATATCATATATGATACATATTCAGTTCTTAACTGTTGTGTTATATGATTGTGTGCAAGTTCATACATACCACTCTGTTCTTTTTTCCCCCCCCCCTTTTTTTTTTTGGTGGGGGAGATGGTTTCACTATACAGTTCAGGCTAGCCTTGAACTCTCTTTGTAGCCCAGACTGGCCTCAAAATCACAGCCATCGTCCTGCCTCAGCCTCCTGAGTGCTGGGATTACAGGCATGTGGTAGTATGCCCAGCATACTCCATGCTTCACACAGCTGTCAGGGAGGCTTTCTAAAATGTAGATCTGTCCATACTTCCCCTGCTTAAAACCTTGTTCCACCTTTTCCCAGCTGTTTGTATGGAGGCCAGGTTCTTGTGTGGGACATTTTGGGGCCTTGCACATCTGACCTCCCACCACCGCCTGCCTGCCTTGTACACTAAACTGCTTGTAGATCTCTGTTTAAACCATGTCTCCCTGGGTGTAATCCTGCCCTTCCATTCTTCCCTCTTCCATCCTGGGTCATTCAGCTGAAGAATCATCCTCCTTCAGGAGGCCTCCTGACAAGGAGAAAGGGCCAGCCCATGCTCTGTAGCACTCCGTGCACGTTCTCTCTACCTTGTCACTTGGCCATGTTATACTGAAGTGATTTGTGTGTGTGTATTTCCCTCCATTTGATCATTTATTCCTCTTTGTACTCCAGCACACAGCCTAATGCCTAGACCAGAATAAATCAGTGCTCAGCAAATGTTTGCTGAACTGATAATCTAAATTGGCAGTTTTATATGATGTTGTCACTTCTTCCTCAAGAGGGCTGTTTTCCTGGCTGTCTATGTGATCTGATTTCATTCAGGCTAATGGCACCAAGGGGGTAGGAAGCAGGGTTCTCTGATGGTATTCTGCATCTTAGAAGACAATGTAAATTAGCAATTAACAGTGTACTTTCTGGAGTCACAGATCTGGTTCCCCATTCTGGTTTTGCCAGTTAGCTACTTGTTTCACCTTAGAGTATAACCTCTAGTAAGCTTGTTTCTGAAAAAAAAAAAAGAAAGAAGGAAAGGTAATAATAATACATACCTGGAAGCAAAGTTGTAAGTACTGAATGAAGCAATGTATTTAGCATGTTTGGCACAATGAGTAATAGGTCTTATCTTTCAAGAGGCGGTCAGGGCGAGCCCTCGTAGGGGATGGGCTTTGTCTTTAAGATACGCAGTCCTCCTGGTTTTGCTAGATTCAATCTTCAAGAGCTTCAGCCATCTTTAGTAAATCACTTTCACACACGCATTCATTCCACATTTTTGGGCTGAGTGGCACGCCACCGAATAAGATGCTGGGTGGAACCCAGTCCAACTCTTCTTGTATTCCTGGAGGTAGGGCTATTATTAGCCCAGCCCAATAACTGACTCTAAAACTGGGGGGCATATCTTCCAAGTGACAAAAATACAACAGGTTTTTTTTGGAGGGGGATCTGTTTTTTGAGACAGGGTCTCACTATGCATGTTAGGCTGTCCTTAAACTCACTGTGTAGTCCAGGCTGGCCTCAAACCTGTGGTGATCCTCCTGCTTCAGCCTGCCAAGTGGTGGGATTACAGGCACACACCACTACCCCCAGCAAACAACAGTTTTTACAACTATTCAATCACATAAGTAAGGTTACTATCCCCATTTTATAGATATTATCCAACTAAAGCTGTTTTTCTTTACATAGCTGGTAAGAGGGGGAATAAAGGATTTGAAAAACCCAGATTCTCAGGCTGCAGAGGTCATACCCCTAAACATTATTGCTGCTCTCTGCTGTCGTAACTGGGGGGCTGCATCAGAATCTTCGTGGGACTTGGTAGATCAGGAGGAGAGGGAGAGCTTTGGGAAAAAATGTGTCTAATATCCCCACTGGTTTTATTTTTTTAACGACACAGTAGTTATCTGATGGTGATTTGTAACAGCGAGAAAGCACAGCAGAGAAACATGGGATTCAGAAAGCAGAGACACACGCGCCTCTTCCGCTGTGTAGAGCTGGAGAGGCTGCAGGAGCAGGAGCCAGAGACCCTGTGACAGTTGCCTGGACACAGGAATATAAAACAGCAGACGTGGTAAACTGGTCCTCGTGGAAGCTGTGAGTGGAAATCATATTTCTTGTAGATGTTCTCATTATCTTACCCAACTAATTGGGCTCCTGGAGGCCATCTCTGATCCCGCAGGGCCAGCAGTGTTAGTTTCCTCCTCCATGCGGCTCTACTTAGCATTTAACAGAAAGGAAGTGCACTCTTTATGGGGCAACTTTTGAGCATTGCATATTGAATGTAGCCCCACACTTTAAGCAATAGCAGGAACAATAAAAGCTACCTTTGCCTCCCTCTTGACATTTTAAATCATAAATGAGACCCTATTACACTTTGTTTATGTTCATCATTTTACAAAATAGGAAACTGAGGCACGGAGCCACAAAGGATTTTTTTCCCCCAAGGTGTTCTTACTGGCATCGAGGTTCTGTTTTCATTTTTCTAGTTCCAGTTTAACAGCCAACCTTGGATAGCCTTGGACCTGCCTTCCACTCAAAATATGACTAAAATGAAATTGTCAAAACAAGTCATCTAGAGAAATGGAAAAACAGAGCTTGGGGCCGATTGCCTGCGCCCTCAGGAGGGAAAGGGTGGGCGCTCACAGCACTCTGGCGACCTCTGGTGGCCCCGAGCCTCACTGCAGGCTGAAGCGCATCTGCCAGTTCCATTTCACCCACAGTAGTCACTGTCCCCAAGAGATGAGGCCCTTGCAGCACCACTGTTTCCAAACACGCTTTCTAGAGGATCAAAACTCATGTCCTCTGAGTTACCCTATGCCTGCCATGCTAGACCACGGGTGAAATAAATGCCACGGAAAGATGGAAGGTGTGGGCATCATGCCTGAGAAACCAGTAACTCGGAGGTGACTCTTGAGGGAGAAGATGGTGACTTTTCCCAAAGGAATCTGGCCTTGCAGAGGGAATCCTTTGCAGCTAGCGAGGGTGTGGTCCCAGACGTGCCCGCAGCCTGGTTTCCTAGGAGCTCTTGGTGTCTTGTTGAAGCCATGCCGGTGTGCACTGAAGCCATGTGTATGCTTTCAGCATAATTCCAAAAATCACCCCCAAAGGGCCGGGGACATAGCTCAGCGGCACAGCGCCTGTCTGGCAAGTGTGAGGTCGTGAGTTCAATTCCCAGTACCAAAAAAAAAAAACCCAAAAGAATATAGTAACAGATGTTTCCATTACTTATAATTTTTTAAAAAAACTTTGAGTGTATGTAGAATTCTGCTTACCTGAGGGTGGTTTCTCTAGGTTGAAATCTTCCAAACAATGACTTCGTCTTTTATGAGGGTGCCCAACGTCGTTTAGTAGAGAAAATGGAACTAGAAAAGAAAGCAGCCATGTGTGATGCATTATGCATGTGTGCCCACAGCGCCCCCGTGAGGTAGTTGCTATTGTTATCCCCATTTTAGCAGATGAGGGAACAGATTAAACAATTCCTCTGGAGTTTATACAGCTGGTGAGTGGTAAAGCCAGCTCTCAACCCATATAGGTTCTTGATCCGCACCGATCTTTCCAGCCAAGTGCATTTTTCCTAATTTGATCTCCTCTTGGCATTTCCCTGACTGCCCTACTCCTCAGGCAGTATGGCAGCATTAGTTCCTCCTTTCATGTGGAGATGGTGCATCTGTGCGTAAAAAGTAAAGCCGAAACAAGCATTGACATAATTTCTTTTTAATTCACATTTCAAGTTTTCTGATTTGAACAGTTCCAAAAGTACGCTAGAAGGGCAAAATTCTACATTAATAAGACAGGGATATAGCTCAGTGGCACAAGCGCCTGCCTGGCAAGCGCAAGGTCCCGAGTTCCATTCCCAATACCAAAAAGAAAGAAAGAAAGAAAGAAAGAAAGAAAGAAAGAAAGAAAGAAAGAAAGAAAGAAAGAAGACCATACATTAATAAAAGATCAGGTTATATACAAAAATAACTTATTTTTCTGCCTATGATTGGGATTATTATTCTTTGGAGGACTAGTGTTAAAAACCTGCTTAGGGTGACATGTGTTCTTGTGGCACTGGGAAACACAATTTCTAGAATCTTCTAAGATGAGCCCTAGAGTACTTAGCCCTGCTGAGCTTCCTATTGCCCTAGACTACTCCCTGTAAGATCTACCCTTTCTTGGACTGTTTTGGAACTTGTTGTCTATTCAGTTTTTAAACTTTTAAAAACCTTCATGTTTAGCGGGGCATGGTGGCTCATGCCTATAATCCCAGTACTCGGGAGGCTAAGGCAGGAGACTCACTGTGAGTTCGAGGCCAGCCTTGGCTACAAAGTGAGTTCAAGGCCAGCCTAAACTCTGTCTCAAAAAGATAAAAATAAAAAATAAAATAAAAAAAAACTTACTTCAAATGGAAGAGTATTCACATTAGACATTAAATGCAAACATGAAAAATAAAGTTTCATAGACCAGACAATTGGAATTAGTGTTTGTAAAGCCTCCATGAAAATAATGTTCTTGCTTTATGAACTGGTGTTTTCTTTTTATATGCTTCATGTAGATGAATGGACAGAGGTGGACAGAAATCGAGGTATGCTATCTCTGGGCTGCATGTGTTCAGTCTGCATCTACAGGTTCACCCAGTCCGTTACCAGTGGGGCTTAAAGTGGGACCACTCCAAATATTTCTTTGTAAGAAAACAGGCTTGAATTTCTCCATAGCTAAGATATCTGGGGCTATGTCTGAATCTTTGACTTAAAAGAAATTTAACATTTGACACTGACATTTGATGTTTAACCTTTGACATTGTATCCGATGAAAACTCAGCAAACTTTGGGGAAAGGGCCACGCTGCTCCTACGGGACCTTTTCCTCTTTTCGGTTCCAAGCTTGCAGGGACAGCTCCATTCCTGGGTAGCCTGACCTCCTTGGTAGTCCCCAGGCATCTGTGGTATAGTATCATCTAACCGAAGAATGTTGCTTCAACCCAAATGACTCTCCCAAAACCACTCTCCTTAGCCCAAGAGATATCTGTTGAGCAAGCGGCAGTCCTGGAAGCATGTGACTGCATGGCTGCCAGCACTGTGCAGAAGGTATGATTTCATGCGTGCAGTATGGCCTTTTGCTAAATCTTCAGTTTCCTCTTTACCTACAACTAGCAGCAAGCCTGGAAAAGTTGCCAACTGCTCAGAATAAAACCTCAGCTTCTCTTGGCCTTTATATGCCACAGGTACCTTCCAGCCTTTGATATTTGGATATGGTTTATGCCTATCCTCAGCCATCCTCCTCGATATTTTAAGTGCTGTTTTCATACCAAGTTTGCTAGGGAAATAGCATGTAATCTACAAGAGCGTGGGCATTAGAATGAAGCAGCCTCATTCTGTATTCAACTCTACCATCAGCTGTGTGACCTTGGATTTTAAACTCTGAGACTCAATTTTCCTCCCCAATAGAATAAGGATAATAATTCAGAGTTATGGAGTTTAAATGTGATAATGCATGTAAAGTTCTATGCCCAGTGCCTGGAATGAGGTAAGGATTCCCAGCGTAATGATCCAGTAGGGTTTCCTAACTTCTCTTTTAAAAAAGCCTTGCCTCCAGATTGCATACTGTCCTAAACGAGAGAAACTAGAACAGAGGTACTTGATAAAAACTCAATTGCTTTCATCAAGATAATTATTTAATCAGACTAGGCTCAAAGAGAAGCCCAAATGAAGTGCTTTGATACCCTTTTATTACATTTCACAACCGTCTTTTGACACTTCTCTTGAGCAATATTTGGTCCAACCCATGATGCATGGCAAAACTGGAAGTGAAGTGTGCATTTGGAGGACTTTGGCTATGCATAATTGAGTCACTGGAATTTACTTTAATGTAAGTGTTCAAAAATAACATGCAGAAACCAATTGCATCATCTGAGCCCAAGACCAGAAGCCCGATACGCTGAGAGCCTGCTTCCCGACCATTCCGATGAACCGATGAACAATCTCTTCTTCTTTGGCCTTGGCCCCTTGCTGATGAAATCTTCCTCCCAGGACGCTCACTCCTATCATTCATTCTTGAAAAGTACACAAACGTCATCTGAGCACCTACATCAACCTCGGCAGACTCATAGTCTGGCTAGAAGCACTGCTCAGATGTAAACTGCGCAGGCCTCCTCCCTAGGCAAGGATGACATTTTCCTCCCTTTTGCCGCATGGTGCTTTCCTCAGAGTCTGGTACACGGTCGCCCTGCCTCAACCAGGTGCTGGGTGACACGCACTGTGAGAAGAAAACCGTGCACCCCACATGCTTTCCAAAGAGTGCAATGTAAGGCAGGACCCCAAGATCCCATCCTCTTTGGGGGCACTGTGTACATGCTGCTGTCCGCACTGCCTGGCGCATGAACCTTCTGCAGGTCTCGTGCAAGGACCCATGGGTGACACAGCTTCGTAACTTTCGACAAGAGGCTTCCTCTTGCTTTTTACTTCGGGGAAGTAGCTAACAGTCACCTCAGCGGTTTCTTTCTTTTGAGACTCATGTTCTTGGGGTTAAGCAATTTTCCTAGGCCCTGATATTGGCTCAAACACTCTAGAGAAATGGCAGGCCCTTTGTAAGCATTAACCTGGCCGGGCCATGGGATGCTTTCACTCAAATTCAAGAAATTCCTCATATTCTCTCTTCTGAGCCCCTGCGTGACTTTTAAGTTGTACATGTTTACTTGCGGATTCTGCATTTTATGTATGTGATAAGAAAGAAGTTAGAAAACCCAGTTATTGCCAGTGCTTGCTTGTCTGAGTCACAGGGAAAGGGCTGGGCCTGAGGCAAACCCAGAAGGCTGCTGGGACTCAGGCTGGCCTCCCTGGGGGCGTTAGTACATGTGAAAAAGGGCAGGCTCCAATGGGCGGAAACTGTGCAATACAAGGGATGCCTGTGTTGGTCCTGGGTTTAGTTTTTCCCATCTTAAAAATGGGATCAAGGGGGCTGGGGATTTAGCTCAGCGGCACAGCGCCTGCCTGGCAAGTACAAGGTCGTGAGTTCAATTCCCAGTACCAGGAAAAAAATTAAAAATGGGATCAAGGGTCCTTATACTGTATAAGGAGTCACAGTCAGTTGGTGTCCCAGGGCAGTGGAGCGGGTGGGGATGTCCCCACTTCCCCTCTCCCTGAAGCCATTCAGCTTAAGTACAACCAGCCTTCAGCTTCCCTTCTCCCAAAAATGCCTCCAGATGCTTCCCATTGCTAGCCTGGGCCCTGAGGTCCTGCTGTCAGCTTCTCACAGGTAGAGAGAGCCTGAAGCCACAGCCAGTCACCTGGCCTGTCCTTTGGGTTTGGCAAAAGGAGGAGAACTTTATATCCTTCAGAAATAATTGCTCATATTTAATAGTTGATTTTATGTAATTATTTTAAGTAACCTAGTTTTCTTTCAAATTGTAATTACTCTAAATATATACTCTTGACATTAACATTCTCTCACCTTCGGGCCAGAATAACTGGCTTAATGAAGAATAATCTATGGCAACCATACTTGTTCCTATTTCTCATACCAGAGCGTTTCCTAGCCTTTAACTAGTGATATTTAATTCAGAAGCACTAAGTACCTAAATGAATGGAGACTTAAGATTATAGACCCTTTGGTTTGCACACCCCTTGTATTCTCACCAGGTGGAAATTTTTATTTGAACAATATAAGATACAGTAGTACTGTGGTGTAAAATCAGTATTAGACCAAATGTAGAAATGAAGGCACCCTAAAATGGCACTGTACAAAACACATGTCTTGTAGAAATTAAAAATGGTATCATCTCTAGCCAGTGGATAGCCATATCTCTTTTCCTAAAAGTATTTTTCCAAAAAAGGTCAATTATCATTATTTGTCTCATTTTTATGAAAATTTTATGTGGTTTTTGTTTTGTTTTGTTTTGTTTTGTTTTGTTTTTGTTTTTGTCTTTTTGCAAAAGACAAAATGCTCTACCCCTGATCTATACCCCCAGTGTTTTTGTCTTTTTGAAACAGGGTTTCACTAAGCAGGTCAGGCTGGCCTTGAACTCACTTTGTAGCCCAGGCTGGCCTCGAACTTGCAGCAATCCTCCTGCCTCAGCCTCCTGAGCTTTGGGATTACAAATGAGCACCACTACGCCCAGCCTATGAAATTTAATTTTAAACAAAAAATATTTAGACTTCTTTTTTTTAAAGAGATTTAAACTAAAATACTTACAGGAATCTCTTTTAAGGAAAAAGAAATACTTCCCTCATTATCAAGTAAGCTAACATATGTAAAAGTGACTTGTTACCTCTAAAGCACAACCCATTTGCACATTATCATAGATGTTAGCTGGGAAATGCCATCACAGAGCACTCCAGAGGGCTGCTTCCTATGGAGACACCTGGGTGGTTTCTCCCCAGGAAGCTGATCTCACCAAGCACACAACACCCAGTTTTGGCTCTGCCTTGCTGTCCATCCCATTTGTACCCTGAGAACACCTCTGTATAAAGCTCCATGTGAACCGTCCTTGTTCAGCTATAGTCTGTCTTGTCTCCACAGTTCTGAATGACATCATTTCGACCATGTTCAATAGAAAGTTTATGGAGGAATTGTTCAAACCCCAAGAGCTCTACTCCAAAAAGGCCCTGAGGACCATCTACGACCGCCTGGCTCATGCTTCCATTATGAGATTGAACCAGGCCAGCATGGACAAGGTGAGCAGACAGCCATTCTGTCAGCCTAGCTACATCTCTTGTACCTTTCATGAATGATCGTGGGCTGGGGTCATGAGATAATATATGCAATGATGCCTTGCAGGAAATAGCTACTTGGAAATATGAGCAGTGGTTGTTGAGTTTTAGAGTTGGGAAGGACCTCAGTAGTCACCCACACTGTTGCCTCTGTTGCTTATGTCATTCCACCCACCCAAAGAGAATACTGGTTTTTGTGTCCATAGTTAGGAGCACTGTAACACATACCTATCCCAACATACTCAGCCCTCAAAACTTTAATTCTGTCTCATTCTTACCAAATCTCATCTCTGCAATGAGGAAAGCAGGCATTTTTTAAATGCAAATTTAAAAGACATAGATATTCACTCTTTTTTGTTTTGTTTTTTGTTTTTTGTTTTTTGTTTTTTTCCAGTACCGGGAATCAAACTCACAACCTTCTGCTTGCCAGGCAGGAGCTGTGTTGCTGAGCTAAATCCCCAGCCCCATCACTCTTTACTTATAATGTGAACAGGTCTATTTCTTCAGGAAACAAATTATCGAGGCACTCTGATTTCTAAAATACTAATTCCGAACCAGGCATGGTGGTGCACATCTGTAATCCCAGCACCCAGGAGGCTAAGGCCAGAGGGTTGCCATGAGTTCAAGGCCAGCCTGCACTACACAGCAAGACCTTGTCTCAAAAAAAAAAAAAAAAAAAAAAAAAACTAATTCCTTATAAACAAATGGCAAGTGCGTTAGCTTTACCACTGTGACAAAATACCCAGCGTAAACAGCTTGAAGGAGGAAAGATTTCTTTGGGCTCACAGTTTCAGAGGCTTCAGTCCATGGTTGACGGGCTCCATTGCTTTAGGTGAGGCAGAAATATCATGGCAGAAGGGCAAGATGGGAAAGCTGCTCACTTCATGGCAGCCAGAACAACTGACAGAACGGCTGTCTGTTCACCTTGTCCATGGCAGCCAGAAAACAGAGGGAGAGGGAAAAGAACCAGGGAGAAGAGAAAGAAGCCAAGGATATCCCTCCAAACGCCCTTCAGTGGGAGGACCTACTTCCTCCAGCTGGCCATTCAGCTATGAACTCTTAGTGAGTCAAACCCCTGATGAGGTCAACACCCACATAATGCAATCTCCTTTCCAGGCCCCCTCCTCTAAACATTGATACACTAGGAATCAGGCCCACAGTGTTTGGGTTTTTGAGAGCTACCTCATTTAAATCATAACAGCAGAGGACATATGTGCTCAAAAGAACTTCCAAATAATTTATGGACATTAAATTAATGGAGGTCCCTAACAGTTTTCTTTCCTCTTCCTGGACCATACTATGTCAAAGGAGGTCCCTAAGTGCACTGTGCACTTTATAGCGGAGAAACCTGACAACCAGGTGGTCAAGGGTCACAACAATGGTGACAGGATGTGGTGACATTGGCACTTCACTATGTAGTCATCCTCCCGCCAAAACCCACCGCCCATCTCACCATGAGAAAACATCAGACAGATGTCATTGTCCAATGACTGTAATCACCATGTTATGCAAACATACTAATAAAAATTATTAAAAAATTTTAAAAAGTCATTGTCATGCTACAGAATACCTGATCACTATTCAGAACTATCAAATTCACCAAAAACAAGAATGTCAAGGAGAACCTAGGAAGATATAAATAAATATAATGTGTACCCTAGGACAGAAATAAGATATTAAGGGGAAACTAATGACATCTTAATCAGTTGTGTACCTTAGTTAATTCAACAAATAATTTCTTTTCAGGTTTCTCCACTGTATAATTTTTTTTTTTATCATAAAGACCCACCAGAGGTAGTGGATGATATTTGTTCATTACTGGTTTCTGGAAGCCTCAGGGAGACAAAGTTCCCGTAACTATGCCCTCTTACCACTGCCGCTTTCCTTTGGGGTGTTACTTTCTCTCCCCAAGCCTCAGTTTTCTCCATGTAACATGGGGACAGCCCCTCCCTCTTCCTCTACCTGCCCACGGGTTAGAAGCCATCTTCAACCAGGCATCCTGGCCACCTTCACACCCGTTGTGAAGCACCAGATTGTCAAAAAGAGGACCAGGAGCCAGGCATGGTGGCACATGCCAATACTCCCATCTACTTGGAAGGCTTAAGCAAGAGAGTCACCAGTTCAAGGCCAGCCTGGACAACACTGCCAATGACAGCACTTGTTCTGGGGGCTGTGGTTTTTGCTGAAAACAATATAGCTGCTGAAAAACAGGTTGGGTGCTGGGAAACATGCCCAATTTGAGCCTGACACCTGTCTCAAAAATAAAAAGGATACCAGGTGTGCTGGCACACACACCTGTGATCCCAACACTCAAGGAGCCTGAGGCAGGAGATTGCTACGACTTTGAGGCCAGCTTGGGCTACAAAGTGAGTTCAAGACCAGCCTGAACTGCATAGTGAAACCTTGTCTCAAAAAGACAATAAATAAGTAAGTAAATAAATAAATAAATAAGGCTAGGGATTTAGCTTAATGGCAGAGTACCCCTGGGTTCCATCCCCCATACTGCTAAAAAAAAAAAAGGAACAAGAAATTCATCCAGCATCAGTCAGCTCAACAGGTCATATATATATAACTAGTGAAAACCGAAAGGTATTAACAACAGGATGTGGAGATCAAAGGTCCAGATGTTTCTTTGAACCCAGGGCCTTGCACATGGTAGGCAGAGGCTCTACCACTGATCTACACTTCAGCCCAAAACTGGCGTCCAACCTACAGTCCACAGTTGACATATCTGTGTTATAAGGGGAAAAAAAAAAAACTTTTCTTAAGGAACCTTTGCTGAGCGCACTGACACACGACTACTCCCAGCAGTCTAGGAAGCTGAGACAGGAACATGGCAAATTCAAGCCCATCCTTGGCAATTTAGTGACTTAGCAAGACCAGATCTCAAAATGAAGAAATGAAAATGGGGCTGGTCATGTAGCTCAGTGCTGAGGCCCTGGGTTCAATAATCAATACCACAAAAAAGGAAGTTTTGTTACTTATGTAAATTAACTATCTTATATATTTTATATATGGCCCAAGATAATTCCTCTTCATTCATTGTGGCCATGACAAACCAGGTGCATCCCACCTTCGACATGTCTGTTGATCAACATTGGTTATGGCAACAAAAAAACAGCACCAGAGGCCAGATGTGGTGGCACACGCCTATAATCCCTGCACTCAGGAGATTGAGGCGGGAGGATCACTACAAGTTCAAGGCCAGCCTGGGCTATTTGATGAGTTCAAGGCCAGCCTGAAATGCATAGTGAAACCCTGTTTCAGAAAGACAAAAAAAAGGCCAGGGGTGGTGGTACATGCCTGTAATCCCAGCACTCGGGAGGCTGAGGCAGGAGAATCATTGCGAGTTCGAGACCAGCCTGGGCTACAAAGTGAGCTCAAGGCCAGCCTGAACTGCACAGCCAGACCCTGTCTCAAAAAGACAAAAAAGAAAAAAAGCAAGAAAGAAAACAATGCCAGCATCATTGCTGGTTTCCGAGCAGTGCCACAGAGCCAGACACGGTGGGGGTTTCCAAGAGCCCTTCCTGTGCTGAGATGGCTCAGTGCTTACTCCACGAACTGCAAGGCCACAGTGGGGAGAGCAGCCTGGTAGCCATTAGCAGCTCCACTTCCTATGCCAGGCTGTGCAGCAAAGAGCACAAATAGACAGCTCCATGTGCACATCTCCTTCAAGTTTAAATAAAACCATAAAAACTGCACTTAAAATGGGGATAGTAATAGCTACTTCATCAGTTATTGGGAGGATTGGGGAACATACCTAAGCCTTAGTTCAGTAAATATTCATTATCTTCTTTGTTCACTCTCTCCCTCTGCCTTTTTTAGTTTTGGTTTATTGTTTAATTTGTTTGTTTTCTTTTTTTGTGAGAGAGGGTCTCACTGTATAGCCCAACCTGGCCTTGAACTCATGGTGATCCTCATGCCTCAACCTCCCAAGTGCTAGGATTATAGATGTGCCACCACACATGGCTTCTCCCTCTGCCTTTAAAATTTAGGTTTCTGCCAGACGTGGTGGCGTACACCTATAATCCCTTTGGAGGCTGAGGCAGGAGGATCACTGCAAGTTTGAGGCCAACTGGGGCTACATAGTAATTTCATGACCACCCGGAAGTACACAGAGAGACCCTGTTCCAAAAAAAAAAAAGTTTAGAAAAAGGACACAGAATTTGGAATAAAAAAAAAAAAATCATGAGTTCAACTTTTAGCTTTACCAGTTACTAGATGCCAGGCCCAGTTTACCAAGTATCTCTGAACTATCTACCTCGTATGTGTGTTTTTATCATTTAATGCCAGCAAGTCTCCTCTGCACAGCATGTGCTTCATGAGAGTCTTGAGTCTGTATCCCAGTATTGCGCACCTCTGCTGTACCCTAACACAAGCCAGGTTGCTCATGTGTGGAAACGGTTAGCTGCTTGTGGGAGAAATGGGATCATATAGAGAGTTCTAGCAAGTACCTTCGAATCTGATCATCCTGAATTCAAATCTTACTCTGCCACTTACTAGCTTCTATGGCTGTTGTCTAGATGTTCCTCTAAGGCTTCATGCAGTCATAGGTGGGGCTTTTTCAGAGGTGGCTGCATCTAAAGTGTGTGCTCCAGGGATTGATTTGTGGTGCAGTGCTAGGCTCAAGGATGCTAGGATTAAAGGTGTGAGTGCTATCCATCCTGAGTAGCCTGGATAAGATGTAGGGATAGAAAGAGCTGTGGTCGTCCCTTGTAGCTTTGCTACCTTCTGCCCACCATGAACTGTTTCTCCTCTGCCATGCCACCCTGCCTTGGAGCCAGTTAACCTTGGACGGAAATCCCTACAAACTGTAAGCCAAATAAACCTTTTCTCCCTTAACTTTAGATATCTGGTATTTTGTCTCAGCAATGAGAAAAGTAACTAAGACAAAAGCTATGTGAAATGAGACAAGTGTCCTCCTTTTTAAATTAGGTTGATACCTACATCCTAGAGTTCCTGAGGAGAATAAATGGGGCCAGATGAGGGAAATGTGTGTAAGTGCACTTGGCTCAGCAACACTGAGAGAGTCGTGGTTTATGTTTTCACTTCTGCCCCACACATGTTCCTACCAGACTGCTTGCCTTAGTTCCCTTCTCATCAGGGAGGGACACCCAGCACCTGCAAGTTAAAGGAGGAGAGGTTTTTTTCAGCTCACGGCATGTAAAGCTTTGGGTCCATAGTCAGCTGGCTCCAAGGCAGGGCCAACGGCAGAGGAGAATTGTTCATGGCAAGGCAGCAGGAAGTGGAGAGAGATCGAGGGAGGAGGGAAGGGGAGAGACCCTTCCAGCCCACGCCCCGTGGCCGCCTCCTCTGACCAGGCTGCCTGTTCCAACATCCCTTTTAGCTGTAAACTCCTCAGTGGACTGATCCACTAATGGTATCTCACCCCCAAGAACCGATCCTCTCTTGAAAGCCCCTCCTCTAAGCACATGAGGCTTTGGGGGACATCTACATGTAAACCCCAACACTGCTCATCTTCTCTCCTGGATCCTTCTGTTCCCCCAGACTCCTTGCCTCCATCGGTAGCATCTTCCTCCCAGGCACCAGGCTGAAATGCCATAATCCTCGGCATCCCCCAGACCCAGCCAGACAGTCACCACATACTGACAGCCTTCCTTCCAAACGCTGCATCTTCCTCTCTGTCCCTTTCCCAGGCCTTAAAATGGATGCTCCAGACTGGGTGTGGTGGTACATGTCTATAATCCCAGCACTCGGGAGGCTGAGGCAGGAGGATCAGTACAAGTTTGTGACCAGCTTGGGCTACATAGTGAGTTCAAGGCCAGCCTAAGCTACATAGCGAGACCCTGTCTCAAAAAAAGTAAACAAATAAAAGGATGGATGTCCCAACAACATTTCTTTGATTTATATCAGTGGTAGCAAACCTTTTAGAGACCGAGTGCCTAAACTGCAACACAAAAGCCACTTATTTAACAGAAGTCCCAACCCTGCAATTAAACCTGAATACTGAGGTTTTAGTTTAGAAAAAAACAACTGTTATCTGATGCTTGGCTCTTGGGGTGACTTGGCTTTCACGCTGACAGAGAGGACTCTGTGTGCCTACCACGGAATGCATGCCTAAGGTTCACCACCACTGATTTTTATAATCAGTAGATATTTATTTATTCCCACCTAGGACTCAGCTACCAGCTAACCTCCCTAACATCCTTTGTGGCCCACACCAAGGGTTCTTCTGCTTTCTATCAGAAGAATTAGGCAGGGGCATGGTGGCATAGGAACTAGGCTATTCTCTTGCTTGCGTAAAAGGCAGGCAGCATTTAGGGGACAGAAATGCCAGGCTGGCTCAAAGGACAGAGGTGCACAGATTTTATGGTATCCGCAGGAGTACAGGGGCCCAGTCTCAATGTCATTGCACGGTAGCATCTTCGTCACACCTGTGCTCTTCACCATGCCTCTTCATGTGACACAAGTCTTAGTACCATCCTAAGTCTCATCTGGGGTGCAAGACAGGTTCCTTCAGCGAGCATTTCATGCATGCATTTTCTTCTCACCATCTGGAATTTGCCTCTTAGCATCTGGGAGAGTTCCTAGTGTGATTTTTAGAACAGGGCCAACCACTGTCCTGTCTCACCAAATCTTGTTTTAATGGCTTCTTTTCTTGGCTCTGGCTTTGCGTATTTCTGCTGACCACAGAGTAGTGAAGGCCAAGCTGACTTCCTGTTCTCTCCTCGCCAGGTGTGTTATCGTAATTCCACAGCCTCGAAGGGCGCTTTTTAATTCCCTGCTCGCTGGCATGTCTGTTAGCCCCACAGACTGAGGGTGGCTTAGCTGCATTGCCTCCCTTCCTTCCCTCCCGTCTAGCCATTGCCAGGTTGACCAACCTCCCGTAACCCCCACTCCAGTCACATCAGCTCAGAAAGCCTCAGTATCCCCCTAAACCCTACCACGTTTGGTCTAAATTATTTTCCCTTTTAATGTCCTTGCCTTGCTGCACGTCCCCAACCTTATTTCTCAGCATCCACAACATGAACTGTTTTCAGGCTCTTCGCTTCTCTCTCCTACATACCCTTTCCTGCTGCCAGGACCTCACCCACAGGCTGTGTCCCTCAACTAGAATTCCTGTCCCCTCCCCTCAGCCAGCCTCAACCCAGCCACTGCTTCAAGGTCTATATCAGGCCCACTTCTGCCACAGAGCCTATTCTTTTGTTCTTGTTGTTTATTTTTTGAGGCAGGGTCTCACTATGTAGTTCAGGCTGGACTGAACTCATCATGGAGCCCAAGCTGGCCTCAAACTCACAGCAATCCTCCTATCTCAGCCTCCTGAGTGTTGCAATGACAGGCCTGCACCACCACACTAGGCTTCCATAAAGCCTTTTCCTGATCACATTCGTATCACCAGTTTCTCCTCTCTGGTCCTTCTTGGGTGTTTCCTGCCACCCATGGGGCTTGTTGCTATCTTAGTAATGTTGTTCACCATTAAAGATGTTCCTCTACAGTAGCAAAACTTTCTAGCCAGGCCTGGAGGAGCAGGCCTATAATCCTAGCACTCAAGAGGTTTAGACAGGAGGATCACTGCTACTTCAAGGCCAGCCTGGGCTGTATAGTGAGTTCATGTAGTCATTTCTTGCTCTAATTTTCTCTTTTTTTTTTTTTTTTTTTTTTTTTTTTTTTTTTTGGTCTTTTTGAGACAGGGTCTTGCTATGCAGTTCAGGCTGGCCTTGAGCTCACTTTGTAGCCCAGGCTGGTCTCGAACTCGCAACAATCCTCCTGCCTCAGCCTCCCAAGTGCTGGGATTACAGGCGTGTACCACCATGCCTGGCCTGTATAGTGAGTTCAAACCTACCTGAACTACATAGTGAAATCCTAGCTCCAAAAAAAGTACAAAAGTAGAACTTCGCTTATGCCACTTGGATATACAATCATCTCACTCCTCTCTGCAGCCCAGCATGTGGGAAGTTAAGGAGTATACTTCATGGATGAGAAAACTCGGGCTCAGGGAAGTTAAGAAACTTGGGAGGTAGCTCAGTGTTAGAGCATGTGCTTGGCGTCAACAAGGCTATTTGATCCCCAGCGGAGGAAGGAAGGGAGGAAGGGAGGAAGGGAGGAAGGGACTCTCCAGAGTCCTACCAAAGGTCAGCAGCAAAGGAACGCTTGAGTTCAGGTTTCCTTCCCCCAAGCCCAGTGCGCAGGCCCCACAGCTGCCAGCGCTATTTCATGTGTGTCCCACCTGCACTACACATAAGCTGACAGAGACCTGGTTAGCTCAGGCATTCCCAGGCTCCTCCTGTTGTCTTAACCTAATTACTTACATCTCGCCCTTGTACTCTCAGAAGTGCCCGCTCGGGTGATAACAGATATCGTGGCCCGCCCAGGGGTGGTTTTCAGTAATTGCTGGGCTGACTCACTGCTGGAGATTCTGACATCTACTTTTATGATCCTATTTGCTTTGTTTGTGTGTGGGTTGACAGCTCTATGACCTGATGACTATGGCTTTCAAATATCAAGTATTACTGTGTCCCCGACCCAAGGATGTGCTGCTGGTCACTTTCAATCATTTAGATGCCATCAAGGGATTCATCCACGACTCCCCAACCATCCTTCATCAAGTGGATGAGACTTTCCGGCAGCTGACAGAAGTAAGAGCACCATCAGTTTGTCTCCTTCCATCCCCGTACTTGTTCTCATTTCTCTGTAAGAACAGGTGGATTCTGTGACAGAGAGGACAGGTGAGGAATGGCAAAGCCTGCCAGTCTCCCAGAACATCCCCCAGATCCACCAGTATGTATTTTCTTAATACGATCGGCATTGTCATCCAGTGGCCTCTGCTGTCACCTAAGTAAATGGAAAAGCAGTGAAACAGAGCAAAGTCATTTTCTCCTGACTTTTCTGGAAGGGGGTGGGTCGCGGACATCTGCTGAACCTTGAGGACAGCCTCTCCGGGCCTGCAGAGGGTTAGAGACCTGTTGTGTCCGCCTGCTCAGCTGTGGCATTGTAGACTGTGCACCTAGAGAAAGAGGGGGCCCACACCCCTGCGGCCCTGTTTATCGGGCTCCTGTCCCCGAGCTCCCCGCCCCACTGTCCTCATTACTCATCTGCCCAGGAAGGTGAAGGGCCTCTTTCTGCTTTGCCTCGCAGGTGTACGGGGCTCTCTCCGCAGGTGAGTTCCAGCTGATCCGGCAGACGCTCCTCCTCTTCTTTCAAGACCTACACATCCGAGTGAGTGAGTGGGACCTGCTGACGTGGGGAACTCAAGTCTCCAGGGCGGACAGGGACTGCGATCTTGCCCGTTAATGATTCCCATCATGACTTGAATCCATGAGGTTTTTGGGGATTGAATTGCACTGAGAATTGAATGCAGGGCCTCCACACTGACCTATATCCCCAGCCTTTTATTTTGTTATTTTGAGGCAGGGTCTGGCTAAGTCCCTAAGTTTCCCGGGCTCCACACAAACTTATGATCCTCCTGCCTGAGCCTCTAGGATTCCAGACATGCCCCACCACGCCCGGCTTCTATGTTCATACAGCACCTCTCAGCAGGTTTTAAATGGACCGGGGAAGACAATGAGGCCACCACTCTTTCCAAGTTACATTGTGGGTTTCTTTGAAATACGGTTTCATCTCTTGCTTCTGCAGAGAAAGTATGCTCTTGAGGCAGTAGCCCAACCTCACTTCCAGACCTCTTCTCAGCCTTCTCAGCCTGGTGGCCAGCACCGGGTGCTGCCGGTAGGCTGCTAACATCTTCTGGACTGTCACACTCCATCCCATCGTGATGCCCTTCACACCTCCCATTCTCTCTCCCCATCTCCAGACCTTCCTCCTCTTATCTCCACCCACCCTCTGTTCTTCAGGACCTCCTCCCTTGGATGTCTTTCCTCCTCACTTTGGCTACCAGCACCTTTGCCTGTGGCACCTGAGTCTAACTCCACCCCACCCCCAGGCCCACAGTTCTGCCTGCTGACCAGAGCTGTCCACACAGTCACCCAGGGACTCCCACCTCAGTGTCAGTGACTTAAACTAATGGGAATACCACCGTTCTTCCACTTACTTGGCCTAGAACCAGAGTATAACCTTTTCTTCCCCTCCCTTGGTCTTTCAAAACACATTGCTGAGCTTCTGCGCTGGAAGCCTGTCTCTCTTGGATGGGACTTTGTCCCTTGACACAGTTTAACAAACTGATATGGAAAAGATGATGTGTGTGTCAGCCAGCTTTCCATCACTGGGACAGAGTACCCGAGAATAACAACTTAAAGGTGAAATGGTTTATTTTAGGTCCCAGTTTCAGTCCATATTCTGCTGGTTCCACTGCTTTGGGCCTGAGATGAGGCAGAACATCATGGCAGAAGGGCTTAGTGAAACAAAGCTGCTCACCTTAGGGCATCCAGGAAGCAGAAAGAGGAGAAAGGCGCAGAAAGAATATACCCTTCACCGCAACACACCCAGTGATGGTTTCATCATTCAGGCTCCACCTCCTAATAAGCCCATTCAGCTAAGGAACTCATCACTAGCATAATCCACTTGACCGAGTCAGAGCTCCCATGATCCCACCACTTCCCAAAAGCCCATCCACTGGCATCCAGCACACTGAGCCTTTGGGCGGACATTCTGGTCCCAACCATCACATTCTGGTCCCAACCATCACATTGGTACAGCAACTCCAGGCTCTGGAGGTAGACACTCTGTGTTTGAATCCCAACTCCAGACCTAGCTGCATGATCTTGAGGACATTATTTCCCTTGAGCCTTAGTTTCTTCACCTGAAAAGTGGACATTGCAGTACCTGGTTTAGAGTCTCTCGGGAGGACTGACTGAAGCAGCAGGTGTGAGGTTCTGTATTTGCTCGTATATATTAGCATGCTTCTGGAAGGATAGGCAAGAAACTGGCCACATTGGCTGCCTCTGGGGAGTGGCAACTGTATGGAAGACAGGGGTCAGCAGAGGGACTTTCCTTTTGAACTTCATACCTGTACGTGTGTTACATGCAAAATAAAATTTAAAAGAGAAGTATCGCGTATTCAGTGCCTGTGCAGATTTCCCTCCCATGGATCACAGAACAAATAGATTTCAGCTCTGATGCCAGTTTTATTAATTGTACTGTATTTCCTATGGATGGAGCAATAACAACATCAATATAAATTCAGATCTCTAAAGCCAGGCGTGGTGGTGCACACTTGTAATCCCAGTGCTCAGGAAGCTGAGGCAGGAGGCTACATAGAGAGGCCCTGTCTCAAAAACAGTGAAGATCTCTACTAGTCATGGATTAAAACAAAAATGTGAAAGTACAAATAATAAGTTTTGCATCAAATTTAAGATCAATTTTAAAATCTTGAAAATTCCACATAATATTATTATCAAACCGTGCATATTTGGGCACATTTTATGGGTTGCAGTAATACAAAGAGCCATATTGATTTTTCAGTTCTGACCAAATAAAATTAATTATAATGAAAAGACTTGCCTAATAATAATTCTGTAGCAAAACCATTAAAATATATTAAACTTTAATTGCTAAATGGGCAGCAGTGAAACATTGGGATGCTTATCAAGAAAAATAGGAGCCACATGCAGTAACAATAGTCTGCCACTGATCTGGAACAGCTGGGCAGCTTTGCTCGGTAATGGTATTTCTGCTTAGCTGCAGCTTGTGATTGCCTATGCAGATTTGTTTTAAAAACCTTGACAGTTTCTAGATTTGTTAGCAAAACTAACTAAATCAAGAAAATGCAGCTCTGCTCTATTCCTTCCATAATGTTGAACCAAAGCAAATACAAACAAAACTGCTCATCTGATGTCTGAGCTTTTTGTGATAACTCTAAGCAACGCAAAATGTCCTTAATGTGGCCAAAGCCCTAACTCACACACTAAGGCTGGACGGAAACTGCACTAAGACAGAGTCCATCTGGAATCCTCAGCAGTTATTTACAGCCACATCCATGCCGACCCCTCGGCCTCTAGATTTCCTGTGCAGCCGCCGCCTCATGCACGGCCAGCTCCCCAAGTCCCTCTCCTTCACCCGACCCATGCACCCTTCCACCAAGGACTCCGCACTCCTTCTACCATTTCACTTGCCGGGAGACGTCATTCCTGCTTAGCCTCTTCCTGGACTATTCCCTGACCTCTACTCCATTATCTGCCCTACTTGGAAACAGTTCATCCCTGGAAAAGTTAGTCTAGCAAATATTTACTGACTTCCTACTGTATGACAAGTATTGTTATAAGTCTGAAATATGTAAATGATCAAAAGCAAGTCCATACTTTCAGGAAGAGAATAGGAAGACAGTTATGTCATGCTTTTGTAGTGGTAATGTTGAGGGAGAGGGGAATAGCAGCCAAAGCTATACACAGCAAGTGGGAAGCCAGGCATGGTAGCACACACCTGTAATCCCAGTACTTGGGAGGCTAAGGCAGGAGGATCACTGTGAGTTCAAAGCCAGCCTGGACTACATAGTGAGACCCTGTCTCAAAAAGAAAAAAAAAAATGTAGGTAAAAAACTAAGCTGGGCATGATCACATATGCCTGTGGTCCTACCTAGCTCTCTGGGACCATGAGGCAGGAGGATCATTGGCCAGCTGTGAGCCAATGATCTAGCAGCAGCAGAGAGCCAGTGAAAGAACACAACCAATACGAACTGCAGTAGAATGGAGGGTGGATTAAAAGCAGGCAAGAAGGAAGGCATGGTGACCAGTTTCAGCTGGTGATGGTATAACAGCAAGCAGAAAAACTGAAAACATCACCCAGGATTTGGAGGCAGGTTTATTTTACACTGATGGGCTCTGATTAGGATCATTCCCAAAATATCAGGCCTAGAAGGCCCAGGGAGGGAGGTTTTTATGGAGTTGCAAAGGGGAAGTACAGAGGCAGAGTTCCTGGCTGTCTTTGATTGGTTCTTACAATATGCATCATTATGACCAGCTAAGCACCCCAGTGACCAGCCATTTCTAAGAGACAGAAGTAACAGGAACTGTTACCTGGGCAACTAACAGGTGGGGGGGATTTCTGCTACAATGGAAGCAGCTGGGTAGAGAGGAAGGGTTGGTTGGAGGAGTCGCCGTTTGATTGACAGGGCCTAGCAACTGAATAGACAGAAACGGGTGGAAGCATAGGCTCTCTGCTCGCAAACTTTGTGAGCTGGTAGTGTCATTCACTGAAACTGGGAATGCCAGAGAGACAGCAGATTGGAAGAGACAAACAGCAGCCTGTTTCTGAGAAGGGAACATGAGGTGCATTCTGGGAGCTTGAGGTGGCCCTGTCTGGCAGGCAATGGGATGAACCCGTCAGGTGCCCAGGGAAGGAGGCTACGTGGGAACTGGAGATGTCGGAGCCTCCAGCACAGAGGTGAGCACTGGAGTATGGAAGCAGATGAGATCACCTGGGAAAGAAGGTGTGGAGGGAGAGAAAAAGAGCACAGGGCAGTCACACCTACAGTGGGGCCAGCGGCAGGCTGGGCAAGCAGACAGACTCAAGCACACTGCCCAGTCAGGGCTGAATTCCCATCAGAGGCACACTGCGTGGCTGCATGTATGCATTTCACATCCCACGCCAAACCAACCGCACTACAACTGGCCCAACAAAGGGGCCAGAGTCTCACTTTTCTTCCAAATTGCCTTCCTCCATTTTGCTGAACTCACATTCCTTCATCACAGAATCTCAAAACTAAACTTTCTTAAAAGGTCTCCAGCCAAACCTCCTGATCAAATGAGTTTGCAGCCCCCTCAAAACAAAATATAGCTGTGTCTGCCCCACTGTATTGGGAAGTGTCTCCATTCCCACCCCTTTATCCTTAGGGCCAAACCCACCATCACCCCACGTCCCCGAGGCCTACTCTTTTTTTTTTGTTTGTTTGTTTGTTTTTTCTGATACCGGGAATTGAACTCACGACCTTGCGCTTGCCAGGCAGGTGCTTTGCCGCTGAGCTAAATCCCCAACCCCAAAAGTGAACTTTTTTTTTTTTTTCTTTTTCTTTTTGTCTTTTTGAGACAGGGTCTCGCTGTGCAGTTCAGGCTGGCCTTGAGCTCACTTTGTAGCCCAGGCTGGTCTCGAACTCAAAACGATCCTCCTGTGTCAGCCTCCTGAGTGCTGGGATTACAGGCTGTGCCACCACACCTGGCCCCGAGGCCTACTCTCATTCTCTTCAGTGAGCTTCGGTGCAAGTTCTAGTTTTACAGCAGGCTTTTCCATGTTATGTGTGTGTTCTGTATCCAAGTAGACTATGATAGGAATACTGGCTGCCATTTATGAAGCACCGGACTATGCGCAGGCCTCTGCCTTACCCACCTCCTCCCTCCGGGTGATGGGATTGCACAGGGCCCGGCGCGTGCTAGACAAGTGTTCTGCCCCTGAGCCACACATCCTTAGCCCCCAGGCTCCGCTCCCTGTACATGATCTGTTTCACTTGTCACTGATTCATTAAGTAGGCACTGCTACACGCCCAGTTTACCAAAGAGAAAGTTGCAAGGTTGTGTGACTTAAAAAAAAATCCAGAGCCATGGCTGAGGTTGTACCTCAGTGGTAGAGTACATTTTTATCATGCCTGAGGCCCTAGGTTCAACCTCCAGCACTACAAAAAAGAAAAATAAACCTAGAGCCAAGAAGGGGCCCAGCTGATATTTGAGCCTAAACAGTCTAAAATCAGTCTGCCAAGTTGCCAGCTTACAAATCGTATCATTTTGTATTTTCACTGTCTCACACACAATAGATGCTTGTTCTTGATGATACTATAATTCTTGATAATATAAACTTGTAGAATTACAGTGTTGGAAGGGAACTCCAAGTTTCTCTCATTTTGTACATGAGAAAGCTAAGACCTAGTAAAACTGGCTTACTGTCACAATCTTTAGTGGGACTTAAACTATGAATGGCCAACCCCTCAATGCAGAGTATATAAGCCAGGAAGTAGAAGTAAGCGTAATACAAAGCTGGATGCGGTGGTGCATGCCCGTGGTGTGAACTACTCAGGAGACTGAGGCAGGAGGATCACAAATTTGAGACTAGCTTGAGCAACTTAACAAGACCCTGTCTCAAAGGGGCAGTGGGGGGTGGGGAAGAGAGGGAGGGGCATAATATGCTGCCAGGAAAGACCTTCAAACTGTAATGTTAACTGGGTCCACCTGCTTCAGCCCACCGTTCTCAACAGCCACCATGTGGATAAGAGCTCAGATTCAGAATCAGAAACAGAAAAATTTGAATCCTCAGCTCTGCCCTTATGAGCTGGCAACCTTAACCTCTGAGTGGCTGATTGTTCATCTATAAGATGGCACTGAGCTTCTTACAGCACAAGGCTCATAGCTGCATGAAACGTTAGCAGGGAAATGAGGAATGAATATGGAATTTGGAGTCTGTTTGGTGGTTGATTGGTTGGTTGGTTGGTTTGCCTGTCTTGTGTTGTGGTACTGGGATCAAAGGGGGTGCTCTATCACTGAGCTACATTCTAGCCCTTTTTATTTTTCATTTTGAGACAGAGTCTCACTAAGTTGCCTAGGGTGGCCTCCAACCTTCAACCCTCCTAGCCTTAGCCTCCTGAAGAGCTGGGACTACAGGTGTGCACCACCACACCTGGCCCAACCTTGCCTTTGAATCTCGGCCCTGCCTCTTACTCTTCTCCTTTGGGCAAGTCACTTGACTCTGAACCTCACCTTCCTCATCTTTAAAATGGTAGAATCTGGGCGTAGTGGAACACATATCTGTAATCCCAGCACTCTGGGAGGCTGAGGCAGGAGATTCAAAAGTTCCAGCCCAGCCTGGGAAATTTAACAACTTAGTAAGACCCTGTCTCAGAATAAAAAATAAAAAGGGACTGGAGATGTACCTCAGTGGTGGAGTGCCCCCATGTTTGATTCCCCAGTATCACAAAAGTAAAATAAAAATAGAAGTACTATGACTCATTTGGAAGGTTTACTGTGAGACTCAAAAGTAGTCCTGTTTGCAAAACCACTATAAATTCTGCACATTCCTTATGATAAGTTCTTCTCCCTTAGTGATTTAAACTCACTAGGTAACATTCCCAAACCATTACACAATCTTCATCCTCAGAATGTGTGTCCAGCCGGGCGTGGTGGTGCACACCTGTAATCCCAGCACTTGAGAGGCAGAGGCAGGAGGATTGTTGAGAGTTTGAGGCCAGCCTGGGCTACATAATGAGTTCAAGGCTAGCCTGAACTACATAGTGAGACCCTGGCTCAAAAAAAAAAAAAAAAAAATCTATATCCATGGAAACATACCCAGAAAAAAATGACACTAAATACATTTTTTTCCAGGTATCCATATTTCTAAAGGACAGAGTTCAGAATTCTAATGGTCGCTTTGTGATGCCAGTGTCGGGGCCTGTTCCCTGGGGAACTGAAGTTCCAGGACTCATCAGGTGACTCCTCCCCCATAACTACCCCGCAGCTCTGAGGCACCAGGAAAGCAGCGTATGGACCACCACACAGCATGCGGCGCGGCGGAGCCCTGCTGGCTCTGCTCGCCTCGTCCTGTCTACAGTAAAGCGCAGCTTTTAAGCAGCTCAGGCGCTAATACTGGCTGTGCCAATTAGTGGAGGGATTCAAATCAAGCCACCCAGTTCCCTCAAATTCATTTCCCTCCGTTAAACAGCTGCAGGAGGATAACAGTGCTCTGAAGTGCTCACGCAGCACTTGGCACATGACATGCGCTCCATGAATATTGTCGCTACAGCATTATTCCTATCATCACAGTCAGCATCTTTTTTTGTTGTTGTTTGGTTGGTTGGTTGGTTGGTTTTGATTTTTTTAGACAGGGTCTTCCTCTGTAGCCCAGGCTGGCTTTAAACTATGTAACCCAAGCTGGCTTCAAACTCCCAGCAATCCTCCTGCCTCAGCCTCCCAAATGCTGGGATTATAGATGTATGCCAGCACAGCCGGCTGCATCTATTTCTTGAAAAAGTGCATGAAATCCCTTTTATTTCCTGTAGTACAAAGAATAAGAAAGCCCCAGGACTACCCATGCTTCAAGAGCATTCTATGATGTCCTGCTTTGCATTTTAGAATGTTCAACCACAAAGGTGAAGAAGTGAAGAAGATAGAATTCAAGCATGGTGGAGACTATGTCACTGCCCCCAAAGAAGGCTCTTTTGAACTTTATGGAGACCGGGTCTTGAAACTGGGAACTAACATGTAAGCAACTAGAACTCACTTAATTCAAAACAACCAACCTGACTTCGCTATGGAAGCCCCTGCTGACAACAGCAGCCATTCCATTCCCCCTTAGCTACAGTCTGTGCTGAAAGGGCACCCAAGACCCCCAGGGTGACCCAACAGGTCGCCAAGAAAGCTAGACTTAAAACAGTCATGGAAGGCAGGGTTCATCCCAGCACTCAGGAGGCTGAGGCAGGAGGCTCGCCTCAAGTTCAAGGCCAGCCTGGGCTACATAGTGAGTTCAAGGCCAGCCTACATTACAAAGCAAGACTTTGTCTCTAAATAAATAAACAGCCATGGAAGAGACATAGCCAAAGCTTCCGTTGCCATGGAAATCCAAAGAGACTCGGCTTCCACCCATCATTTCACAGCCACGTATGACTGTCTTCAGGGGGAGGCCCTGCCCCACAGCTCCCCTGGGGATTTTTCTTTAGGAAGAAATAAAATATGAGTGGCTAATAGTTGTATCCTGTACTCATAGCACCTTTCTGGATGCCACTTAATATAACAAAAATAAAAGCTGTGACCTACATTAACGAGTGTGAGGGAAGGCAGTGAAAAGCGCTAGATCATGTCACCATTTTCTGTTGACACCAGGTACAGCGTGCATCGGCCTGTGGAAACGCATATGTCCGGGGCATCCAAGAACTTAGCCTCACGGACACAGGTGAGCGCCTGCCCCCTCCCTATCCTCCCGCCTCTTTCAAGGTACAGAAATCTGCATGAGGTGGAGGTGGGAACCTTAGATTTCAGAGCTAACCCCCATTTCCCTCATTGTTTGCAGTCTTCTCCAGTCAGCCTTACAGGTTGGTAATTGTCACTTTGCATGAAACCTCCCAGGGATCTGACTAATTGGGTAATTTTAGGCTTGGTTCCACCACCATAATTAAGCAGGAACCGCGTATCAAGGCCTGTGAAATAGCGCTGTACCGGTGTCATCAGGTACCGCGGTTGCAGAGTGCAGCGCTTGTGTCCGTGCTGACTGCTAAATCATCCCATCTTCGTGTGTTCCTACATGGTGATGTGGTAGCTAAGTTCCAAATAGAGATTTTATTTCTCTGAATCCCAGCTTTATAAATCCTCACTAACGAGCTACAGCTAACTAGGACAAATCATGGAAGAGACAGTTATTCAGCAGACACTTAGCGAACTGCTCTCTGGGTACCAGGGACACAGGTGTCGGAAATGTGGTCCCATCCGGAAGGGGCTTGGAGCCCCCTGGAGAAGACGGTGGTAGGAAAAAGTAACTCTAACGAGGTGGGCGGTAGGTGCACTGAGTATCTGCGCCAGCACACACGTTTTTCCAGCAGGGTGGATGCCAAGGGACAGGCAGTGTCAAGAAGGCTTTTCTCCAGGTGCTGCGGCGCACACCTCTGATCCCGGAACTGGGGCTAAGGCAGGAGGATCGCAGGGAGCTCAAGGCCAGCCTGGGCTACATGGCGAAACCCTGTCTCCAGAAACAAACAACAAAAAGACTTTTCAGGGAGCTGATACTGAAGTGGGGCTCTAGCGTGTGAAATACTAACTAGGAGGGGATGAGACATTGTTGTGCAGCCTGAGTGACAAAGTGACCAGAAGCAAGAGGGCAAAAGAGCAAGGTGGGGACCGTGTAGCTACATGGCCAAATCATAGCGTAACTGAGGCAGGTGGCAGAGATTCCACTGGACAGGGACAGGGGGCCCGATTTTGCAGGCTGGGGGGTAAACTTGACTGTATTCTTTAGACAGGAAGTACAAGGGTTTGTTTCAAGCAAGAGAGAAATGAGACAAGAATTGTGTTTTGGTCGAGGTTTAGAGAGAGCCAGGGAGGGAGGGCGGGAGGAGGGCACTGGCTGAAGGGCACTGAGGACTGAGGCGCGGAAGGCGTGGCCTCGAGGGACTGTTCGCGGCTGTCGCCACCAGAGGGCAGTGTGGGCGCTCCTCCGGGATGGTGCCTTTGGACCTAGAGACTCGGCTGGGGCTTCTGGTACCCGCGGAGGGAAATGGGTCGACCAAAGAGGAAGTGCTGCTGTTCTCCCTTCAGAGGAGGGGCCGGTAGTCTGAGGAGAAGTGTGATCCCCGGGCACCGCACTCATCCCGAAAGTACGAGCATCTCCAGTTTGCTGCGTTGCTGGATTCTTTCTGCCGCTAACACAGATTATTTTTTCTGTTGGCTCAGCCTGCTTTCTCCCCTGCAGTTGGGCCCAGAAATAATTAACAGTTGTTGTCTTACTTTGCTTTATAAAACCTCCCTGGGTCTCAGGGGTCTTTGCAGGAAGTGTGATCACGTTCATGTGGCTACAAATCCTGCAATTGTTTCCGCAGAAAAGCATTGCTCCAAATCCTCTTGCTAAAGAAGAGCTGAATTTCCTGGCCAGGCTAATGGGAGGAATGGAGATTAAGAAACCCAGCGGCCCTGAACCAGGATTCCGGTTGAATCTCTTTACTACTGATGAAGAAGAGGAGTATGTTTCAGCCCTGTTCATTTTTTGTTTGTTTGTTTTTGTCTTGTTGAGACAGGATCTCACCATGCAATTCAGACTGGCCTTGAGCTCACTTTGTAGCCCAGGCTAGTCTTGAACTCACAATGATCCCCCTGCCTCAGCCTCCTGAGTGCTGGGATTACAGGTGCGTGCCACCACGCCTGGCTTCAACCCTGTTCTTTAAAGACATCTGTAAAAATCCTAAGTGTCTAAACATAACAATTATGAACCGGTGATACATATAAATACAGAAATCACAAATGAAATACCAGCAAATTCAATATCCCGGTTAAAGAGGTTCCCCAGGATTAGATGGCCTGAACCTTCATGAGCCATTCAAAAGGAGTGCTCCCAGGTGTGAGGACACACTCCTGTAATCCCAGCACCTGGGAGGCTGAGGCAGGAGGATCACAAGTTGGACAGCAGTTTAGACAATTTAGTGAGACCCTGTCATACAATAAAAACTAAAAAAGGTCTGGGGATAAAGCTCAGAGTGCAGGCCCTGGGTTTAATACCCAATATCATAAAAAAGGAAGAAGAGAAGAAAAGAAACCAGAGAGAAGTTGAAACTTGCTGTCCTTGAGGTTAGACAGCCTCACCAAAAACCAATAGGAATAGTAATTCACCAAGATTTACATAGTGTTTTATAGTTTATAATGCACATTCTTGTTTTTTTGTGATGCTGGGAATTGAACCTAAGGCCTTATACTTGCTAGACTAGTGCTCTACCACTGAGATACATCCTCAGCCCCCTACATATTTTTTGTTTTTTGGTTTTTTGGTTTTTTTGTCTGTTTGAGGTAGGGTCTTGCTATGCAGTTCAGGCTGGACTTGAGCTCATTTTGTAGCTCAGGCTGGTCTCAAACTCACAACAATCCTCCTGCCTCAGCCTCCCAAGTGCCAGGATCTCAGGCATGCCCGGCAATGTTTGTTTGTTTTAGTTTTGTTTTGTTTTTACTTTTTTTGAGACAGGGTTTCACTATGTAGCCCAGGCTGGCCTCAAAAGCACAGCAGTCCTCCTGCCTCAGCCTCTTGACTTCTGGGATTATAGGTGTGTGCTACAATACCCAGCCCCCTATATACATTTGCATGCCTTATCTCATATGATTCTTCGCACAACCAAGTATTTGAAGTACAGGCTGCCTTCTATTTCCCCACTTACTAAAGAAAGTTCTTCCATTTGCTTCCACGTGGCAAGCAGTAGGCTAAGTGCTGGGGACAAAGAGTCAGAGGGTAAGACCTAGCTCCTGTCCTCACCGAACTTGCGGCTTAGTGGGAGAACGGAGGACATAAGTCCTTCCAGGGCCTTTCATGAACGCTCCAACTTGGCACCAGCCAGGTGCAGGGGTTGGCATGTGATCTGAATGTCAGAGTTTGCCAATAAGGGGAGGGGGAATCATACCTGGCAGAGTTCAGGGTATACCGAGACTCAGGGACAGAAACGGGCTTGACTTTTCTGGGAGCACTGGCTGGAGATGGGACAGAAAGGTGAAGGGCAATGTCAAAATGAGACAGAAAAAATAGGCTGGCAAAGTGCGAAGGGGCCGCTTGCCGTGCTGTGAGGGAAAAAACCCTGACCTTGAACTCATTTCTTTACTGTCTCATCCAGACACGCAGCGCTGTCCAGGCCAGAAGAATTATCCTACGAAGTTATCAACATACAAGCTACACAGGTACTTAGGCTCTCATGGGATCTAATCCTTTTTTTTTTTTTTTTTTTTTGACTTTTTGAGACAGGGTCTCGCTATGCAGTCCAGGCTGGCCTTGAATTCACTGTGTAGCCCAGGCTGACTTAGAACTCACAGTGATCCTCCTGTCTCAGCCTCCGAGTGCTCAGATTATAGGCATAGGCCACCATGCCCAACACAGGGTCTAATCTTATTCCTCCCCTCACCTTATAGTAACCTTGAACTTCAAAGACCCCCTTCTCTCTAATCAGACTGAAACTACTGTCCTTATTCTGACAAACAGGTGAGCAACTGAAATATATGCCAATGGGGACCGAAACTTCCAGTACCTACCGCCCAAAGCTGCAGTCCTCCCAACACCCTGACACCTCAAAATGTCCTCCTCCCCCCTCCCCCCTCTGGTTTCTCTAACAGGACCAGCAGCGGAATGAAGAGCTGGCTCGGATCATGGGAGAGCTCGAGGTCACTGAGCAGCCGAGGCAGAGCACCAGCAAAGGGGATGATCTGCTCGCCATGATGGATGAGTTATAGCTGTGCTGACCGGGCACAGCCCGGCCCACCTCCCTGAGGACAGAAAACTCCAGGGTCCAAAATGATGCTGCTAGTTTTTCACCGAGCAAGGCCATTACCTCTAGTTCCTGCTTATGTTGTAACAAACTGTGCAGTTTTCCTCAGAGAGTACACTTCCCTGAGGACGCACATGCACGTCTTTTCAGCAAAATACATTCTGACTCACAAACTGAACTTTTCCCATTTAATCCTAATTCTGTGGCAACCATGCAAAGCATCCTGGGAGGGAAGTTGAGCCCCAGAGCTATGAGGGAGACGCTCCCACTATCCTTTTCAGGTTTGCTGCCTTACCTTTCCCGCAGGGACCCAAGCCGCACAGGTGTCTGTAAGTCATAACAAAAGCATCAGCATTTGCTGGGATGTGCTCTGCCTTGTAGGTAAGTTGGACATCAGAAGGCAGTGGCTTCAGTCTGTCAGGGCCCAGGTTAGGTGGCCTCCTCCCCTTGGCGCACAAGAACTGTCATCTCCCAGAGGCAGACCGAGCAAGCCAGGCTGTGGCAGGGCACCTGGGGTATGTATTAGTCTGCACACATCCCCATCAGTGCATACGGGTAGTCTTTGGCCATATGGTGTGCTAGCCCTCCAGAGACACCCAGCTTCGTGTGCTGTGACAGTTGTCTCCTCTGTGTCACCTTCTGTCACCAGGCAGAGCCTTGGGCTGGCTGTGTGGGAGACATGAGTGGAGTGCCACTTCCCCTTCCATGAGCCAGCAGAGCCACTTCTCCTGGGGCCCATGGGTACTATCTCAGGGCAGGGCTGCCATAGGGTTTCAGGAAGGAGCAGCAGCCCCGCACACCTGCTCCCTCCCAGCACTGAGGAACCCGTGGGCACCGGGCCAGCCACCGTCCAGAGGTCAAGGTCCACTCAGTCCCATGGAAGGAATAGCTGGAAGGACAGTGGGTAGTACCGAAACTCAGCTGAGAGAGTCATTCCTGAAATGGGGCCAGCTGCAGGACCACTACGGCCCCCACATCCTGTGAAGAGTAGGGACAGTATAGTTCCGGAATGCGAGGGCAGGGAAGCTATCCTAGCATTTGGATACACAGAAGTAAATCACTAGATAAATTTAGTTTGTTTCCTGCCCATTAAAGTTATACTTTCTGGCTGGATGTGGTAGCATACATCTGTCATCCCAGCACTCGAGGAGGCTGAGGCAGGATAATGGCAAGCTCAAGCCCGGCCTGGATAACTTAGCAAGACTCTGCCTCAAAAATGAAAACTAAAAAACAGGGCTAGGAAGTACCTCTGTGCAGAGGCTCTAGGCTCAATCCCCAGTATCGCAATGAATTAAAATTTAAAATTAAACAAAAAATAAGAAAGTTACACTTTCTTACCTATAAAGACATCTGCCCTCCCCCACAAAACAGTTCTGTTAGGAGGGAAAGCCTCTCATTGCAAAATGCCTGCTGCCACGTACCAAGTACCTTCTGTTTAGTGCCCTGTAAGTAATCTGGCCACCAGCCAGGACCTGACGGGGGACAGGGGAAGGGAAAGGTTCTGTGCTGCCCGAGGCTGGCTCCCTGCATGCTGTCACAATCATGAGCTTCCCTGCCTGAACCTGGACAATGGGCCGCCAGGTGCCTGGGAGCAGCAGCCTCCTGCCTCCACCTGTCCCGGCGCGATGCTGGTGACTTCCAATGTGACTGTCCTCTGGGGAAATAAACAAGATACAGATCTCGGTGATGAGGTAAGCATGGAGTTTCGTGTCTTGAGTCTTGCACAATATTGAGAAAAACAGGTTTATATATATGGTGGCTGAAAGCATCCAGAGAATGCCCGGGAGGCAGGAAGAAGCAACACATGCACACGAAAGGAGCAAAGACAAGGGACTGCAGAGTGAGCTCGGGCAGGGCGCCTGCTGAGCATGTGCAAGGCCCCGGTTCCAGTTCCCAGCAACACAAAACAAAGTAGGGATTCCTCCACCCAAAGTGTGGGCTAAGCACTAACAATACATCAGTGCCTATTTAAAATCAGGCCAAGAGTACAAGGGTCTCATACAACAATGCCCAGTACCCTTCAGGGGGAGTGCCTGTGGTCAGGATCGGGACACTCTGCCCTGTCCCATCCCTGCCCTAAATTCACCGTGTCATCTTGGGCCAGTTGTCCTCACCAAGCCTCAGTCTCCTGAGCCATGAGAAGACTCAGTTCAGTGACTCCGGCCCAGCTGGCCCCAGAGAGGTTCAAGTACAGGCCCTGCCCCAGGCGGGACCCAAGAGAGCACTTGCCACACCCTATGCTCTGGAGAGCAGCTCCTGTCCTTTGGCTCTACTGTGACTATGACCTCTTTTCAAGCAAGTTGCAAGCTGCTGCTGTTAGAGGGTCAGGAGTTATGTGAGACAAAGCTCTGAAAAGGTCAAAGGAGTTTAATGGCTCCTAGAAGAAAGCAGTAATAAAAATCAAGAGTGACGGAGGCAGGAAAAAAAAAAGAAATTAATTGATCCTTTAATTCTAAGAGGAACGTCAGCTGGGTATGGTGGCACAGGCCTGTAATCTCAGCATTTGGGAGGCTGAGGCAGGAGGATTGCCTCAAGTCGGAGGCCAGCCTAGCTACAAAGTGAGTTCAAGGCCAGTCTGAACTACATAGTGAGGCCCTGTCCCAAAAAAAGAAAGAGCCACGCGTGGTGGCGTATGCCTATAATCCCAGCACTTGGGAGGCTGAGGCAGGAGGATTGCTGTGAATTCAAGACCAGCCTGGGCTACAAAGTCAGCTCAAGCCCAGCCTAAACTGCACAGTGAGACCCTGTCTCAAAAAAAAAAAGAGGAAAGTCATCCCATGTAGTCCACATAAGCATCTAACAACTTCAAAGGTAAAGGTCACTTTTTCCTTAGATGCAAATCCCAGGAGAGAAACAGATTTTAGCATGGTAATTCCAGAGGTACCCAGCTCCACACCGGGTCAGATCCCCTCAGTCACGTGTCTTCCTAATCATCAACTTTGTCACTGTGATTTACATGCAGTATAATTATAGCCACACTGTTCAGCCACAGGAAACCATTAGAAACAAACGCAAATTTTTACAACATACATAGATTTAGCATGACCTCAAATCTTTTTGTGTGTTTGTTTGATTGGTTAGTTTTTTGCTTTTGCTTTTTGAGACAGGGTCTCACTATATAGTTCAAGCTGACCTCAAACTCTTGGCAATCCTCCTGCCTCAGTCTCCTAAGTGCTGGGATTATAGGTGTCTACCACCATGCCCAGTTTATAATTTCAGATGTTAAAGCCTGAAAGTCTAAAAACATCTGGGCATGGTGGCATGTGTCTGTAAGTCCAGCTGCCTGGAACCTTGAGGTAGAACAGTGAATTCTAGGCCAGCTTGGGGAATTTTTCTGTCTCAAGAAAGAAAAAAAGTCTGAAAAGGAGTCTAACCTTTACCTGTCTTACTCCTTTTAAATAACTTGTTCCTTGGATAACTTCTGAGCAGCTAAACTCCTGGACAGCGGCAGCAAGAGGAGCAACTGGAAAGAGCTGGAGTAAGGCAGCCACTCCATGGCTGACTCTTCCTGGCACAGCTTGAGACATGATGTGGGGTAAACTCTCAGATGAAAACTCCGCTTTTTTTTAAGTAAGACTGCCAAGACACACTCCCAGGGCCCTTGGAAATTATTTTGGATTAGCTGATTGCCTTAGCACTCCCTACCACATATTTCACTCCTGGCCTGTTTTCTAGTCCTTATCCTAACACACACACCCCCATTCCTGATCCTGGCCCCGGTGCTGATCCCAGGGTTCAACACACCCTGGGTGCTTAGTTCGCCTTCTTCTGCAGATTGTTTTGCATCATTTCTGCCCACAGCTGTGACCTTAAACTCTGACCTCTGTGCTGCAGGCTAATTCACCTGATGTCCTTCATCACTTCACACTTCCAGAGTCTAAAACTGAAGTCATTTTTTTTTCATCTTTTTTTGTTTGTTTTGTTTTTTGTTGTTGTTGTTTTTTGTTGGGGGGGTTGTCTTTTTGAGACAGGGTCTCATTATGCAGTTCAGGCTGGCTTTGAGCTCACTTTGTAGCCCAGGCTGGTCTCAAACTTGCAACATCCTCCTGCCTCAGCCTCCCAAATGCTGGGATTACAGGCATCTGCCACCACATTCAACTTGAAATCACTTTCATTTAATATATTTACTTTACTTTGAAAATGCATGAAGAAGCCAAATGTGGTGGTGTATACCTGTAATCCCCAAACTTAAAAGGCTGAGGCAAGAAGATCACTAGAGCCCAGGAGTTTGAGGCCAGCCTGGACAACTTAGTGACAGACCCTGTCTCAAAATAAAAAAGAGAAGTGGGGAGGGAAGAGGATTAAGAAAAGGAAACAAGCTGTATTACGTACATATACTCCTCAAAATGACTGTAAACTGCATGTACTGCAAAGATGTGATAAAATTTTAGATGTATATATACATATATGTATAACTTTTCAAATTTTATTTATAGGGGCTGGGGATTTAGCTCAGTGGCACAGCACCTGCTTGGCAAGCATGAGGTCACGAGTTTGATTCCTGGTACGGGGCGGGGGGGAGTAAAATTTTATTCATATATATATATATGAAAAAGAAAAGAAGGGCTGAGATGTCACTCAGTGTGAAGATCCTGGGCTTAATTCCCAGGAAAGAAAGAAAGAGAGAGAGGAAGGAGAAAAAGAGAGACAGGAGAGGAGGGAGAGAGGAGAGAAAGGAGAGAGAAAGAAAAAGAACAAAAAGAAACCAACTCAGCCCTTTGAATAGAAAGGGAGCTGAGTGCCCTGCCATATACAGCACCTATAATCCCAGCTACTCAGGAAGCTGAGGCACAGTGCAAGTTCCAGACCCAACTGGGCAATTTAGCAAGATCTTGTCTTTTTTGTGTTTGTTGTTTTGTTCTGTTTTATTCTTTGTTTTTTTGAGACAGGGTCTCACTATGTATTTGAGGCCTCAAATTCACACTGATCCTCCTACCTTAGTCTCCCGAGTCCTGGGATTACACACCCATGTTCCCGTTTTTGTCTTTGTTCATTTGTTTGTTTGAGACAGGGTCTCACTGTGTACCCCAGGCTGGCCTCAAATTCATGGTAGTCCTCCTGCTTCAGCCTCCAACTGCTGAGATTACAAGCATGCACTACCACACCTAAAACCTGTCTTTAAAAACAAACAAATAAAACAGGCTGGGGTGTAGCTCATGGTAGAGCCATTACTTGCCTAGCAGCAAGTGCGAAACCCTGGGCTCACATCCCATGCTGAGAAGGAGGGGAAAAAATTTCCTGGCAGGGCTTCAGGCAACTTGAAGATTTTTCTGGAAGACTAGAGACCCTCAGAAAGGAACAAGGAAGGGTAAGAGGTGGAGAAAGGTCCTGGCACTGAGAATAATGCACCCAGTTACACAGTTACTAGGACAGAGCCAAGAGACCCTGCTGGCTTGTGTCACTTGCTCTGGATTTAAAGATGATAATGGCTGAGTGTAGGTCATAAGCCCATACTATAGCTCACACAGTTCAAAGACAGTATCTATCTTGCCTTTAAATCACCTGCTGTGGGAAGCAGAACCTCATCTCCCACTGAAGTTCACACACATGTAAGGAATATGTCCTGAGCCTTTCTCCTCAGCAACCCACACGAGCTCTGCCACACCCAGAGAGGCCCGTGGCAAGTCCCTAACCCACTCCTCTGGATACCCAGCATCCACCTTCCACCCACATTCTAGATGGCATCACCTTCTAAGAATTCAGATTGGCACTTTTCAAGGTCTTTCATATTTATTCCTCCCTTCCATTCCCACTGTCCATTTAGATTCCTACTCCTGTCTCACACTTATAAAACTAGTGTTCTTCATGCAACTGTGGTTTATGGTGTGAAGCATTTGAGCCTCCTAAAGTCTTGTTCCTGTCCCAACGCTAAGAGACTAGTAAAGAGGGTAAGGTTTACATAAAAATTATAGCTAATCTGGCCAGGCATGGGGGCGCACACCTGTAATCCCAGCACTCGGGAGATTGAGGCAGGAGGATCACTGTGAGTTTGAGGTCAGCCTAGACTAGATATTGAGTTCAAGGCCAGCCTGGACTACATAGCAAGACCCTGTCTCAAAAAGCAACAACAAAAAATAAAACTATGGTGAATCTGCATGCAACGTGCAAACAAAGAGAAATGTAAGCAATTTGCTCTAGGAATTAGACATCACTCCACCTGCAGTGACCACTAACTTCCGAGAGACGTGGTAATCAACCTGGGTTTCCCAGGAGAGACTGGATTTAACATCCAAGGATAAACAAGGGAGAAGCCAAGGCAGATGGTGCAGGACAGCAAAGGCAGAGGAGTGTAGGCTTATCTGAAGACTGCTGAGTGGCTGAGTCTTACCAGAGAAAGTTTCAGATTTTAGTGTGCACTGTTAGATGTGCAAATTCCTGGGCTCCACTTCAGAGCCTTAATGTCTAGAATGTGATCTAACCAGCATTTCAGATCATGTTGAGACAAATGGTTCCCAGGCCATACTTCATGATACACTGAGTGGAGAGTTTGGCTAGAAAACCTAAGATCCAGCTGGATCTGTGCGCTACCACACCTGCCCATGACAAAAGGTTCTTGAATAGGATGGAAAGAGTTGGAATAAGAAGCTGGGCATGGTGGAGCACACCTATAATCCCAGCACTTTGGGCAGCTGAGGCAGGAGGATTGCAAGTTTGATCCCACCCTCGGCAATTTAGACTCAGCAAGACTACCTCAAAATAAAACAAATTTTAAAATGTTCTGGGGATGTAGCTCAGTGCAAAGGCCCTGTATTCAGTCCCTAGTGCTGCAAAAGAAATGATTTAAAAAACAGAAATGATAGAAAGTTGTCAAGGTTACTCAAGGTACCCAACTTTAGGTAGTTGAAAATGGTGGTAGCAGCGACAGACACGAGAAAATTCAGAGGGACAGCTGCTTTGGGAGGGACTTGATGAATATGTCTTATAGACATGTTGAATTTCAAGTATCAGTAAGACAGGGGAATAAGCAACAGATACTTAGTAAAAGGAGATTTGTACAAGTCTGGGCTAGAAACATAGATATGGGATTCAGCAATGATACAGAAGACAACATGGAGATAGACTGAAACCAGGAAAACCTGAGAGAACCTCTAGCTTCATTTGTTTATCATCAGCTTTAGAGGTCACATAGCTAAGCAGTATACTCCCATTAACTGCTACAGTAACACCTCTGACACATGGTCCTGATGACAAGAATTGCCTAAATTGTCTTTCGGAAAGTTGGAGTTAACTTGAACCAGTTGAAACCTTGACTTGGGCCTGTGCAAGTGTCTGATGGGTGCCATTTTGATGTCAGAGGGCCAAAAACACCCTCAGAGCACACTAACGCTGCCGTTTTCTGAACATGCACCCAATAAAGAGAAGTTTGATTAGGCACATACAGATCACGAAATAACTTCACTTTCCTTAATTCTAGTCACCTTTCCTCATGCCTCAGATTACCCTGTTTTTATTTTGCTAACCGAAGGACTTCAGACTGAACTACATCCTTAACCATTTTTTATTTTTTTCAGACAGGGTCTTGCTAAGTCACTAAATTGCCCAGGCTGGGCTGAAAGTTTCATTCCTTCTACCTGAGCCTCACAGAGTGCTGGGATTACAGGTGTGTGCCACCATGCCTAATTTTTTAAAATAAAAATAAATAAGTAAATAAATAAAGGCTGGGGATGTAGCTCAGTGGTACAGTGCTTGCCTCGCATGTGGTAGACACTCAATCCCCAGTGTCAGAAGAAAGAAGAAAGGTGGGGAAAGAGGGAGGGAGGAGGAGAGAGATGCTCTCCTTTGACAGTCTGTCACTGCACTCCTGCTATTAGATGACAAACTGAGGCAGAGACGAAAATTAATTTGCCTTCAGTGATAGTCATCAAAGGACAGATTTAAACCTATGTTCCTGCCCTTCTAACCACAAAATCCAAGCTTTCTCACTCTGGCTTACAAAGTCCTAATAGCCGGAAGTCCTTTCTCTGGGGCACCTTTTCTTTTTTTTTTTTTTTTTTTTTTTTTTTTTTTTGGTCTTTTTGAGACAGGGTCTCGCTATGCAGTTCAGGCTGGCCTTGAGCTCACTTTGTAGGTCCGGCTGATCTCGAACTTGCAAAGATCCTCCTGCCTCTGCCTCCCGAGAGCTGGGATTACAGGCGTGCGCCACCACACCCGGCTTTGGGACATCTTTGATACACTGTTCTCCCAGCCTCAGTAGCCTTTCCGTTTGTCCCACTGTCAAGGTTATTTCCACAAGCTCCTTCAAATAAACAGTGCCCTCTAACTGTAACTGCTCTCCTAATTCTGGCCTAGTTACATGTCATTCACCTCAGCTCACATGTAACCTCCTCAAGACATCCTGATCTTCCAATAAAAGCTTTCCCAGTCACTATGACATCACACTATTTTAATCAGCTGAAGAACGTTTATCCTATTTTCCTGGTTTTTCTCTCTCACCCCGCGGCGCCATCAGTTCAGACAACCACCAGCTCCTGGTAGAGGGTCTACACCCCGGAGCCTGGAAAAGTCCTCTGTTCCGGTTGATCCCTCAATGAGCATGCGCCGAGGTGAGCTGGGGGCTTCCTGGAGGTTGTAGTCCGCGACGCGACCGGGAATAACGCTACCGCGTGTCTGACGCTCTGCGTGCGCTTGGCGCGAAGCTTCCTGGGAGTTGTAGTCTGTGGCCAGCTCCCGTGAGGACGCGGCCCGGCGCTCGGACGCGTTCAGTGCTACGTTCTGCCGCGGTCGGCGTTGCCATGGCTTCTCTGCGAGGTGGAGGCGGCGCAAGGCAACACAGCTAGGCGCTCGCGGGCTTCGGTGGAAACGCGGGCGCGAGAAGAGAAGGAATCAGGCGTGGTGGGTCCGGGTCGGCAGAGTACAGGGAGCCCGAGAGGCATCTCCCCCATTTGCAGATTGGCTCCTCCCCCTACACGCATTCCCGCTGCTCCGCGCGCAGAGGGGCCTCTGTATCCCCATCTCACCGGTGGGTCTCTACGCGCCAAGGACCCACTGACTGGCTCAAGTTCTCTCCCTGCTAGGAAGTGGCAGAACCTGTCCCAGAGCCCGGGCCTGTCTCGAGGTCCAGTGCCTGCGCTTTGCAGTCACAGCGCGGCCCCAAACTTTTGCTGGATCATTCTCACGCGTAAAGCTAGGGGCGGGGGTCCTTAGGCCCTCCCTAGGGCCAGCTCCCAACCCCCCACAGCGGTGCCACGCTTAATGCCACCGCGCAGGGCCTTGGCGGGTTTCTGAATGCGGACTTGAGAGAAAGTACCACCACCTTTGACTCAGGGCCTGAAAATAAGATACAGATGAGACAGTTCTTTGAATCAAGGATCAAGGCATGTTGAAAGCAACGGAAAGTGGCCTTGCTGTGGAGAGCTTCTGGTGGTCCTTCTTTAGCCTATAGTTTAACAAATGAAACAGTTTCGGAGACTAAGTCACTGTCCTGCAGAGTTAGATGTGGACTGGGGATTCCAACCGAGGTTTTCAGTTCTCTACCTTCAAAATCTGTGTACTGTATTGTGTATACTACCTTTTTCCAGTTATCTAAATTTTTACTTTCATAGCAGTTGTGTGGTGTAGGCCACTCGCAGTGTGGGCTCCTTGGCAACAACATTAGCTTCATCTGGTGACTTGTGTCCTTTGCATATTCCTGGGCTCCAGCTCAGACCCTCTGAGTCAGGAACTGGGAGTGGGGCTCAGCAATCTGCGATCTAACAAGCCCTCTAGGTGACTCTAATGAATACTAACATTTGGAATTTTTATTTTTGTTGTGCAGAATTGAGGGTTGAACTCAGGGTCTTCACACTGAGCTATACCCTCAGTTTTACTTATTTTCTCTCCAAAAAGGTTGACCTTTTTAAAAAATTTTATTTTTAGCCAGCCATCGTGGTGCACACTTGTAATCCCAGCACTCGGGAGGCTGAGGCAGGAGAATTGTTGCGATTTCGAGAGCAGCCTGGGCTACAAAGTGAGCTCAAGGCCAGCCTGAACTGCACAGCAAGACCTATCTGAAAAAGTGGCAAAAAAAATTTTTTTAATTAAGAAATAATTTTTTTATTTTTATTAGCACATGTTTTAGTACATAATGATTACATTCATCATGGGGAGTTGGCACATGTACATGGCAGGTCTTAATTCTTTTTGCTTCTTCTCCCGCTCCCCCCGCCCCCCGTCATTTTTATTTTTTGAAACTGGATCTTACTAAATGGTTAAGTTGCCCAGGCTTTACTCAAATTTTTTATCCTCCTGTCTCATCCTCCTAGGGTGCTGGGATTATAGGCATGTACCACCACATCCCCCTGATTTCCAAATTTTAACATGCATCTAATTCATGAAGGGATCAGGTTCTGTTTCAGTAGGTCTGGAGAGAGACCCAAGATTGATTGTTTTTTCTTGAGACAAGGTTTCACTTTGTATTGCAGCTGGCCTTGAACTGATTATGTAGCCCAGACTGGTTTCCAACTCACTGTGATCCTCCTACCTTAGCCTCTGGAGTGCTGGGATTTCAGATGTGCACCACCAAGCTTTTGTATTTCTAACAGTTTCCCTGGGGATCCCAGCCCACAGAGCATATTTTGAGTAGCAAGGATGTAAACTACTTTAGGGCAGTGATTCTCAAGGTTGTCAGCACATTAGAATTACTTGTGGAGCTCTTAAATTTAGGATAATCTGGCCTTACCGCCCTAACCAAATAAATCAGAATCTCAGAGGAGTGGAGGTCAAGTAAAAATTCCCCAGGTTGGCCAGGGGTGGTGGCACATGTCTGTAATCCCAGCGCTGGGGAAGGGTAGGCTGAGGCAAGAGGATTGCTGCAGTTGGAGGCCAGCCTGGAATACATATCTATCCCAAGGTCACAGGCAGACAGACAGGGTTCTGGGCCCCATGGCGAGTCCGGGAGGTGGAACCCTGTGAAAGACCGCTATAGCAAGTGATGTCTGTCCAATACCAGGGCCTAGGCTGGGAGGGGTAGCAGGAGTTGGCCCAGAACACAGGAGGAACCTCAGTTGGTGCCACAACTTGCTGAGGCACCAGCCTCACTTACACTTTTTGGTTCTTTCTTTTTTTGAGACAGGGGTGTCTCAAAAAAAGAAGAAAGAAAAAAACCACCTCAGCCAGGCATGGTAGCACATACCTATAATCCCAGTACTTGGGAGGCTGAGGCAGGAGGATTGTTGCAAGTTGGAGACCAGCCTGGGCTACAAAGTGAGCTCAAGGCCAGCCTAAACTGCATAGCCAAGACCCTGTCTCAAAAAGACAAAAAAATAAATAAATAAATAACCTCACCTCATGAGGTTATTCTAATGGGCTCAGAACCACTGGTGTGAGATTCAAGGTTAGACACTTATGGATTTGAATCCTACCACCTCCATTTAGCAGTTATGTGACCTTGGGCAAGTTGTAAGAATGATTTGGCCTGTCCTTGCCATATTTTCCCCTTCTATAAAGGCTGTAAGTAATCCTTGGCTTACAAAGTGACCTGAGAATACTATGAGACGTATATATGAAACCTGTATCCACAGGCAAAAATGGGAGGTGGTCAGGCTTGGGAAGGCCAGTGCTGGGGATTTTGAGAAGCTGGTGAGGATGATTCTGCAGCGCAGCCCGCAGCCTGCTATAGCTCCCATCTGTGTGTTTCTGCCCACAGCGAGCAGCCAGCCTGTGTAGAAGAATGGCAGTGAGCCACTCAGTGAAGGAGCGAACCATCTCTGAGAACAGCCTGATCATCCTGTTGCAGGGCCTTCAGGGGCAGGTGACCACTGTGGACCTACGGGATGAGAGTGTGGCCCACGGACGTATTGACAACGTCGATGCTTTCATGAACATCCGCCTGGCTAAGGTTACCTACACAGACCGTTGGGGGCATCAGGTTGAACTGGATGACCTCTTTGTAACAGGACGAAATGTCCGATATGTCCACATCCCAGATGATGTGAACATCACCGCCACCATTGAGCAGCAGTTGCAGATCATCCACCGAGTGCGAAACTTTGGCAGCAAGGGCCAAGGCCGGCAGGAGTTTCCTACCAAAAAGTATAAGTGAGGCTGGTGCCTCAGCAAGTTGTGGCACCAACTCAGGTTCCTCCTGTGTTCTGGGCCAACTCCTGCTACCCCTCCCAGCCTAGGCCCTGCTATTGGACAGACATCACTTGCTACAGCTGTCTTTCACAGGGTTCCGCCTCCCGGACTCGCCATGGGGCCCAGAACCCTGTCTGTCTGCCTGTGACTTTGGGGTAGGTGACAGTCCTCCTTTTGTATCATTTGTACCCAAATATGATTTACTGATTTAGGAAATTTGTTAGGTAGTTTTCAGCTCTCTCCCAGTAAGGGTTATTAAATGTGCTTGGCCTGAGTCACCCCTAACTTCCCATTTCTCTCGTAATTGGGTTGATTTTCTCATAAAACCAAACTTGAGTACAAACAAGTCCATGCCTTGTGCTTTCCCTTCTGGGTGCTAGGCTTCCCATTGGTCTTGTGTAGGAGGGCTCATGTTTGTTCTCTAACTGGGCTACATGTTGGAATCACACACACACATACACACACACACACACACACACACACACACACACACACACACACACACACACACACACACACACACACACACACACACACCAGCTCAGATTCAGATTTAATTGGTGTAGAGTATAGCCCAAGCACTGGGACTTTTTTTTTTTTTTTTGTCTTTTTTGAGACAGGGTCTCACTGTGCAGTTCAGGCTGGCCTTGAGCTCACTTTGGAGCCCAGGCTGATCTCAAACTCTTAATGATCCTCGTGCCTCAGCCTCCTGAGTGCCGGGATTACAGATGTATGCCACCATGCCTGGCTGACATTTTTTTTTTTTTTTTTTACTTTTTTTTTTTAATACTGGCACTTGAACCCAGATCCTTTGTCCTAAGGTATATTACCATTTATTTATATATTTTTAATTTTTGGACAGGGTCTCACTAAGTTGCTAAATTGCCTAAGCTGGGCTCAAACTTGTGATCCTCCTGCCTCAGTCTACCAGAGTGCTGGGATTATAGGCGAGTACCACCACACCCTACTACACTAAGACTATTTTAAATTTCACAGATGACTCTAAAGAGGAAAGACAGAGAACTGTAGTCAGAGAATATTTTAGTGGGGTCAGGTGGAAAGTATATTTCTATTCAGATACCTGTTAAAGAGGTAGTTAATCTCATTGCTGTTTCCTGAAGCAGAGAGGCTGGAATATTCCTGGTGCTCCCCTTGGGTATGGGAGTTTAGCCAACAGCAAGAAATCAGCTGTAGATTCTGAGTGTTCTGGCGCTCAGGGTTAGAACCCAAATCTTCGTGGTGTTTGCCCAACATGCATTCTAAACCCGCCACAGATAACTAGTGACAGTCGCTGTGTCCTGTGGAACCAGAAAGTTTGTCAGATAGGCCCAGAGCACCTGCCAGTGCTAGGGCCTTCTGCAGAGCATGTGTTGTTGAATAAGGACTGAACTCATCTGGAGAGGAGCTTATAGTAAGGCAGGGAGGGAGGTGCTCAGGAAGGACCAAGGTGAAACTCAGCTTCCATGCTGCTGTGCCTGAGTTCTGAATGACGCAGGAACTCAAACCTTAAGGCACTCCAATTTCTTGAGAATTGAGAAAAGAGTGTTCATTTGACACTAACAATCAAGTCACTGCGTTTGTGGCCTAGCTTAGTTTTTGTGGCAGTGTTGTCCTTGGACTACCTCATCAGAAGCATTTGAGATGTGTGTAGAAAATGGACTTTCAAAAAGAAAAGAAGGGGGCTGGGGATTTAGCTCAGCAGCACAGCGCCTGCCTGGCAAACGCAAGGTCATGAGTTCGATTCCCAGTACCGGAAAAAAAAAAAAAAAAAAAAAAAAAAAAAAGAAGAGGGGAGGGGAGAGAAATGAACTTTCCTGACTCCGTCTGACTCCAGACTTCAACCAGAATGTGGGGCCCAGGAGTCTGCTTTAGGAACACCCACCCACCATGACTCCTGTGCACACTGTGATGACTGGAAATCCTGGGAGCCTCTCAACTCTTCGCCTTCAGGAGGGAACAGAGGGCCCCAGCAGGGAGAAAACCACCTCTCTGCATTTCCAAGCCCCTGTGACTTAAGGGAACCAATTTCACAAAGTGTTATGATTTATATCTAGAATGCCCCCTCACGAAAATAAAATGTCCCCCCAAGGTTCATACCGTCATAGGTGGCGGGACTTTGGGAAGGTGGCTGGATTATGGGGGCTTAGGGCTGGCTGGCTGTTAGGAGGTGGGGTCTGGTGAGAAGTGGTGGGTCACTGGGGGTGTGGCCTAGAAGGGCCTCTCTTTCCCTCCCCCATCCCTCTCTGCGTCACCACCACCGCCACGCCATGAGCTCTTTGTCCTCTGCCACACGCCTTGCCTTGGAGCAGCTGACTACAGACTGAAACCTCTACAAACTGAGCCAAAACAAACCTCAGAGTTGCAGGTATCAGGTATTGTGTCTCAGCAACAAGAAAGCAGTGAAGACACGAGGTGAGCACAGGTAAAAGAAACAAGGGGCAGGTCCACAAGGGAGGGAGCTTCACAGACCTTCAGCAAGCGGGGACAGAGAGGATGAGCTGCAGAAGCACCTATAGAAACCTCCTCACAGACCTTTCCCATGTGTTTGCATATATTTCTAGACTTGAAGAGGGCTCCTGCTGGGGATTTGGCCTAGGAATAGGGCAGAGGTCTCCTCTGAGTCTTAGATGACACACTGGGATCTTCTCCAGATTCATCGGGACCAGCCAGGGAAGTCGCAGCATAAGGACATGTTCCTTAAGTGTCTTCTGCCAGACTTTGCAAGGCCATCTATCCTTGGGAAAGAAGGGTAACAAGGCCCTGCTAGACACACTTTTGCCAACTCCTGGCTGAGAGCAAAGCTGACTGCAAGCCCTAAGAACATGGGTCTTTTGTAGTCCTGGATTGTGGCGAAGGCTTTCAAGACCCAGGCTGAAGCCTGCAGTGCTCAGTGCCCGCCATCCTGTAGGAAGTCAGGAACTCCTGACGGCTGCTGGTCAGTTGTTTCAAAGCATTAAGTGTGTCTCAGGCACACTGGTGACAACTGAAGGAATATCAAGATGGACAAGAGCCAGGCACAGTGGTACATAATATTCTGGGAGGCTGAGAGGGAAGGATCACAAGTTTGAGCCCAGGCTGAGCAATTTAGCAAGGCTCTGATTGAAAATTTTAAAACTATAAGCTGGATGTGGTGGTGGCGCACACCTGCGATCCCTGCATTTAGGAGGCTGAGGCAAGAGGACTGCAAATTTGAGGCCAGCCTGGGCTATGTAGTGAGTTCAAGGCCAGTCTAAATTGCAGAATGAGACCCTGTCTTAAAAAACCAATAAATAAGTAATAAGTAAATCACCAAGTAAGTTAGTAAAGCTAGGGATTTAACTCAGTCCAAAGGCCCCGGGTTCATTTGCCAGTTGTGTACCACTGAGGACAAAGGCTTGTCCTCAGGTGTCTGCAGTCTATTGCGGGGGACAGATAATAAACCAACAAAGTAAAAATTTTTTGTTTGTTTGTTTGTTTTTCCGGTACCAGGAATCGAACTCATGACCTTGCGCTTGATGCTATGCCACTGAGCTAAATCCCCAACCCCAGTAAAAATTTTACAGATGCTGTGAAGGAAACAAAAAGGGTCCTCTGAGAGAATAACAGAAGTGGTTTCAGTTTTTAGAAAGTGGTCTGAGAAGCTCCAGTGGTGCAATTGGTTAGTGCGCAGTACTTATAGAAAGTAGTCTGAGGAAGTGAAATTTAAAATTAAGCAGCCTGCTATTTAAAGAGCCAGGGGAATCTGGATGTGGTGGCGCACACTTGTGATCCCAGCACTCAGGAGGCTGAGGCGGGAGGCTGAGGTAGAAGAATTGCCAAGAGTTCGAAGCCAACCTGGGCTACATAGTGAGTCCAAGCCCAGCCTGAACTACAAGAGCCAGTGGAGAAGCAAAGGAAACTGCCAGAACCAAAGTCCTGAGGAGGGGAATGCTTAGGGGTTTAGCATGGACCACAGTACCACTGTGACTGTCAGAGAAGGGAGAGAAGCAAGTGAAGTAGAGAAATGAGGGCTGGGACAGATGGTACATTATAGGCAAGGAGTGTAGCTGATTATCATTCTCTCTATCTGCCCCCACCACCCTGGCCCTGCCCATGATCTATAGCCCCAGCTCCTGGTTGCAATTTTCCTTTCTTTTTCTTTCTTTCTTTCTTTCTTTCTTTCTTTCTTTCTTTCTTTCTTTCTTTCTTTCTTTCTTTCTCTTTCTTTCTCTTTCTTTCTCTTTCTTTCTCTTTCTTTCTCTTTCTTTCTCTTTCTTTCTCTTTCTTTCTCTTTCTCTTTCTCTTTCTCTTTCTCTCTTTCTTCTTCTCCTTCTCCTTCTTCTCCTTCTTCTCCTTCTTCTCCTTCTCCTTCTTCTCCTTCTTCTCCTTCTTCCTTTTTTCTTTGTGGTGTTTTGAGACAGGATCATACCATGTAGTTCAGGCTGACCTTAAACTCACTCTGTAGCCCAGGCTGGCCTGGAACTCACAGTGATCCTCCTGCACCAACTTCCCGAGTGCTAGGATCGCAGGCATGCACCATCACACCCAGTCTCCTGGTTGTCATTTCTGATATGTAGGAAGTAGAACCTGAACTTTAACTCACTTTGAGTTTCTGTTTCACTCATCCAGCCAGAGTGGCAGAAACTCAATGACAAGCACTTCACAATTCCCTGCATTTTCTTTGAGATTATGTTTGAACTCAGAGGCACTTCCTGTCTAGGTACCAGTGCCTGGGAGGAGAGGGGTGGTCTGATGTGGTCAGCCAGTCACACTGGCACCCACAGATGTCCTCGTTTTATGTGTTTTTTTGTCATCAGCTCTCAAAGGTTGCTGCTTCCTGAGTAGCCTCTTCCTGAACCCTTTCTGTCACCTTTCAGGTGTTACATTTTTTCTGTTTTCCCCAGGCTATGTCAGGCCCAGGAAATTCTTAGGTCTTAGGTTAGTTGGGCCCTAGTTTAGCCATACACAGCACGGCCTGGGGAAATAGCTCAGCAGCACAGTGCTTGCCTGGAAATGCAAGGTCGTGAGTCCGGTTCTCAGTACAAAAAAAAAAAAAAAAAGCCATACACAGCACACAGCATACAGAGCTCCATTTCTCTGAGGGTTATGATACCTCCTTGGTGCCTCAGCCTGGAAAAAGACCAGAGCCATTCTTTGCTCTCTGACCTAGAGACCCAACTGACAACTCCAGCAAGAGGCCCAGGAAAAGCTACTCTTTTGTCAGGGACCATCTTTTCACCCAGACCCCACTGTTAGACCCCCCCTGTTACACAGTTTTCTAAATTTGTTTCTGCACAGAAATTCTTCCCATTTCTCCCTGAATGCTGGGACTTTGAAATAAAGAAGCTAAAAATGAACTCTGCAGTCTGTCATATCCTTCATTTCCTGAAATAACAAATGCAGAATAACCTAGCTCTGTGAGATAGGGGCCTATGGACACCAAGGAAAAGATGGAAAGCATTTCCTGTGGGCATTACTCCATCAGACTGTATACTCTTCCTTACCCTTCCTGCAGCTTCAGCCAGTGTGAGGTCCCAGTGGATGACAGAACCCCTAGAAGTTCTGCGTGCCCAATTGGCACAGAGTATCCCATCTTTCCCTGCCCCCACTCCTGGATAGAATAGTTCAGGGGCCCCTCATTTGAGGGAGGGGACTGCCAAGGCTCAGGAATGCCAGGTAGGCAAGCAGCTGACAATTCAGATCTCCCAGAGAAATACTAGAGACACAGCATGGCCAGCTCTCAGCATGGCCAAACTGGTGGGGACTTACACCAACTCAGTAAGCTCCAGTCTGGCATCTCTGTCTGAAGGACCTTCAAGGATAGCAGGGATTCCTTGAGTTCTCAGCAATGTTTCAAAAGAACCTGGAGAAACAGCATTTAAATTGTGAAGGATGATAAATTAACCTACTTTCTACCCTGAGATGGAATTATGCCAACAGCATAACAGTGGTTACATTGGCCTGTTGTTCCTGATCACAACATCCAATGGCTATAATTTAAGGCCATCATAATAAAGAGGAAGAAATTACTTGATGCAAATTATACGGCAGACAAAATTTACCAAATATAAGCCTTGTAAAATACTAAAAAGGGTCTTTAAAGGTAGAAAGGTTGGGAACCACTGGCACAGTCCAACTCCATCACTTTACAGTTGAGGAAACTGAGGCCTAGAGAGGGAAAAGGGCTCTCCCTAGTTCCCATGGCTAAGTTAGAGGCAGAACCCTAAGATGGATGTCATAATGGTAATCAGAAATAGCTCCTGCTTGTCATGCCCTGTGCTAGGGACTCCTTATGCTCCATGTGGGCAGAACTGCTATTATCTGGCATCACAGGGTCTCCATCATCAGTCTTCGAGGAGTAAAAGCAATCCTGCTATATCATCATAGCAACCCAATATATTAACAACCTCATTTCAGGTGTACAGACAGACTCAGAGAAATGATTTGTTGAAGGGGAACAACAGAATGGGGATTTGAACTGAGATCTGCCTGGCCCCCAACTCCATGTTTGGTTATTTTTTTCCTCAGTATTCAGGATTGATCCCAGGGCCTTTGCACCAAGGTACATCCCCATCCCTTCTTTTAAATTCTAAGACAAGGGGCTGGGGATTTAGCTCAGCAGCACAGCGCCTGCTTGACAAGCTCAAGGTCATGAGTTCGACTGCTGGTACCGTAAGAAAAACAGAACAAAACAAAAATTCTAAGACAAGGTGTTGCTAAATCGTCAAGTTGCCCAGGCTGGGTTTAAATTTGCAGTCCTCCTGTTTTAACTTCCCAGAGCACTGGGATTACACATGTTCGCCACCACACCCAATCCAACTCCATCATTTTAACCAAGATACTATCTGCTTCCCAGCACTTTTTTTTTCTTTTCTTTTTTTTAGCTAAGGTCTTCTCACAGTGATCCTCATACCTCAGCCTCCCAGGTACTGGGATTACAGGCATGTGCCACAATGCCCAGACCAGCACTCTTGACATCCTACTGATACCAGAATAAAGTTGGAGTTGTGTTTGCTCATTTTAGTTTTCATACCCAGCCACCATGTGGGTCTGACACTCAAAATTTGCCATCCCCAGACCTTGGGCTTGCCCAAAGAAAGGCCAAAAAACCAAAACAGCCAATAAGAAGGGCTGGGCTTCGGAAGCCTGAAGAGGACCCCAGGGGTTGAGGGTCTTTTCCCCTTTCTGTGACAGGCAGATCTGCCTCTTCTTCATCAAGGAACCATGTTGTGTTGTTGTGACAGGTGTCACTTTGTTACGACAGCACTGTCTGCCAGTCAGCCAGGGTTGCAGAGCCAGAGGAAGTGTGTCATCGCGTGTATCTGTGTCTCAGCCATCTCCCCATGTTAGTATCCTAGTGACCGTTTTTCATTTCCTCTGACTGGCACCTTTACTTTCTGTTCATTATCTCTTCCACATTCTTTCTCTTCCTCCTTCTCTCCTTTGTTAAAATCCTATATTTAGAATCAGCAGAGAGTCTCCTGGGGGTGGGGTTGGCAGTGTCATTGCCAAGTGATTCATCTGGCTGATGATTAGAGCACTGGAAAACCCAGAATTCATTCTTGTCAGAGTTAAGGCTTCCGGAATCCCAGGGCTTCTCCCTTTGTCAGAGAGAGAAGCGTGGAGGGCTGGGGCCTGACTTGGCCTTGTCTGTCTGTTTGGCCATCAACCTCATTGAGGCTCTGCCACTAAGGTGACACTTTCTGGGTCCTGTGAGAAGCTGTTTTCATAACTTACTCGTCCTCACAATGATCCTGTCAAGTATTATTTCAGTCTAGACAGGAAGTTCTGGGAACTTACATTTAGTTTTCCAGCTTGTAAGTGACATGGGAGGGATTTAAATTCTAGCTTTTGGAAATCCACTGGACTAGGTTCAAATCACAGTCCTGCCATTATTAGCTGTGTGCCTTTGGACAGGTTACTTTCCCTCTCTGAGCCTTATCTGTAAACAGATGCCTAATACTGATGTCTCTAAAGCGCTTAACATAGTGGGTGGCACAACCGTGGGACTGTTACTCAGCCCTATAAGCAGCTTAATGGATACTAGGCATTCAGAGAAACAAAGAAAAGGAAAGTGGTGGTTGGCAGCCAGATCTCCCGCAGATCAGCCCTCATGTCGAGGTACTACTTGTGTAGAGATGACAAATTCACATACACGTAAGTGGCTGGCCACACACCCTAAAACGCAGCAGTGCACACAGGCTTGGACACGTGTGCCTACACATGGATACAGAATGACCAGGGGACAGCTGGAAAGGCAGCTGAGAGTTAAAGTCACAAGCAGCAAGCATCCCTGCTCATTTCTTAGAGACAAAGGACTCAGGCTATGGCCGCCAGTGCTGCTGCCACTGAGCCCTTCTAGCTGCTTCTGCATGCCAGGGGAGGGAAGTCAGGCTCCCAGAGGCCCCCCTGTGATTCACCAGCCTGATGCAATCCCTTTAAAGGGCTCATCTGCTGGTGCAAGAAGCTGATTCATGGAGGGCGTGGCTGCTGGAGGAGGAGAAAGGGATTGAAACTGTGGCAGGAGGGACTTGGTTAGGTGACTGGAATCGTCACTAGGAACTGTTTCCTGTAAACCTCCCTGGTCAGGACTACGAGGATCTCCAAGTTGAAGCTGGCCATCTCAGGGTTTCTAAAGGGCCTAGAGAGGGCAATGAATTATCAGCGTTATGACAGGAATTCCTGTCTTTTATTGAGCCTAACTGCAGAGCTTCCCGCACAGAGTTCCAGACTCCAAGAAATAGGCATCGAGGAAGTATCGCTTTTCTTATAAATAAACGATAGTTGGCTGATTTCCAGCCGCTGGAGAGTTTAACCCCAGCAGGTAGAGTTGTACTGCCCGCGAGGTTCTGGGGCGTCAAGGTGGGGCGGTGCCTCCGTCCCAGCCTCATGGCAGACATCGATTAACGGTAAGTACCGCCCCCAGAAGTCTCGGTCTCCAATAGTTTTATAGTTTACGGCCCAGGCCCCATTTTGAACCAATCAGCAGTCTGATTCTGGCCTCTTGCCTGAAGGCTTCCGCCCATCGTCAAGATGGCGACCCAATCCGAGTGCTGTGGGGCCTCAGACGCACGAGGGGCGTGTCTGGGACGGGGCGGTGCTGCGGCCGGGCGGGGGGCGGTGCGTCACTTCCCTTGTCAGGTGGCGGCGCCGCAGCCATGGAGGGAGGCGGCGGCGGCGGCTCGGGTGGCTACGCTGGGAGGCGGCGGTAAGCGGCTCCCACGCCCCCGGCCCGGCCCCGGCCTCCCGGGACGGAGCGCCGAGCAGCCCCGAGTACGGGCTGCGGACTATGGGCGAACAGCGCTGACCACCTGGGGAAGGTGAGACCAGGGGTCTCAGCACAGAGCCGGGCGGGCGCTGCGGGTTGGTGGGGCGGGCCTCAGTGCCCGTGGCGGTGGGACCAGGGTGACAGAAATCACAACAGCGAATGTCCCTTCCTCCGCTGGGGTCTGTCCTTCGCCGGCGACAGGGCCGCGGGAGACTGAGTACCCGTCACAGCGCTTACTTTAATGGGCACTACCGGCCCTTCTCGGAGCTACTCACAGCAAGTGAAGCAGCCGGCATTTAAACCTAGCCAGGCTTTCCCAAAGAGACGCCCTCTGTCTCTCCCTGCTTCCCCCTGATCTCGAGAGTGACTCGAAAGTTAGCATGAATCCCCATGAAGTGTCATCCAGGGCTTCCTCCTGGAGCCTTTACTGGTTGGCACCGGCCCCATGGCTACTGGGGAATTTCGCGTCCTGTGCGGCGTTCAGGTGAGAGAGCTACCTGCTTGCCAGGTCCGCGTTTGGCTGGTCTTCTCCAAGGGGCGACCTTGCTTTGGTTAGTGTTTCACCTGCCATCCCCAGTCAGGCCCGCCCATTCCCACGCCACTTGGCCCCACCTTTCAGCCAGTAGGTCTGAGCATTGGGACTCCTCGTGGTGTGTTCTCTGCCCACCCACACTCCCCAGGTTTGTTGCCCTTTTGTTGGCGGAAGGAAGAGATGACAATCGGCGTTCTGTAGCAGAATAGACTTTGCTCTGTTTTAAGTCACTGGAGGAAACCAGTTGGCTTTGCTTAGTTTGGAGAACCCTGGGGAAGAGGGGTAGTCATCCTGGGCTGGGCTCCTTTCCCTGTTGGCTGAATTGTTTTGCATGAGATAAGGAAGAGGAGAACGTGTAATTGTAAGGACCAGAGAATCCTTATTTGTAAGCTCTCCAGCTCTCCTTACTGACCTTGCTATGCCAGCTGTTTGTGGATTAGATCTAGACAGCCTAAAGATAGCCTTGGGCCGGGGATATAGCTCAGTGGCACAGCCCCTGGCAAGCGGGAGGCCCAGAGTTCGATTCCTGGTACCACAAAAAGGTAAATAAATGAAGACAGCCTCATTCATTCATCCCTCACATAACAGGGTCTTTGCTTGTAAAGGCAGGTGCAATACATGGTATTATAGTGGCTAAGAGTAGGTGTTGGAAGCTGGTCCAGGTGGCACATGCTTGTAATCCCAGCACTCAGGAGGTTGAGGCAGGAAGATGGTTGTGAGTTCAAGGCTGGCCTGGCCTACATAGTGCATTCAAGGACACTCTGGACTACATAGTGAGAACCTGTCTGGAAAAACAAACAAACAAACAAACAAACAAAAAGAGTAGGTGTGAGAGCCAGACTTCCTGAGTTCAGCAGCTGTCTAGCTGTATGACCTTAGGCACTTTGCCTAACCTGTCTGTGCCTCATCTACAAAACAGTGATGATAATACAGAGTTACAAGAGAGTTAAAAAGTTAACAAACACATAAATATAGAACTTTCTACCGTGTATGAGTTAGCTATTCATGAGTTAGTAAGTGTTAGCTATTCCTATTTCAAAGAGCTTAATGGTCTGGTTAGGGAAGACTGGCCTGTAAACAAATAATTGAAATGTGATCTGAAAAAGCTAGTTAGTAGCAGACTGTAAAATCAGCTACCCATGAAGCTGAGGCAGGAGGATTTCACATTCCAGCTCTGAGTGAGGAGAGTTGTTACTGGGGTAGTACAGTAGATCTCTGCTGAGAAAGCAGTGCACCCAGGGACTAGCCCTCTGCATGAGTCTGGGCTCCTCAGCTTGGCAAAGAAATGCCTGGCGCATGGACCTTTCTCCTTCTGGGATTGTAGTTATGTAAGCTGCTGCCCCACTGAGGTGGGGCTGCCATCTCAGAAGTCCGGTTGTAAGGGCTGTTGCGTTTGCTCATTTGTGCCTTTAATTTGACTTTTGGTCAAGTTAGGGTGTAGTGGCTAAGAGCTGTTTGTGCCATCTGAGAGATGTGGGTTCTGATCCCAGCCCTACTGATCACTTACCTTATTCTCGCCATGCCCAGCTTTCTCATCTGTAAAACGGGGACAGTAAGAATAGTTCCCTGGTGAGTTGTGAGTATGAAGTGAGATGTTGCAGATTGAGTGTTTAGCACTCGCTAAAGAGTGAAAGCTTGATGTTGGCTTTTATTACAGCCTGCAGGAAAGAATTTCGAGGAATTAGTTGAAGCAATCCATAGCAACTAGAACTGTGTCCTGTTGAGCTGTCAGAACTGTCTTGAGGGATCACCAGATCACAGAATTTTATTGTATTCCTTTTGAAAAGGAAATCTGTGGGGAGTTTTCCCAGTAGGTATGGGAGCAATGCAGATGATTCAGTGAGACTTTCTAAAAGAACCCTTTTTCAAAATAGAAGTAAGACTGTAACAGAAAAAAAGAAAGAAACCCAGTATTTTAAAGTACACATGGGAGAAAATGTATTTAGAGTTCCTTTGTGTGAGTTTCTACAAGTGACCCTAGTCTGGTGCCTGAATTAGTACAATCATGAGGCATTATGAACATTGATATGTGTAGTGACTCAAAATACAGAAGCCCAAGTACATACACATCAGCTCCTAGTGCATCTGGCATGTGCTGGGTACTAGGGGAAAAAGAGAATGGAGAGGCAAACCTTGCCATGGAGGAGGTTGTGGCACGGCAGGGGTAGGCATATAACCCCGGGACATTTGCACAGAACTTGGTGAGCCTCTCCCAAAAGGCTTTGTAGCATGTGGTGGGAACCCAGCAAGTGGAGGGAGTGATTCACCTAGGGCATGAGGAGAACATTGAGGAAGAGCCTTAAAATTGGAACTGGATCTTGAGGAGTAGAGTTTTCTGGGGATCTACAAAGCATTCCAGGCAGGGGAACCAGTGTGGCACAGGTATGGTTGTGTGCCGGTATGTGTGGCACTTTAGGCACCCCAAAGGGTTCTAACACAGGGTGTGAAGGGACCTGACAGCAGCCCACACTGGAGAGGTAGACATGTACTATGTCAAGATGCTTGGACTGGGGCTGGGGATTTAGCTCAGCAGCAAAAGCGCCTGCCTGGCAAGCGCAAGGTCGTGAGTTCGGTTCCCGGTACCGGAGAAAAACCAAAAAACCAAAAAAAAAAAAAAAAAAAAAGAAAAAAAAAGATGCTTGGACTTTGTGTTTTGTTGGTGATGGGTATCTTAAGTACAGGAAACACAGCATCAGCCCTGCATCTTCCAAAGAGTGCTGTGAAGAATGGACTGAGGAGAAAGTGAGTGTAGGGTCTCTGTAGGAGGCTATTGCAGTGTAATCACATACAGTGAGAGCTGATGTGGTGTGGATTGGGACAGAGGTGGTTGTGTTGGGATAGAAGAGTAAAGATCAGAGCTGCCTGTGGGAGGGAATCAACTTTGACTCTGGGTGTGTGTGGGGGGAGGGTTTGTTTGGTTTTTTTGAGACAGGATCTTGCTGGGTAGTTCTGGCTACTTTTAAACTCACTGTGTAGCCCAGCTGGCCTTGAACTTGCTGCGATCCTCCTGCCTCAGCCTCTTAAGTACTGGGATTACAGGGGTCAGCCACCACACCCATTTTGGGAGTGTTTGGAAATGAAGGTTGAGAGAGAAGGAACTGGCAGGCCTATGGTTCTTGGCTTGGGTGACAGAGTGAATGACAGTGCAGAGATAAGGTGGCTCAGGGAGAAGGTATTAGCTGGTGGTTCTATTCAGTTAGGCCTAAGTTCACCCCCAAAGGAGAGAATCAATTGCAGAATCCTGTGGAATCCTGTCCTGCTTTGGTGCAGGCCTCCCTCAAGTGTTGGGTGGGTCAGCACCTGGGAGAAGGCAGCTTCCCCTCCTTTACATTTCCTCTTCCCAGGTATGATGAGGGTGGTGAACCGCCTCAAGTGGCAGAAACTCCAGGGTAGCCCTTCTGTCTGAGACAGCCACCCTCATTCAGCAAGCCTCAGCCCATGGGGCCTGAACAGCTGCAGAGCCTCATGACAGAAGTACCTGTATCAGCACCCCCTGGAGATGGATCTAGAAAGAGACCTTCAGATTGGATTTACGGCCTGATGCTGGGTCAGCAGATTCAACCCTGCTTCTTAGGAAGGAGAGGTATCTGCAGAGGCCATCTGGACTCATAACCCTCAGGGAACTAACCTAGTGCTTGTGTCCCGCTAAGTTCTGAGGGAGCTAGGAGCTGTCCCTGAAACAGATTGGGCCACAGAGAAGGGTGTACTGATGGACATGGCTTCCAACAGAACCTTTAGAATGTGGGAGATTGTCACAGGATTTGTCCTTGGGTTATGGTACACTGAAGATAGACGGAAAGTAGTCTGAAACCAGAGCATTTTTTCCTCCTCCACCTGCTCTGGTGACACACCAGCCCTGGAGGTGGCCCTGGGGCCCACAGCTGCTCCCACATATCTTCCCAGGCGCTGTAATGAGGAGCCAAGGGGGGCAAGGCGGGTATTGCTTGTTGTGGTTTACTTACTGTCTTAGAGATGATTCTGTTTTGGCACGTGCACATGCCTGTCTGGGTCATTTTGGCTACACTGTGTCCCTTCTCGAGCATAATTTATTAGATAAGCTCTCTGCTGATGATAAACACAGGTTATTTTCTGACTTTTGCTCCTGAAAGCTGAAGTGACTTTCTTTGTACCTATGATTTTGCCCACCTGAGATGTTAACGGGATAAATTCCCAGAAGAGGTGTTGCTGCCTCAGAGTATTTCTTTTTTAGAAGAATTTCTGGGCCCTCTTTTAATAAACTGGAGCAGCCTTACCCCCACCACCTTCAAGCACATCTCTTCCTGGGTGGAGTAGATAGCAGCAGCCAGTAGTGGTCATTCTGTCTCAGCTGTGGCATCTGTCTGACTGTGAGTTCTGGCTCCACAGGGCTAGCTGCCTCTAGGCTTGGTGATTTCAAAGAAACCAATTGTTGGGAAGCACCAGAGGTGCAAAACCAAGAAGGGCTCCTGTCATTTGGAATGAAGCTGTCCCCTCTAAAAGTGTTTACAGACCACCATCTACCTGACAAGAGAGATAGAGGATCTTCTGCCTTTAGGAAGTCTGTGGACCAGGGAAGAAAGAGAGAACAGGCTGTGTCATTGGGATGGGGATTGGCAGGAGGACTACCTACCTGCCATTCATCTCTGAGTTTGGAGCAGAGGTGCTGTGAAATGTGTTAAGGGGACAGCAGTGCTTAAAGTTTAGTTCGTCTACTTCGGAAACCTTGGCAGTGATATAAGCTGACATTCTGTAGGGTCTTTGGACCCTCGTCTTGGCATCTGCCAGCTCTGGAGAGCAAGAACTACTTTTACAGTAAGTATGGCACTTCTGGCATTACCGGGTTTTTGGAGTAAGACTCAGAGTATGTTCTCTTCTGACTCTTTTGAGGTGTTTCCTCCTAAAGAAACAGGAAAGAAAACAGCAAAAAAGAACTATCTCTACCACCGTCTGGTCCTTTGTGTAGTGCTCTGCAGTATGGTATTGGCTGGTCTCTGCTTTACAGCCAGGCTCAGAGGGGTTAAGGAGCCTTCCCCGCTTACATAGCCAGTGAGGATGGAGCTGGGACTTCCAGCCCTCATTTGTGTAACTCTAGAACCCCTGCTATCCCCTTCCTCAATCCTGGCCAGGCTCTGGCCCCAGTCCACACGGCATTTTGGATTCAAAGCCATAGAGCCAGAGGAGACCTTGATAAACCTGAGCCAGTGCCTTTGTCAGAAGAATGGAATCATCACTACCTGGATACAGGTTCTTCCCCCTCCTGCCTTGTGGGATAAGGAACCTTTAAATCACATTACTCACCAGTTAAGGGCCAAGGCTCAAGTCACACCTGGCTTTAGAACACAGCTCTGACACTTGTTGCCTGAGTAACCTTGAACAAATTCTAACAACAGTTTCCTCTTCTGTAATATGGGCATGACAATATCTGCATATAAACTAGTAATTACTAGTTTAATCACCAGGTGTTGTTGTTTAGGCTCATGCCTGGCATGTCATAGGGACCCCAGGACCAGTTCTTGTGAGGCCCCTATGATGTCTTTGCTAGCAGGTCTGTGGGTATCCCCAAAGAAGTTTCCTGAGACAGCTTTCAGCCCTTATGTATGCCAGTTAGCAAGCAGGAAAATCCTTCTAGATATGCTGGGAAGCTGCCTGGAAGAGCTGAATCAGCTTGCCAAGAGTGTTGGCCTTGGCTTTTCCCCCAGCAGTGCCCTGATGCACCCTCGCACTGGTACACAGGCTCACACATCTGGGGCACTTAGCTCATACCTGCTCCCCTGCCATACCCTCTGAAGTCTGTCTTCTCTCAGGCCCAGCCTTCCCTCATTCCACGGTGCTTAACTATTCTAGTGGGTTCAGAAAATCTCTAGATTTTCAAAAAGTAATATTATAGCCTATGGAAAGTAGTCAAATAATACAGAATATACAGTAAAACTCTCCCTTTCCTTCTTGGGTCCTTAGTTCTATTTCATTTCTTCTAGAGATTTCCTATTCATACTTTTAAAAGTGTATAGTCTTTTTTTTTAAGTCAAAATAGGATAATATTATATGTATAGGACTGTAGTTTGCTTTTCTTGGATGACATAGACCTCTTTCTCAGCAGGTTTGGGTGTAGTCTAAAAGGCTGCATAGTATCACAATAGACAGAAAATAATTAATTAACCAGTCCTTTCTTAGTGGACATTTAGATTGTTTCATTTTCTGGGGTGTGTGGGTGTTTTGATTTTTGTGGTTTCATTTTTTGCTGCTATGCAAGGTTCCGCAAGGACCCTTGTTGAACCCATTTCTTTTTGTGAATTTATTTGACCATCTTTGGAGGGTAAATCCCCAGAATTGGAATTGCTAAGCTGGAGGCATGTGCATTTTCCTTTTCAGTGCTGGTGGTGGTTTCATGCTTTTTTTTCTGCAGAGCTCCTGGGCCTGTGGAGGGTCTATGGTGGAGAAGCTCCCTCTTGAGATGTATACTTGAGCAGACCAGTGATGAATATCTTCTCACTGGTGCATGGACAGAGTGTCTAGATTCCTGGCCTTCAACCGGCCCTGAGGCCTCTCAGTGGCTCAGAGCAGGGGGATCTTCATGAGCTAGATGGCAGGTTGAGGGGACCTGCACCATGCCTGCCATTTGTCTCACACTTGTGCTGGGCAGCCTCTTGCCCTTCTGAATAGCCACAGCCAGCAGCATTCATAAAACTTCACAAAGGGAACTGTATCATTTACTGTATCGTCAAAGTTGTGAAATTTAAGTTTTTATAGAGGCAGTTAAAGAAAAATTATTTGTTGGCCCTGTTCCAAATTGCCTTTTTTACAGCATGAATGTAGTGATTTTTGCATTGAAAACAGTGTAGAGAATTGCATGCACCTGGACCCATCCTGGGCTTTCCTGTGTCACTCTAGAAATCTGAAACAGAAGGAAACATAGCATTTATCTAGTGCCTCCTACATGCTGGCTTGCACAGTCCTTGGAAGAATCCTTCTCAGTGGCAGTGCTGTCCCTCGTCTCTGAGGAGGCTGTAAACATGTATCCAGGTCACACAGTAGACAGAAGGTGGCTCTCACACTTAACCAGTCTTTCTTCAGTGTCTTGGTGCTTTCTCCTTGCCTGATTTGGGCTGTCGTGGGTGGCAAGACTTGAACTCCACATGCGACTCCATGGCAAGCCTTGTTCCCAGGCTGAGTCACCACACAGCAGTAACTGATGTTTTGAACTGAGGGGCCCCTGAGTCACATGCTCATGCCAGGATCTCCCTTGTTGCAATCTTCTCTTCTAGCCTAAGTGAGCTGGAGCAGGCTGGCATGACAGGGGAGAGCTGTCAGTGACTCTCTCTGCTATCCCTGCACGTGACAGAAGGTCCCCTGCAGAGCCAAGTGCCACCATAAATGTCTCCCAAGCCAGTGTGCTTCGCTGCTTCTCCAGACTGCATTTCTGGAATCCTGGAGGATACCAGGCCATCTCAGCCCAAGAAAGAGCTATTAAGTCTGTCCCTTCCTTCTCTGACACCCACACCCTGTGACAGATTATTTGTTGTCACATCAGCTGTTTCCGGAGACAGGGAGGGGGTGCTGAGCTTGTGGCAGGTCTGGCATTGCTGCCCTGGATCTTGTTTTCAGAAACCGTGAGATTGCTTGCTGGTGAAGCTCTTTGCCCCAGGAGCAACCAGACTGCTTTACCATTCACAGGACCTGCGTTTCTCACTCCATTGATCTATTTACCAGAGGAACCTACAGAGAGTTTCTGTTCCCGTCTGTCTGTGTAGCCCCAAGGCTTTTTTCCAGAACTGCTCTTGGACACATCCCATGCTCTACACCCATCAAAGAGGCCACAGCGGAACCCAGTGAGGACTTCATCAGGACAGTGAAGAGGGACATCAGTGACTACACAGTTCCCTTGTGTGAGACTAATCATGAATCCTGTGTCCTAGTGCTGGATCCCTGAGCTGCAAACATTTAGGCCACTCCTGGACCCCAGGCCTGCTGTGCTTAGTATGCAGGAGTCCTGCTGAGGAAAGGCAGTAGCAGAGGATGGTCTGGTGCGGATGTGCTGGGGAGCAGGCTGGGCATAGGGCCCTCTTTCTGAGCACCCCTCCCACTTCCCACTGGCTGAGTCACTTCCTTTCTGGCTGCTGCAGGTATTCTCCCACAGGCCCAGAGCTGGGCAGCTTTGGGGGGTGGGGCACACCCTGTGCACAAAGAGAACTCCAATTAGAAGCAGCCTGTTCACCCCAAGCCCCCAAGGCAATGAAACACAGTGTTTAAAGAATGATGTGGTGTTATTATGTATTCTTGACAAATTGTGGCTACGCATATTCTGCATTTTAAAAATAAGCAAAATCATCATTCTGTTTAGGAACCATGAAGGTGACAGCACATACATGAACCTGTGCCATCAGGGAGTACTGGCTTAAGGCAAAGGATTACTAATCCTTCTTCCTGTGCCTCCCCATCCCCTTAGCATCCATCCTATGCACAAAGCAAATGACATTCAGTGGCTCCTTCAGTCTCCAGGGAGAGGTTTGGGCCTCCTTGAGCAGTGGCTCTCCTTCAGACGCTGGAAAAGTCCTGAAACAGGCTTGCTCCAGCCAAGCTAGCAGTAGAAGAGAACAGGCCTCAGGGAGCCTCCTGTCTTCAGGCTTTGGTTTCTCAGTAGTAAAATGGGAGGACAGAGGGCTGAGGATGTAGCTCAGAGATACAGCAAGCACTTGCCTAGCTTGTGTGCAGCCCTTCGTTCGATCCCCAGCACTATACATGGACAAAAGGGAGAAAGTTGTGAGAATTAAAGAATCTGGGAAACCCCAAGCATGGTTCCCGTAAGTAGGAAATACCCATCAGATGAAAGTTTAAAAGATTATATGCCGGCATGGTGCACTGGCACATGCATGAAATCCCAGCTACTCAGAAGGCTGAGGCAGAGGATGGAAAGTTGAAGGCCAGCAAGACCCTGTCTTAAAGGTTATATGCCTGGAAAGACTTGGCCACCAGGAAGCCACCTCTGCACAGAGCAGGGAACCGTCACTTCTTGCCCAGAAGACTTCAAAACACCATCAGCTATGGGATCATCTGATCCTTTAACTGTCCTATGAATGAAGGAGCAAGTATTGCCATCCCTGTTTTACAGATGAGGAAACTGAGGCCCACAAAAGGTGAATGACTAGTATAGGGTCAAAAGGAGTGATGGCAGCTGAGACTCAAACCTGATTCACATGACCCTAAATTGATCTTCCCCAACTGGCAGCAGGCTAACTGGTCCACGGTTTGAAATGCTTGGTTTTGTGAGCTACAGATTCCTCTGGTTTCCTGAGTTGATTGTGGATGGAGAAGAGGTGTGAGGGAAGTTCGTGGCCCTGGCAAAAGCACCTGCATGTGAGTATTGAGGTGCAGTGGGGTTAGCTTCCAGAGTATTTGCCTGCAGATGGGTGGGGGTTGCTGCCTGTTGCCTGGGAGGAGAAAGGCTCAGTAACTCAGCCTGTGACCCCTACCCTTTTCTCCAAAGACCCCTCTCAGGAGCCCTGCAGTTCCTCCTCTAGGTACAAGCATGGCCCTCCTTCCTCTCTGCTCACTTATAGCTCCCTGGTTCCAGAAGAATGATGGTGTAGGAAATGAAGAGGCCAACAACCAGGCCAACTTCAGGTGGCATGGGGACAGTTGAGGAAGCAGTGTGGTCACATAGGAGGAATGTAGGCTTCAGTGAAAGGGAACTGTGTTTACATTCCAGCTTTTTAATAGCTAGCCAGGTACAGTAACTTTAGGCAGTCCTCAGTGTGTCTGAATTCTCAATTTCTTTTTCTAGAAAATGTTGTTTTTGTGTTTCAGAATGGAAAATCAGTTATAACTATGTATTTGCAAATGCTTTATAAACTATAAAGTGCATGAATTAAGATAGTTAATGTCAAAATGTGGCCCTCCCATGTGGATTCTGCATCTGAAGTTCACCATCTAGAGAGGGCACAGAGCCGGGTGTGGTGGCACATGCCTGTAATCCCAGCACTTGGGAGGCTAAGGCAGGAGGATCGTTGCGAGTTCAAGGCCAGCCTGAACTGCACAGCGAGACCCTGTCTCAAAAAGACAAAAAAAAAAAAA